CGGTCTATCTTGTCTGTATGTGCCGTTATACGGTTGCTACCGTAAATGGTAAGTAAGTACGTACTTTTTTTTTTTTTTTTGAAAGAGTTAAACCACCGACCTGACCCTAAGGGTAGTCTACCCCGGGTAAACTATACATACACATAAGTTTTTCGCCGTGGAATCGTAAACGAGACCATGAGAAACGATGACATAAACGTATATACGGATAGCCGTATATGAACGCAGTGCGTGTGAGAAAAAAAAATTGGAGCACCCCGAACCACGAGGGGTGACGATAAAAATTATTGAACGCTATACAGTGGCAGTGAGGACAAAAAAAAAAAACAAAAAAATAAAACATGACATTTTGGCACATCTAGTGCAAATATTTGTTCGGTGGGACGAGAAAAATAAATTGCAGTGTGCAGAGTTTAACTGTCGCTGCGGTGCAGTCTAGAGGATTACCGAATTTTCAATATACGATTATATTATTATTATAAATATCGTCATCATATGAAATATATAGTTTTTTTTTTCAGTTTTTCAAATAAATCATTGGTACGGAAAAAAAAATGTATACCCTTATCCTATATGTATTATATAAGAACGCAACAATAAGCGCAGAATGTCCGAGCGCAGCTGCGATTTTGAAAAATAGTCACGACAATAATAATATTATTCTGTCAAAACCATTGCACGTATTTATAATATTATTGTTGTTAAAAAAATTAATTTTTCTCTTTTAACCAGGATTACCTACAATAATACCAATCAGGAGGTAGTTATATCAGATGTAATATCTGATATAATTTGTTTTTAATTTTTAAGAAAACCCGTTGGAAATGAAGTACCACCGGATGAAAAATCCGCATCTTTTGCAGAATATGATAGGATGTGAATAATTTGGAATATTTTTACTCACCCAAGTTTCCTACATTCAGAATTTAAAACGTCAAAATGTAGAGCGTTTCGAACATAGTAATCGTTAACGGAAGAACATATTCATCATCGTATTATAAAACCTTGACAGATCTAAAAAAAAAAAAAACTGTCACGTGTTCAGAAGTTCTCTTCTGTCGCTTCGGGGTACACATTAACAATATGATATACCATATGACTATAATATTATGATTGTATTGCGTATACCCGAACAATATAATGATAATATTATATTCGTATTATCATATTCAATATTAACGAAACTCGCTTAAAATCCGGTTTGATTGATATGAAAAATAATCACTTCAGTCTAAATACTCGAATACACGACCGCATAAATGAAAACAGATGCAACGTATACGAAAAAAGTATTTAGAAATAATCCCACTATTGTTAAAGCGTTCTCTTTTGTGCGCCGTAATTTATTATAATACGGAGGTCAATTATTATTGTTATTTGTCGTCGTACTTAGTGCGGCATCCGATAGTACCTACATACAATTGAGTCATATCGTAAAATACGAGATATCATAAATACGAGTATTATGTAAAATACGGGTATAAAAAAGGCTTAAACTACTGATGGGTGTACCACTGTTTTAGTAGGGAAGTTGGTAGGGAGGACAAATAGACAAATTTGATTTATAGGCTTGTACACAAAATCATTTCTAACGATAAACGATTCTGAGCAGAGTATTATTAGTCAATTCTTTACCTTGTTGCCGAGCCTCGGTCACTCAGGTAATTCGAAAATAAACAAAATGTGTTGGAAAATTGCCAGTTTTTCCCATTTATTGAGAAAACAACAAAGAAAATCAAACGATTATTTCAATGCAGCCTCAGCATTTCGAATGTAAACATATCTGTTTTTATATGCTCTGTATTTTAGAAATGTATATCTGTATACATCATAATATTTACCGTATTACTCTTATTGTTGTATACAAAAACTAAATTACCCAATTAATTACCACAATAACTGAATATATTCTGCATTTCTAATAAAGTCTTATCATATTGTCTACTTGATAGAGTAGTACCCAAGGCCGAAAATATAATAGGTGACTACCAGGGTGGGTTTAGGACCAATAGATCCACAACTGACCAAATGTTCATTCTAAGACAAATCATCCAAAAACGTTTGGAATTTGACAAGGAGGTACACGTGTTATTTGTGGATTTCAGAAAAGCTTATGACTCTATACATAGAGAAAGTCTTTTAAACATTCTCAAAGATTTCAAATTCCCCAGAAAAATTATTAATCTCATTGGAACCAGTCTCAATCATACAGATATACAGGTCAAGATAGGTAACGTAACATCGCAGCCAACTAGAGTAACGACAGGACTTCGGCAAGGGGATGCTTTGTCTCCATTGCTGTTTAATTTAGTACTGGAGAGGGTAATACGTGAGATGAACATTTCGAAGGGAGTTATATTAGGACAGATAAGAAATGGAATGCTAGCATATGCGGATGATATCGCTCTCCTTGGTGAAGATTTAGATATGATAAAGAGATTGGGAAGTAATCTAATAAATACGGCAAAAAAGTGGGCCTAACCGTTTATGAGGAAAAAACAGAGTACCTTTTGGCTAGCCGAAGAAATAGAAATGGCGGTCTGGAACAATATATCAAAATTGAAGAACTCAAGTTCAAAAGAGTGTCTCAATTTAAGTTTCTAGGGCCGATGATAACGGAGGATAACGACATCAAGACAGAGGTGTCAACAAGGATACAACTAGCGAATAGAGGATATTATGGACTTGAGGATGGTCTTAAGGACCGTAACTAAAAGAAGGAAGAATTCTGCATTTCTATTGTGTAATCGTATTATACCTTCTAAACATCCCACGTACAACAGTGACCTACCGTTGGTGCCGAATATGAACTCGTGTCAATTATTTGCCATCAGCCTTTACCTATACATATAAATATATATTTATATATTATTTACGCGGTATATTATATTACCAGTATGTACCGCATTTACAGGTTCAAAATTTGAGATTTTTATCGCACCTAATATTACTATATTATTGTGTTTACAACGTGTTATGACAAATATACGATATTATATACGTAATGTTCTCTATGGAAACTCGTGCGCGTAATGGTTACATTTCGTGTTCGCCGCGACCATCAGTGTTGAACACCGGTCGTGATAATAACATAAATTTTTATAATATCGTCGTGCACAATAAATGTGCCAGACGATTCGCGCACCCTCCGTCGTGAACGGCAAGGTCGCAGGGCATTAAAGTCACCGCGAACGACACCCCGACCGCGATTCATCGCGGGGCCGTTAAAACACCCGCGAGCCCGTTTTTACGACGTGTCCTCTCCCCTCCCCCCGTTAAAAGTACGAGTCATTTTACCCGCTAAAACGCGTTCCACGCGTCGTCGTCTCGTCGTAACGTTTTAATTTATTATACGTTATTATATAAGACTATATAGAGCTGTGTGAATTCAATTGTAAAAAAAAAAAAAAAAAAAATGCTGAAAATTCGGAATAAAAACGTTCAAAATATGCACTTATATACGTATAGGGAGCGGAACGAATCATTTGATCAAAAGCCATAATAATTTACATATGTGCAAGTGACCGATAAAAAGTGATCGAAACGTTATGTATAGATAGAATCCGAGTATAATTTGTAGGTAGAATTCAAAGACTGCATTTCGCTCCCCACCACGTCCTATATATGTTTGTTTTCGACCAATTTAGCGTGGATAATTTGAAAGCTGGCTGACTAGAGAAATCTTAATTTTTTGCATTTTTACATTTTATTTAGACGTATATATTCTTCTTATGACTATTTTTTTTCCAAAATTACAATTTTATCTCTCTTCTTGTCTATTACATCAATCATTTTTTGTCCATTTAAATGTTTCCTTTTCTTCCTTAGATAGAATGAGCATTAGTTTTATTCTAGGTCTTTGGTAAACTACGGCCTGTCTTTACCTCTATTTCTTTACTAAGTTTAGTGATATTATCTATAAAGTAGTACGATTCAAGGAAAAATATGTAAACATTTGACTCTGCCCGTTTATATATTTATAAATAATTTTAACAAAGAACCAATTCGTTTTACAAATATGTGTTTGATTTTCTTAGAATTATTAAAACTGCTCTGATGTTTTCATAAATGCTCTGATCTTTTATATTATACCTATTTTAAAAGATGCGGAATTTTCATTTGCAGGTGGTACTTTATTTAAAACATTTATCGACATTTCATCAGTTGACCTCCTAGATCCTGTTTTTTGTTGTTTAATTTTTGTTAATTTCTGTGTTACATTGAGAAGAGCGAAAAACGTATTACTAATATACAGAATCGTTTTTTCGTTGTTAATGATTTATAATAAGTATATAAACCAAATTAAATTCTGCACAATATCCTACTTCTCTAACTAATCACTGATTAGTTATTACTTATTAGCACAGTCGCCTACTTGTAAGCATTATCAACTTTTTTTCCATATTCTATTTTACATAGATATCTACTTAAGTAGGTATTACAATATTGTGTTTATTGTCGAGAAACTTGATACTTTTTGACGAAAAATCTTTTCCATCATATAATGTTTCAATAAATTATTGTAAACAAAATGATGTGCAAATATTCTGAGGATAGATGGTTAAATGTTTTTCGTTAAATTTAAATCGATCTTTTTTAGATTCTGAGCGGAGCGTGGAATATATTGATTTTACAACGATGTTTATTTTTTTTGTATATGTGAATACGTTTTTTACAAAAAAACTTACTCCGATTATCAATTATAGTACCTTTTCTGAAAGTAAATTTTCTCTGTGTGGTACTTTAGAGAGGTAATTTTTTTGAATTCTTATTACTATTTGAGATAAAAAGAAAACCTGGTTCTTTAGGTTAAAAAGTTTGAAAGATTAAAAATAAGGTTGCCATTTGCAAACTTTTTTATTTATTTTTTGTTATTATTAAGTTTGTATTATTTTAATTTTTTTTAAACAATTATTTTTTTCGTGGAAACGCACATTGTTGTAATAATTTGACCATTATGTAGTATATATATATATTGTTGACAAAGCAACACTATCAACTGAAACCCACTCAGAATCGTTATGTCGTTAACAATGATTTATCGTGGCTTACAGACATACATTAAATTCTCATCAGTATCCTACCTTCACAACTTCCCACCTACAGTAGTTGCTGCATCCACGTGCGAAGTATGTCCGTATTTTTTTTTTGTATTAGTTTTAATCATATTTTAAAAATAACATCAAAATTCATTATGATTTTTACTGGTTTCATTAAAATTTTCTCATAATGTATCGATTATTGTTCATTATGAATCAAATTTTGAGGCTTTTATTTTATAGGTTAAAAAATCAATTGCATTCACATAAATCGATAAAAAAAAAAACCTGCAGACATCAAAAATTACAAATATGTGTTAAAAATAAAATATCAATAAAAGCCGTTTTGGTAATCCTAATGCTCAAATAAAAACATGCCGGACATCTGTATATTTTGTGTTTTCTATGTGTCTTATAAATTTAGGTTTATAGAATATGATAATCGTTAACGACCCGTTTACAGCCAATTAAAAATTACTCTTTAAAAAAACACTTTTACGACTACTCGAGCATATTATTATTTATTTTATATATATTTATACTTGACCTGAATTTACTTGTAAATAAAATTATTATATGTGGTACTTTATAAAAAGAAAAACTATTACTTTTTATTAGAATTTCGTTAATATATATTTTTTTTTATAGACATCGAGGTATAAAAACGAATCGTTTAACGTTTAACATTTTAATAGTAGTTAACAACAAATAATATGTTCTGTTTTACATAAATCCAGATTAGATTCTAAGTGTTGCTATTGTAGTTTTACTAATGTGTATGTTCTTTCTTTCGGAAAACACTTTTTCAGTTAGTGAAAATTCCCTAATTTATTCACGTCACGCATAAATAGAAGAGAATTTGTTTGACATTGGTCTTATTTTTGTTGATTTCTGGATAAACATGTACGTATGACTACAAGAGGGAAAAAACACGACTAATTATTTTACTATATAGCCTTTCCAGTTTACCGAGTTTCACTCAAGAATCGGTTTTCGATTGCAATGATTTATTGTTATTTCCTGTGTAATATACGTGTTGATGTATTCTATATTACAACTTTTCACCCGTCACAATAATGGCAGTACTAGCTTTTCCGAAGTGTACATATTGTATACAGCAATAGAGAATAATATGAAGGCGGTGCACAGAAACGGCTACATTTAATTAATGAAAATCGTATTTTTGTTATTAAATATTATATAACTATACAGGCACTACAAAATTATAATCATTATGCACTTTTATGTAGGTATATGATATATGTGCGCCACTCGTGAACTTCACGTTGATGAACATATTGCGTGTTCGCCGTTCCGGTATATTAAATTATATTGTTTTTAATAATAATAATAATAATAATAAAGGCGATCGAATATCCAAATCATAAGTTAGGCGCACGGCCAATAGTACCAACGTGTTTCGTCATGCGGAAAGTATATTTGTACATTATATAGCTGCTGCGATAAAACTGCATTTTAGTATCTACCCCTGTACCTGTACCGGCTGTACCGATCTATAATCGCTGGCCCGTTAACTTTTCGACCATACTGTCCTCATCGTGTTGTACCTACTCGTATATTAAAATTTTTGAAAAAAAAAAAAAATTAATAATTATATATTTTATTATAATTTATACAATATTGTTATAGGTAATAACACGGCGACAACTATAGTATTATTATTATTATTATTATTATTATCATCGTTTTTGAACCCTGCAATAAATTCGACTGCAGGACGAATTATACACACATAAAAACACACATACACAGACGACTCGTACGGAAACGGAGAATTCAGCCGGTTTTACAAATTTGTACTTACCTATATTATTATTGGCTCTATTTGATCGTTTTGCCGTATATTGTCTAATCGTAACGGATATAATATTATGCGCGAGTGTTATTGAAAAGTCATATGCAATATTGTCAATTATTCATTAGACCGTTAATTCGTAGGAGTCAATAGTTTTAATGCGGTCTAACTATAATTATTAGCCCTGCACGAATATACAATATTATAATAATTAATAATTATTAGAGTTAGTTAACCTAAGGACTAATGAAAGGTTATAAAAAACGCATTTTGAAAATACTTAGTTTTGAAACTTTTATTTTGTTTTTTAATTCTCCTCTCTCCTCCTAATTAGGTATTTTTTTTTTTATGAAATATGTGATTCGTGTATTTCAACTAGATTAAAACGATTGATAAAATATGATACTAGACTAATCATCTATGGTATTCTACAGTCAAACGTAAAATCGCAGTTCGAAGTTCGTGTTTCGAGCTAAAATTGTTTATAAAATTCGTAAAACTCCCTAAAAATTGTAACAAATTCTTTTATAGGTAAAATTTGGTATAATGTTCAATTTAAATTCTGAAAAAACCAATTTTTCCTTTTTAAAACAACTAATGTATTTATGTTGTGTAAACTTTAAATCGATCTATATTATTGAATGGATCCATAAATTATCCAATCGATGTTTTATTTATTTTTAATGACCATCGATATTATCTATACTATCGATTTATTGCACTTTATAGAGGTGTATTGATGAATACATTTATGGGTGTACGTATCTAAAAGAGGTTAAATAAACCCCCCCCCCCTATAAAATGTTTCTCGTTACGTTCGAATTGACATTACATTTACTATACATCAAACTATACCTAACCACTTTAAGGTGTAGTAATTACAACATTGACACATTACCTAGATAAGTGTATGTGTCATCGTACATAACTTTTTAATGGTATTCATTGCAATTTTATATTGGTGATTTATTTTTAAAATTAACTTACTTAGTTTCTAACAGATGTTTGCGTAATTTTGAACTTGTTTTAAAATTTAAACCAAAATTCCGAATTTGGTAATATTCAACAACGGTGTAAAGACTGTGTAAACGTATAGACTTTGTGAATCGTATACCTAACCTGATAGTATTGGGTTCAGCGGGATATTCACTATGAAGATCTACATTTTAAATTTGACTATTGGGCTGGTTTTTTTGGGACAGACTATATCATAAAATAATAATCGATTTTTTATTTATTATTATTATTATTATTATTATTGTACGATTTTATGACGGTGATAAATTAAAAGTTCGTATATACCTTTAATGTACATATTTTTATTTAGTGCACATTCATAATTAACAAATTTGTTTATGGGTATAGTGCAAACACATAAATCCGAAAATCCAGAAATAGGTACGTCGTATACCCGCGTGTATCGTCCAATATACCACTGTCTACCTAGGACCATCACGTCTCACTGCCAATTATCCAATTATTCAACGCCATAATCTTCCGATCTGCACCACCACCTAATGTTTCTGCATATTTCTTAATTTTATTTTCCCACCGGTCTTTTTCCTACCGGGTTCTGTTCAATCACTATTCTTAGTAATAAGTTTTGACTTCTCAAATCATGTCCCATGTAATACCATATACCGTATAGTCTTTGAAATAGTCTAAATATATTAATAAATATTAGCTATACTATAAGAATATTATAGTAAATATTGTTTTGAACGAATAGTAAATTATACATTTTTATTACTAGTGTGCTATTTATTTTGTCGAAATTGGTATTTTAATGATATTACATGATAACATTTGTATTTATTTATTCAAATGGAAAACTGCCCGTTTTCTTTTAACTATTAGTTTATCTAAAATAAAATCAAAAATTTAAGTAAGTATCTTAAAGTACTTATCTCAAAATTAACAAGTTAAACACAAATAAAATAAATAGTAACAAAAACAAATAGTTTAATAATTTATATCATTGAATTACAAATCGTATTTCAAGTTTAGACCTTAGAACGAGAAAAGGTAAATATAAATTTACCGAACAAGATCATGACAGTAAACATTCGCTAGTTGGATTACTCTTGCATTATTGAATAAATCATATTGGATACTATGCCCGAGAGTGTAGTGGTTTTTTCTATATAGTGGTACAGAAATTGTTATGGTGGAAATTAATCAACATCCTTTTTAGTTAAAACTTGTGTTGGGGATAAAGAAGGGTAATGGATTTTGATCGAAAACAACAAGAGACATGTTTAATGAACACTTGTATAGGTGGAATATGGAAAGGTTCATTTCAGTGGAAACTGATCCCACTGACATGCTTTTCCCAACATTGTTAGAAAGAGATATTCATAAACTACAAGGCATAATACGATGAAAGGACTTTATACTATTTTTTTTTTTAATAATATCGTTATCTTCGTTGTTTGTTAAAATTCTCTATTTATCCCACTTGTATAGATAAGTTATATGATATCTTTTTTTTTAACCCGGATGTAGGTCTATGTGTTAAACAAACCTGTATTCTTGTTTTTTTGTATAGGTAATTAGATAATGAAATTGTTGATTAGTGCACTGCACTGGTCATTAGTAAAATATATTATATATCCCTACGTTTTAATTTATAATTCATATCTGTCGGATTTCATCGAAGTGCGATGCATACATTATAATTAATTATAATTATATACTACGGCGACGGTTGATGTCGATGTCGTTACAATGTTGTGCATTCGTGGTTATTTAACCTGACCCAACCCAAGGTCGTGGTTTTTGAATTGATTCCTCTGTATTAGATATTCCATACTATGAACCATTGAGAACAATTTTGATGCAGTCCTTTTAAAGTGAAATAAGTACTGCAATACGTGTGCATACAATGCTCGATTTTATTTTTCGCGTATTTTCGTTCATAATTTTGTTTGAAAAATAATAAAAACTCAATATTTTATAATGTTTTATTGCTTTAAATTTTTACCAGAAATTTTCTGTTCTCTGGCGTTTATACGTACAGTTATATTGTTATAATGAAAATAAAAAATAATTTCATATTTATTTCTGTAAAACCTTTTTTTTTTTCTGGAGTAGTGATGATAGTCATATAAAACATATTGATAATATCGTGTTACTATATTATGTAAGATGTGGTTATTTCTCGGGAAACCGCACTTTTTAGGTTAGTAAAAATGCTCCGATGGTTTTCTTTTTGTGAAATTTGGGTCATCGGAAAATACGAAAATGACCGTTTCGAAGCAATTGTAATGTAGATCTATAAAAAAAAGCGAATAAAACATCACGCGTCGAAAGGAAATCAGACGAGAAAGTGTCAGAAGACGCAGGAGAAAAATTTAAAAAAAAAAAAAATTGAAAAGGAAAACGAAACTAATAGTACAGGCATAACACTTTCATAAAAAACATCTTCGAAGGAAAGATCTTGGGGAGAAGAACTAGAGGACGCCCAAGAACTTCATACTTTCAAGATCCGAAGCAGTGAAGCAGCTCATGGATGTCACGTAATATCCATAGCTGAGGAACTTGGTTGAACGACAGAGATGTACGGCTAACACGACAAGGCGCTGCCTTTAGATGATGAATTTCCCTTCGCACCACGACACAACGGGTCTTCCGAAATAAAATATGTCGAAAAACTAAGAACCGACGACAAACGCAAACGATATGTTACGAACGAGATCTCGCATGATACACCCGAAAGTCGAGTATTATCGCTCGTTAATAACAATCGTCTCTTTTAATGCCGTACTGCGTATGTCTGACGGAAAACGCCTCGGGAGACTCGGAGGAGGCGGGAGAAAAAAACAATAATTAAAAAAAAAACAAAAAACTCTATATTAATCGACTACAATAGAGGCTACGAATACAATAATATACGTGGTCAATAGAAACAAATTATATTATCCCCTCTGAAGAAAAAAAAAACAAAAAAAAATACGTAATGAACCGACGACGCGGGGGCGGGGGTCCTATTTTCTTGTACCCGTGTTGCTTACGTACGTACCATATTGTTAATATTATTATTATTACTTACACGGGCAATATTATACCGACGGCGCGCGCAGGTATAGCGACACCGCGGGTAAAGGCGCACACAGCGATTATTACAATGCGCTCGGAGGAAAAGAACGAGAAGGAAAAAAATACCGAAAGGAAAATCGAGGGGAAAAAAAAAAACAAAATAAAGAACGACCCGGGCACGGGGACAAAAGGCGGCGGCTATGATGTTAAAACGCGTGTGCCGTACGCGCACCGCGGCGGAGCAGCACAGCAGCTGTGAAATCGCCAAAAACACACCTAACCACCAGCCAGTACGAACCAGTCCCGGGTTTTTCGACTACCGGTGACCGGCGGCGGCGGCGGCGGCGGCGACGCGTTCGACGCGTAGGCAACTTCAGTTCGCGATTGACTCTCGGCGCTGTACGACGGGGCGCGCGCGCGCACATTGCAAAACGCACGGTACACGCGGTTTTCCGTATTAAACCTTTTCCACAAATCCGACACCGTACAAAATACCTGCCGATATTCTCGAAAGCCTTCTCTCGCCGGTTTTTGGTTTTTGGTTTTTTTTTTCAGTTTTTCCGTTTTTCGATTTTCACCCGTCGTATCGCGGCGTCACTACTCTCGTACGATAACACTATCAACCGAACGCGCCCGTGGAAGAAGAAGAAGAAGTGCTCGTATAACAGCCGATGTCACCGACGTTCGGATTATATCGCGTTGAATTTCGCGCCGCCGACGCCCGTCCGTTATTCACCGATCAATCGCCGTCAATTAGTTATATTAATGCGCCGGGACGTCAAACGTGAGTACAACTAATTCACCCGCGCCCGTATAGTCGTGTTTTTATCATTATAATATTATTGAGCAGTTGTGCACATTGATTGAGCCGGCCACAGACTCGGTACAGATCTGCTAGAGCAGCGGCGCGGCCGCGGGTTTTATACCCTCACCCGTAATTTACGGTGTTTTTTTTCTACGCAGCGTGCAGTACTGTGGCAATTTCAATTACGATTCCGGACGTGTTTACTCGTGGATTTGAATGGTCGTTGGGCCTGTGCGGCGTGCACTCCACCGCACGCTTAATTAGACACTTCGTTATCCCGAAAACCCGTTCGGAAATTTGTTTGAAATTCTCGCCCTTCCCTCCCATATGGAAACAAATCTTGGCCGCGCCACTGCTCTATAATAGAGTCGAGTGAAAAAAAAAAAAATGAAACATTTTGTATTTTCTCTCTATTTTAATTAATATACGTGTAAATGCATGCATAATTATTTGATTTACGTTGTACAAATTTGTCAACCGTCGCCGGTGTCGGTGGCTGTCTAACTTTTTTTCCGGTTGCAATTACCCATTCGTATTTTTCAATGTCGTTTCTGTACACGTACCATCTGTAGCGGCGGGTCGAGGGCACGCGTTGTTTATTTATTATTTTTTTTTTTCGGGGGTTGATATATTTTAAAAACGGCTTCTGCACACGGTTTTTTTTTTTTTTTTTAATGTTAAGACCGCATTACGGTTTCTTATTGGCGGCGCGTGCTCGGCAAATAAGATAATAATGCCTATTTTGAATTCGAAATGCCTATACATACCTATACTACCATCAAGATAAGGACGACGTCTTTTGTATTACAATAAATATTATTGTCCCGGCGTATCTTATACAGACCCACAGAGACGAAGGGCGGAATAAATTAGCGAGCGTCGAAAAACCCGCAGACACGACCGCAACACACGACCAGACGGTATCTATACCGAGTTGCAGTCTGCAGAGAGCGTAATAATATTTTGTTTTTTTTTTTTTTTTTACTCGTAACACGAGACAATCGTTTATACGTATCAAATTACGCGCGCGCGCACGCGTATAGTACGAAAACTGCATTGTAGTATTCGTATTGCATTGTGTCCGATGTCAACACATTATCGAATGAACATAAACGGTACGTTTCGTAAAAGTCGGATAGGCACATCTCCGTGTCGAGATCAGGACCAATTGCGTTTCGGTAACTCGTACGAAGTTATTCGCCCGTGTAAACGCAATGTTATTTTCGTTCGTTCAGGCAAATGGCAGTCGCAAGCTAAATGACAGTAAGCGACACCGTTTGATTTACACGTGTTTTTAAAACAATATACGAATGATGGGCACAAAGCAAAAACACAGGTAACAAACATAATAATACGTTTAAATTATGCAGTAAATGATCACACGTTTTTCACCCTGCAATACGATACATATAATGCGGTACGTCCGTTTGGTTTTGACCAAAATTATGAAAACAAGGCGGTTCAGCAAAAGTTGTTTTTCACAAAACCATTACAATGTTACTCACTGGGTTTTGGCTCACAAGAGAGCAGTATATAATAGTATACACTTACGTCGTCGTTGTGAGTACCGTTTATTATTACTATTATTTTTTTTACTACGCCCGTATTCGTCGAAAGAAAACATCCTACGTATATTATAATCCTAGAGATAACGAGTAGTAACGACGATAAGAAGATAATAGATATTTTTTTATAATCGAGCCCTCGTAGAACCGGTGGCGTGACTAAGCCGGGTGTTTTTGAATGTAGTTTTTTCATTACAAGTACGTAAGAGCTACTACGCAACAGTGGAGGTTTTCGGTTCTTAGGGGAGGGCCAATTTAAAGACCCGTTTTTTTGGGGGGGGGGGAGAAGTGAGAGATAAGAATATTACTGACATATCTTTATTCCCAGGGAAGAAGGGCTTACGTAAGTTTTGTATTGTTTTCAATATACAAGAAAATTAAATTTTGAGAATTTCTAAATAACCAAATAGCTATACGTATAGTAAAATATAACTTGTGCGTGTTTTGCCAAACAAAAAGTTTATCATCATCGTGATTACAGCCATTTTAATTTGTAGTAGGTACCTACCTATAAAATGTGTTGGAGTGTATAACACATGGATATTTAGATCAAAAATAAAGGGGAACAATTACTTAAGGCAAAATTTAAAAAAATAAACAAAAGCCATTAAGATTGGCTACACATTTCGTGGGGAACTTTGGATGATTTTGAGAAACTTAGCCCCAAACTCCTCTTCTCTATCACTACCTATAACTAAACCACTTTCTACCACCAACTAGTATTGTGTATGATAACGTAACCTAATCTAGGACAACGAAATTCGTGGTCATGCCATTACGTGTACACTAAGTAGGGAAAGAATTTTTAACGAAATTATTATGACGTGCATGTGGTTGACCGCGGTGAACGCGATGCGAATTATACACCACTATAATATTTTTGTTATTGTTATTGTTATTAAAAATATGATTACTGTACTATTAAAAAAAAAAAAAAAACATCGGAAACCGATCGCGGGGACATTTGCAGACCAACGGTTCGGTTTCTTTCCGAGCACTCGGTCGATTTCGGCAATATAATAATTACGCACAGTGTCGTGGTTCTTTTGTCACCGGGACCTTTGTCTCCTGAAAGCTGGACCGCGACGGAGGCAAACCCCGTCGTCTGAGCCCTACTGGAAAAAAAAAAAAATCAAAAAACCAAACAATGCCACCGGTCCGGTTTCCTCCGCCTCTCTCTTTCTACTTCTCTCTCTCTCTCTCACTTCACGTCTAGACTTCTCGTCTATCTGGCTGCTGTGGCACCCTGTATATACTCGCGTATAATGCAAATGTACTTGTCAATCACGTCTCCCAGACGAACACCGCGTTGCTGCACAATGTGCGAGCTATTGGCAGGAAAAAAAACCGACTTTTTTTTCTCCCCCATTATTCTTACATTATATATTATAAACGTGTCGTGTACCAATAATTTCTGCGGCGTGGCAGCACACCCGACGCGACGAAAATATAATATCGTTGTATAGGTATTCACGTGTGTGACGGGAATAGCGGTTTTAACTCGGGTGTGAGCTAATACTATATGGGCTATTTCGAGCAAAAAAAAAAAAAATGTCATCTATAGATGTATGTGTGCAGCGGCGAAACGAAAGTGATTACATCACTGTTTATTTTAAGACTTAGTGCTGGGCTAGCGTTTAATACGAAAAAAACACTAAACGTTATCGAACCACTCGTTTGCTATTAATCTAGTGAAAATAGATGAACATATAGGTCGGTGTTGGTGGGCAGACAACTGGATAGAGACTATAGATTGTTTCTGGGTTATTTGATGGGTTCGCTTCGCCGCTGTATCCGAAAATCGAAAATATAGACGGCGCGCGCCGTCGGCACAAACACGTGCCTCTGTTGTTCGATTATAACCTCGGTGCGGCAGATGGGGTCGTCGTCGTCGTCGGTTCGCCGACTGAAAATCCGAAGTCGCGTGTGTTTACGTAAGGAAGATTCGCGCGACAATAATCGACCGGCCAACAATAATAATAACGTCGCAGCTGGACATTCTCGGCGACGACGACTATACGCGTAATTATTTGCGTACGGACGCCTCTATGAGAAATTCGGTTCGCATGCCCGGTGGTGCGCCGACGAGTTTGTACCGGGCAACAATGAGTATGAAGGTACACATTGTATAGGTACACATTGTATAATATGGATATGTACGCATAGAAGACGCGTACCTAATACCTATATACGTGTGCCGTCGCGCCCTGTCCCGGGAAACCGGTTTTACAATGCCGGAGAAGCCGACTCGGTGGACGTAGAGGAAGAGGATGAAGAGGAATGGGCAACCGGTCAAGAATTAATATATTGGTTCGAGAAATACGCAGTCTAAACGGTCATTATTAGTGGAAGAGTTGAACCCGAAAATTGTCCCCGCTCACTGTTGGACTTGCTGAAAAAAAAAAATCGGTCGTTTGTCCTTGATGTTATAAAAATAACAAACCCAACCGAATGCATATTATAAAAATAAACGAGAACAATCGCCAGTCGAACAGAAAAAACAACACACGAAATTATTTTCGGACGGTGCGATCGACGGTGGACGGACAAAACCGTTAAAAAATTTGAAACATAACAAAACTATTTCGTAAAACGTCGACGGGGTATCGTCTCCGAAAACAAGAGTTTCGTCTCTATGTAAACCCGATTTTAAAGGCCTTTTCCCGTTTGTTTTATTCGATTAGATGATTTTGCTATATCGTCCGCAAGAGGGAGACTGAGATGAAAAATCGCTATAATCTTTCAAGTTTGATTCGTCTTTCGACCGGGTCTGAATAATAATTGTCTATACATATCACACTGATTAGAGCTGATCATAGATGTACGTATCGATGTTGTGTCTCGGATGCCGTATAGATTTCTCGAATATACCACAGCGGTGACGGTGGGGGGGGGGTGGAAGGGAGAATTATACAGGTATAGAAAGAGAGAAAACGAGAGCGGGCGAGCGAGACGGCGCGTGAAACAAGGAGAACCGGTCCGTTACGATTTTTAAAACGTTATAAATAACGTTTTATGGGAATATAAGAAAACGCCCGGGCCAATCGTCGGGGCCGCGGTTCAAACAACGGCGAAAACTGGATCTGTCTTCCCCCCGAGAGCACCCCTCCCCCCACCCATTACGTCCCCGATTGCGCATTAAACACGCCGTAGTTTTTTGTCTTCCCGACCCTCCCGAAATCCCGATACATAATATATATGTATACATAAAGTACGTAAGACTGTATACATAATAATATATTATATTATATACTGTATAATAATATAATATGTTAACCTGCCGCCCGAATCTGTGCTTACTAGGGGATGCGACCCCCCAAACGTTATACAGTATAGCCGTACGATAGTCTCGCTCGCCCGGAGAGAGTAGAGCGGAAAATAATAATGAAAATGAAAATAATAATAAAAAAAAAAAAAAAAAAAAAAAAAAAAAAAAAAAGGTCAAGTGAAGCGCCTTTTCGCGGCGGCGGCCATGCCAGACAGAGGGGGCCGATCCACAAAAGACGCCAGACGTCTGGTTTTTTCGTCTCTCTTTTGTCCGGGATTTCCGAAATTTTTCCCATCGGGTTCCTCCCCCCACCCTCCTATCGTTCCTCCGCTTAGTGTATACATATATATCCACCGTCGTCGTCACCGATTAAAATTTATGTATTTTCTCCTTTCTATACTCGCGTAATATATTAATATCGGTGCGGTGTCGTTCGAAATCGTCGTAAATTTCCAAAGTCCGCCGATGAGTCAGGTGACAATACGCATAATTTATATGCGCTGTGCACAACAATAATCGGGGGGGGGGTGACCAACAGTCGTGAAACCAGACAGTTATTACAGATTAAAACACTCGGCCGGCGAGCCGGTGGTGTGGGGACGCGGAGTTTCGCCCTGTTCGGGACGACACCCTTTGGGAAACTATAAATATGCTTACGGGTAACGTAGGACATTTGCCCCGCCTCCCTCTTACTCACTCACTCTCTTGCTCTCTCTCTCTCTCTCTATCTCTCTCCGCAGACTTCGTATAATATTATAATAATTGTTATTCGTTCTGATAACGTTTTTTTTATTTTACATAATAATAAATAACGCCGAGAGGGTTGTATTATATTATAGGTAAATTAGTACTATCATTGTGAAGCGACTTTTTTGCCGCCCTCCCAGATCGCATCGCTGCGGTTGTTTTTTTTTCTCACTGCATTTGTAAATGGCTGCATATACTTAAATACCTACACGTACTTAGTCAGGTCCCGACGAGCTGAACAGTAGAAAAAAGTATCACCCATATTTACATAGTACATGCTAATTAGCAATTGCTTATTACGCTCCGGATAACCTAATTAAAATTATATACGTATGCACTGCGATTAGACAGTATTAATAAGTTATACGATAATTTACCGTTGTCCTGGAAAATGTATACAAAAAGGTATTCTTTATAAACAGCATATTTAATAAATCGAAGGACGCGCCAGAGGTTAGGAATAAGGAGTGAGACCGCCAAACAAACAAATTCGAGTTTGTAAATACGAAAAAATGCGTCTAATACGTTTTTATCGGTATGAAAGAATTCGAATTTGATTGATTTTCAACCTACCTGTTGCGTTGCAGTGTCCTAAATCCTGGTCGGAAGGCTAAAAAGCATATTTTGGATTTGTTTTAAATTTTTTAAGATGCATTTATAATATAGTATTATATAAAAAAAGATCTAACACACGATTCGGAAAAATCCTACATTCTATCAAAGACGTCCGCAGAAATTTATCGAGAGCGGGCAAAGAACAAATACTCTTAGGTACTTACATTTTACTATTTTAGATTCTGAGCGTAGCGAGGGATCTGTTGGTTTTACTATGGTTTTTGTGTTTTTTTTCTCTGTGCATTATTCAACATTTTTACGGTTTATGTTTTCTACTAGAAATATGGCTCCAATCGAAAAACGACTGGTAAGTAAATCTACCGATTTTTGTTGATAAATAAACGGCGACCGCGACGTCTCGTTGACGTTAATTAAATATACTTTTGAAACGAAGAAGAATTTTAAATGAATTGGCTTCACCGAAAAAAAAAAAAATAATAAATAAACGCAAAGAGAGAAAATTATATATTATATACGATAGTGACATCATGTTATAATGATTTGTTTGTCAATAAACAAATTTAATTTTTTTAAGGCACACATGTGTCTTAAAATATTTCGCTGGTAATATTTTAAAAATTGATATTGCCCTTATTTTTCCCGTTCTTGTGTGTTTGTTCGATGAAACGGCTACCGAATTTTCTATTTGTAGACTTTGTCATTGTGGAATTAGTTTTATATACGACGGAATTGTCGTTTTTGAAAATCGACTCCAGTTTCACCACCGAACATCAGGGTGAAGAAAGAATAACATTTCAGTGTAGATGCATACCTGTACTCTTTTTGTGTGTTGATTGCTGTGTAACCGCGCCAGCAGTGTCGTATGTTACCTATACCCCCCATCGCACAATTTGTTTCCATTTGTCATTTGAACGTTACGAATCGGTGATAAATTACGCACGCAATTAGCCGTTTTTACTCGTCTTTCGAGTGAAACTTTCTTTAACCGTACCTAATGAATTTACGCATATACACCCCGATGAACATAAAAATAGGCGATATTCCACAATACGCGTCGACGTTTTTGGATAAGTTTCGGTCAGTATTATTTTATTCGTTTTAGTTTGCGTTATATATTCCGTAACGCGGTTTATGGTGTCGCATCGGGTCGTATTGTCCGTGTTTAACGGAAATATATTACACGTGTTGTTTTTATTTTTTTTTCTGAACGACGTAAAAAACAATGCACATAGTACAATATACGCATTATGTATAATAGAAATTTGAAAAACGCATCATGTAGGTACTACTCAGAATTCCACAGTTCAAAATGTTTAATTTGTTTTATTTACGAACTTCACCCGAACCCCCCCACTCTCTTGAAATTTATTTTTGCGCATTCGCCTCAGTACGGCAATTAAATTGCCTACATAATTGTATACGAATATACACAAAGGATACCCGGCAAAACCTCGGAATTCGTTTTTTGTATGTCTGTAATCGACCTTTTTTTTTAGCAGATATCTCGCTCCAATCAAACATTTGTTACAGAAACTTTTTTTTTATAGAATTTTTGATTGGGTCGGTGCATTGCTGAGGTAACTATTTTGTTTTTCGTTGTTGTTTACCTAATAACACTTTGCTTTGAAAAAACCATTGTTAAAACCTACACACTAAGTTTCGCTGGGTATCCGACGGTCGTTAAGCTATAAACATAAAAACAGTCTTTCGGTACGTGAAAATGTGTGATGTTCGGTACACGACTGCACGTGTCATAAAATTATCCAAGAGGAAAATTCTTCCGCATACCGACGAGTGTTTGTTAAAACAGATCATGTTAAACGAGCGATTGTCGTCCGCCGATTCCGTTGCCCCGGTATAAACACACAGCGGCGGCCGATCGACAACGGTGTTCATTGAAATAACACATAACAGCTATATTATTTTATACGAAACGAACTTAAAAAATGTACCGAAACAAATACTCGCCTCGCAAAATATCGTTCGTCAGACGACGAGAGGGACACAAAAAAAAACCCAGTTTCGGTTATACGGGGCCGCGTACACGTATGGTGGGTATACACCTATAATGTTTTCGTATATCGGTGTTTTCAGCTGCTGCTGCAGCGGCGCGGGGTCTTTTTCTCTCTCTCTCTTTTTTTTTTTTTCTCTTTCCTTAAAAATTCATTATTATATAATATTATTATATTATGGTATTATAAACGCGCGAGATTTCCAGAACGTTGTCGCGGCGGCTGTCGGGCACGCTTCTTCGGCGGTTTATTGTTACCGCGAGCGCGCAAGCAGATGGTCTACTTCGTCTCTCGGCAGTATACACCTAAATACCAGGTGTGTTTCGCTACCATTGCATATATATGTCTACGTATACATCTACAGATTTGCCCTTTAACCCCGTTCGTGTTATTGCCGCATATAGCTGCAGTAATAGTATTCGGGTACGTTCGGCCATCGCGGTATTCCGCCGAGAAAAAAAAATAAACGGTTTGCGCGCGCGACAGTGTATATATACGTCGTTATGCATATTATAGTAATGCGATCCAAAACGGAAACGTATCTATACATAATATACGAATGGGCATTTATTATTGTCGGATTCGACCGCGGGCACGTGGACCGGAAACGTCGTTTTCCATCCTAGAAATGTATACGGGCTAATCAAAATTGTTATCCGGCCACTGCGACATTCGGACACCTCCGGACGGCCGGTCCGCCCGCAGTTCAATGAAAGAGCGCCGAAAACCGCGGATTTGCATCGGCGCTCGTGGTAATTGATATTTTTCCACCGGTGTTTTATACACTATACACATTACTCGCCGGCTATTATATTATTATACCTATGCGCGCGCACAATGCGGCGAGATTACGGTAACCGAAACCGCGGGGCGTAAACGGTATCGCGTTAAAAAAAAAAAAAAAAAAAAAAAACATTTCGAAAAATAATAATATATGTAATCGATACCGTAATAACACGTTAGGTACAAAGGAGAAGTGAAAGAAAAACGTTCGCAAGGCGGCAAAAACAATACTCCGTCGTCGGTTTCCTCCGCAGTTTTACATTCGTTCCCTGTACTTATTATTGTGACAATTTTTTTATTACGAGCGGTTTTTCGAGAAAGTTAACGCTGCTGACTTATATTTATATATATATTATACATAATAGGTACACGTCTCGGGGGCGGATCCAACAATACTTTATGGGGGAAGGGGGGCTGGCAGGACCGGAGGTCTTACGAATGGTAAAAAAGGGGGATGCAGGAGGTCGTGGTTATGAGTTTTTCGGTTTTTGTTAAACTTCAATTATTTTTTTATACCAGGAATCGCCCTTGTATCGCATTTTATCACGTCGTTTTTTTTTTTTATTAACGTAAATCCAAAAAGAACTCAACAATTTCAAATAGTTGTGAGAACCGACGTCGTTATGTTAATATCCTCGTTTTCCCGGCGGAATTCTTCTATTTTTCTCCGTTAAATTGGAAAAGTACAAAGAATTTCCAAAAATTAAAAAAATAATAAAAAATCATCTCACATTAACGCACGATCCGAAATGATAGACTATCAAGTTTCTGTATTATGAATTTTTCGTTCGAAAATTTAGTTGCAGACATCAGAAAAAAAACACAAAATTTACTTCTTTTTCAAACGGCTTAAGATCCTATTATGATTTCTACCTCTGGGGTGTTCATGTTTAGTTATTATATTTATGGAAAATAATACAATTTCGTTGTCATTTTGTGACGATATTGATTCTATCTTTTGGAAGGGGGGGGGGATTTCTAGAGACTTCACGTTTCCGTGGCGTCCCTTTGCCATCAGTTATGTCACGGGTATTTATACACAATTTGTAATATTGTATGATTTTAAATGGCATCGGACGTACGTCCGAAACATTTGACAGGTCAACACTGTATAATATAGGCGAGGTATACAATCGATTTTTACTTTCAAGCGAACGCACGTGAAACGGTCGAAAATCGAAAAATCGTACGGCGGAAGTAATAACGTCTGACACATTGACAGCCGTTAAATAGTTATAGAAAATCGTTTTCGTACGCATTTGCTGCGCTGTGTATACGCGAAGGATACGAACCGTAACGGTACGTATATGTGTATAGTGTTGTCGTATATACCAATAAATAATAATAATAAAAAAGTATAGTGTCCCATTGGCCAACCCCAGATAGTCGGGATGAAGGCGAAGGAGAAAAAGTATCCTTTTGAAATCGATTGTTCGTCTGTACACGTATATATATAATATTGTAGGTATACGTATAATATTATTGTCGTCGTTGCGACTGTGATGCAGGTGAGTAGTGCGGACGAGAAATCGTTTTGTAAAAGAAGGATGTGAACATTTTTACTTTCGTTTACTATATACGTGTACCTATGGAACAATACTATATAAAACGCCAACGCGGCGTATAATATTTCGGAAATAAATCCAACAATACAAATGTTGTCACGTGTCATTTGTATTGGATGCCGGTACATTTTTTCGAAGTGTTTTGTAAAATTGTAGACGACAAATACAATATGGTAATATTGTATGATTACAAATCATACAAATACATAGTGGTTCTTTTTCTTTTTTTTATCCTTTGAGCCCGTAGCGATCAACCATATAATGGTCGATAATAGTACGGAGATTTCGGTGTTTTTTTTTATTCAATACATAAATACACGTTAACTAACAGGTAGGTAGGTATATTGATTTTAAATTAGTAATCTGATATTTTTTTATCTAACGAGAATGCCAAAAAAAAGTTATACTGGTCTAAAAAAAATGTAGACCGAAGGCGTATATTAACGAAGGACAATAAATTCCATATTCACGTTTAAAAAAAAAAAACCCGAAATAGCATTTGAAATTTTCGGAGATAATCACCTCTATGGTTTGTGATAAAATAATCACTCTGTAAACAACATTAAAAAAAAAACAAGTTTGTATCGAATAGTTATGTTTGAACGATGTGATGAAGAGTTCATAAAATCACGCGTATATCAAAGTAGTATTAGTAGTTTTAGATTCTGAGTGGAACGAGAAATGTATTGGTTTTACAGTGAAGTTTATTTTTTTTCATTATTTTTTCTTTTTTATGTAAACACTTTTTCTACCAGAAAGCATATTCCGATTATCAAGTATAGCATCTTATCTGAAAGAAAATTTTCTTTGAGTGGTACTTTAGAGAGGTCGATTTTTGAAATTATCATTAATATTCGAGATAATAACGTAAACATCGGTTTTTAGGTTAAAACAAATTGAAAGATCAAAAATAAGGTTGTCATTGGCAACAGTTTTTATTTATTTTTTTGTTATTATTAAGTTTTTATTATTTAAATTTTTTTTAAACAGTCGTTGTTGTCATGGAAACGCACATTGTTTTAATCATTTTACCATAATATGACATAATACCATATTGTATTGTTGACAAAGCAACAATCTATCAACTAAACTCGGCTCATAGTCGTTTTTCGTTTTTCGTTCGTTTTTCACCGAGCAAAAATTTCGCATCTTTTGAGGCACAAATCAGAGTATTTTTAAAAACCGAAAAAGTGTTTTTAGAGGAAACACCAATACAAATCTGTGTAAAACTATAATAGCTTCTTCGCTACGTTCAGAATCTAAAATTTACAAAAATCATTTGTTTCGCATAGCTTCTGCGATGTGCTGCATTGCCTCGCCCAACTATACTAATAAGTAACTAAGATTAGGACCGATTACGATTTACATTTAGGGGTAGTGTTTTTTTTTTTACATTATACAAATGAAACATTCAATTGCATATTTTTAACGTGATTCGTCACCGTTTTTTATACGTACAATAATTTATAATCGTATATGCATACAAAATGTTTACATAGATAATTTGTATTTTATTACCGAGCATTCGTTTCATACATACATATAATGTATGCATAATACGCAGTTTGATTTTTACGGGGTTTTATAAAAAAAAAAAAAAAAAAATGTCATAAACGAAACGAATTATGGAAATTTATTCGACCACAAACCCCACGCACTATACGCACCGGTTAATATACAAAAAATGCGGGTCCCCTATAACTGCGATCAATATTTTACTATCAATAACGATCCCGGCTGCAGCAATAGTAACGTAGTTATTGTCAAAATTCGCTAATACGTTTTACGTTTCCGAATAGTTATGGAATTATGCTATTATAACGGCGCGAGCATTATATTGAGGGGATATCGATAACGTAATTTTTTTTTTTTTCGATTTTCCATATAGGTAATTAAATTCAATCCGAAAAATATTAACGGTACACCGCGGTTGCTCGTCTCGGCGGTAATTATTATTTATGCTTTTCCTTCCGAAATTCAACCATAAACGATGGAGATCCGTTTGATATCGAAATATTTAGATTATGTTGTAACATTTTTCTTATATCATACATTTTAACAGGAACTTCATATCCTTAGCATAAATTTTATATCACGTCAAATTAATAAGAACTGATAACAAAATAGCAATCGGAAAATCGGTAAAATTGATTACCGGATCCAATGGAAACAATAAAATATATCATTAGACTGATGAGTTTCAGAATGGTTATGCGTTCGTATTATCATTCGGTTGAACATCGCTGAATTAACACCTTGACTATATTACAATAGCTGCGTATTGTACCCCAATTTTTCCCTTATGCAGTTTTGAGACGACAATGTGCATTCCAATAGCGAATAATTAGCGCTAAACTAATGTATTAGTGGACAATTTTGAAATACCCCCGACCGAATTCAATTTTTGTTTTCACGCGAGATATCAGAAATCGACAACAAAATAATAATAATAACAACGCGATCGAATTATACGGGTTAAACTAACCCGTGCCCTCATTTCTAGAATACTCCAGTAGGTGGGTACACTATTATCCGTGTACCAAATCCGTTAAGCCTTTTTGGCGTGTTTCGCAGTAACACAAACGTTCGCATTTATAATACAATATCAGTCATATAGGGATTCCTATAAAAAGCCAATGCGAAATGGGACATTTTGGCGTGAAGCCTTTTCGGCAAAAACGTATAAATTCAATTATTTTAATTTATTTATACACATATTATAAATTATAGCAGTATCATCATCGGTCGGTAGGTTAAAATAGGAATGACCTATTCTACATTATGGTCATTCATAACATGCTTAAGAACGATCCAAGCCGGATGGGATACGTATTTGTACCAATCGCAGGAATCAGGAAGAACGCCGTAAAAGTTAAAAAGAATATCTTGACGCAGACAAAAGATTATTAAAAATAATTCACGAATCGGATACACCAGACATTTTAACGTAATATTTAAGAGTTGTATCACATAATATTTCATCACAATACTATGATGTTTATTCATGTAAGTTTTCAGCATAAATTTTCAGTTTTATTTTTTAATTACCTATAATTAAATAATAATTAATTGTAGTGAAAATATTTGTTTATTATAAATTTACACGCCGGAATGGTTACATGCCGAAACGGCCGCGGCAAAATAGCCATGGTAAAACGGCCACGCCAAAATGTCTTAGAACCAAACCATTGGTTTAGTATGTTATAAATATTGTTGGTTATATTCGGTTGTATTTTTCGTGTAATCGAGTGCGAGTTTATCATTTCTACGTTTTTAACAATTCATCCTCGCGGAGTCCGAAAGAGTTTCAGAAAATTTTTTTTTTCGCGCATCACGGAACCGTGTTTTAATAACCACCGCTACCACTGCTGTCTACTGCTGCCGCTCCGCCGTAATAATATATAATGACTATAATTTGCTCGGTAAGAGAAAGACAAAGTAAAAAAAAAAAAAAAAAATAAATATTTTATCGTTTTTTTTTTTATGTGCACTTATAATATTATTATGTTTCGACAAAACGTCGCGGAGACTCGCACGAACTTCCTGGGTGGCGTTTCTCCCGCGAAGGTTTTTCCCACCGAATGTTTTGTGACAACTCTCCCAAAACCGACTACTCGGCCGGACGTGATATCGACACACCGGGATTGAGATAACGTCTCGAGATTATTATTATTTTTCAGTTGAGTTTTCTCACAGTCGTCTTATATTATCCGGGTGTTATAAAGTCGATTTTTCCAACTTAACTGAGTATTTTGTCGTCGATTATTTTTAATTGACTCAACTCGATTTAATAAAAACTGTTGTATAAACTCCGCTATTGATACAGATAATTTCCATAATCATTTTGCAGTTCTAATATTGAAACAGTAGAGTTTGTATATTTGTCACGAACATATTTCGATCATTTGATTTGTAGTTAATTATTTTCGCGATCACGGACTATTTGAAAAATGGGAAAATTGATTGCGGTAATAACGATTTCATTATTTTCGATTTTGTTTTGTTCATTCTTGTTACTGTAATTCGGTTTTAAACAATCGTGGAAACCTGAAATTTTCACCGAATACTTATATTGACCTTTTATAAACGCGGTATAATATTTAAATCATACTGGACATTTTCGAGCTTCTTGTAGGCATTTGCGAGTTTTGTCTTCCTGTTTATTTGGCTTAATAGTACACTATTAAAATAAACTCTCGTCCGAGTCAATTATTTTCACCGTGACACGATAGTTCTCTATGAAATATATTAAAATTACATTATCTATTATGTATTATACGCATTACAATATTTTCAACGATTAATCATATTCGACTCCCCGTCGAGGAGACGGATATGCGTCGAAAACACATCCGCAAAAAACAAGTCCGCGAACATCGGGGTGGCGTGTGCAGTTTTACAATACTCCCTGCACATTATAATAATGATAATATTATTATTGTTTACCCATCATATTATTATTGTATAGGTACTCTCACTCTCGTCGTTTATTGTTCTTTCGCACCGTGACTGGCGATTTTTGCGGATGAATCCGATCGATTTACTCACCCCTAGCTGTATCCCCCGGGGAATACTTATTATTAAATAACCGTGGTTACCCGATACTTGATCGAAATAACCGACTAACGGGAGGACGTGTTGAAAAAAAAAAAAAACGGTCGAATATTTGGCATGCGGGTGCATTTGGAAACGCGAAAATGTGTTCGGAAATGTTCGCATGAGTTCTGTATGGCGTTACCAAATCAAACGAATTATTTCGGTTTTTTTTTTTTTTTAAACGGACCAATTTGAATATTACTCTATAATTATTGAATTTTTTTTAAAAAAAAAAAAAAAAAAACAATACCTAATGGTCTTAATGGGTTCGTATTATACTATTATGCTAGGTAACGTTGCACGCGGACGTCGCGAACGATATTTCCTGTGTCTGGCCCTAAAAATTTATTCGGAATGACGGATCTCGGACTCGTAAAAAAAAAAAACTATAACAAAAAACGAACGCGGCCCGTAAACCACCTGCACCCGCGCCGTGCCCGAGCCCGGCACACCTGTTTCGCCGCGTCCGGACGTCCGAAACTCAATTATATTATTATATATTTTAACACGATGATTTCCTATTGTTATGTTATCGGTTTTCGTCGCCCGTTTTTACATTACATTATAATACATTTTTTACATATACACACACACACACACACACATTATACAACCGACGGGGTACCGCTACACTATACACTATACAGGGTCTTTCGAATTTCGTGTTACAGTTTTTTCTTCTTTTTTTTTTTTCGATAGTAGAAGTGCTCCAGCAATACGCATTTGTACCCCGTAGCAATAGGTCGCTCTCAAAACCGTACCGCAGTGTAACATTTGGAAGACATCGCCCTGTATAATGTAGGCCTCATCGAATCGTCGGCGGCGGCGGCGGCGGCAGCGACGGGACATACGGCAAATGGACGCGAGCAATTTACGAATATTTACCCGGTCTTTTATAAGAAGTTATTATAAAATAATTCGAGTTTGTCGAGCGATATTACACACCGTTTCCCTTCGAATTATAAACACAAGACGTTTTAATATCCGTCGATTAATTACATTGCGCACTAGGTACGTTTTGAACCCATCAGCCCCGCGAGAATAAACGGATTTTTGTTCCGATTACCTCCTTAATTTGCACCGCGTAAAACCACCGTTTTTATACGTTATTTTTTTTCTACCAATACGTACTCATTACAAGTAGATCCTGGAGTTCGGTTTAAAGAGGGTATTTTTTTGTATATGGGGGGGGGGTGTAGGGGAGGAGCTCGATTTAAGACAATATTGCTTTTCAAGTACATAATTCGTTTCCTGTACAACGCAGATACTTCAGAAGTAAAACTTTCATTTTGCATTTGTTGGTTTTTTTCAAGGGTATTATTTCGTTAACAACTTAAAAAAAAAAAAATAAAAGCGTTTAAATCCATTTACGTAGGATACGCGTGACGAATAAAGTATACCTATGCGTGGCTATATCCGGCGTTAACGGTAATTGACGGAGGGTCGGGACAAATAATCTGTCGACTCTGAAAATGTTTTATAAAGTTGTTGGATGAGTAGAAATGTTGACGATACTTATAGACTTATAGTGATGAAACGATATAATCACGTGATAAATTACGAAAAAAAACCCGAGAAATTATTAGATTTGCCAAATACAAATTGATTCCCCGACTTAGTATAGTAAACATTTTCAATTTTGGGTCTCTCCCCCCTAAAAATATAAAATTATTAGGATAGGAAATTTATAAGTTTCGTATGTAAGTATAGTAAATTGTTTTAATGTTTTATTCATCTGACCGCGAAATTTGAATAAAATTACGATAATATCAATTGTAGGTAATTTTTTTTTGTTTTTTTTTGTTTTTTTTATTACTATTATTTACATTAATTTCACGTGCGCACTGACGCGCGGTATTCAAACGTAGGTACATAAAACTCGGCGACGGCGGTGATGGATCGGGGGAAACAACTCGACAAACATAATATTATTATTATTTTCACATCGATCTGATTAATAAACACGTATCTCGTTGAAATAATAGTAATTAGCTCGGTAAAAATAACGACATGAATTAACTATTATGTTAATTTAGTACCTGTGTACACAAGTATTCTGCATATATTATTATTATTTTATATCGTGAATAAATTGATTAAATTAATAATAAATATAAGTATCCCGTTACATATTAATATGTTTTATAACTTTAACGAATATTTTCGATTAATTTCACGTATCGAGTCCGTTAATTTACTAAAAAAAACCAACCAATACATTTATCGAATCGAATTTATAAAAATTTGAATACCTGTCGTGAAACTATCATAGTTGAAAATATCATTAGACGACAAAAAGTAACGATTGTTAAATATTCGTCGACGATTAACGGACACATTTAATAATATTAAAATATTACAGTGTAATTACAATTTTTCGGATATATTTTGACCGGTTGTGCCTAAGATAAAATCCGAAAACTTCACGTTCTTCCGACCAGTAACAATTAGGGGATCTACATTGGCCAATTTTCGTTTTATATAATTATCTGTTTTTTTATACACAAGTTTCTTTACTTTTTAGCCGTGGAAATCGAAAACGTGTTGACAGTTACTTATTATATTTAATCAACGTATCGAAAAAAAACCAGAGCGTGTACATTTTCTCGTTTAAAACGAAACTCATCCACCGATCCACTGTATTAAACGGGCGTGTCCCCGCGAGTAGTATCGGATGATTCATTCAATTGGGTACACTCGTTATCTCGGAAAGTATTAATTTTTTCCCGGATTTGTTTTCTAGAACATTTCAGAAACGAGCTGCACTGTAATTTTATATTTACGTTATTTTTCGTCGCACTCATTTTCCTGCTTTTGATTTTCAAACGGCAACTTATATTAAAAATTCCATAAATAGATGGAGTATTAGTTGAAATAAATTTTAGTGTTGACATTTTTGGTTTCCGTCGACGGGATATTTCACTTTTAAGTTTCGGTTGGAGGAGGGTACTGGAGTATCATTAGTGTACGGCGCGCAGCGTGTTAATAACGCGCCAATACTCTCTTCTAACCTAAAATTTAAAAGTGGTATACCTCGTCAACGGCTTGACAGAAATCAAAAATTTAAGTACTAAAATTTATTTTAACTAATATTAAGTCTATCTACGTTTTTATGACTCACGGTTTTCCTATTAAATATATTATCTCTCTCCTTGATAAAATCCTTAAAATATTTACCATACTGCTCCGATAAAAACCTAAAATATAATAATAATAATAATAATATATTTACTTTGTAACGGCAAAGTACAAAGGAAAGGACCAGGCACAAATAGACCAGTTACAAGCTCGTCCAGTAAGCAACACATGCCTGAGACGGGTGAGCCGAGTTGACATTAAAATTGTATTAAAAGAGAAAATTGTACATTAGAATTATATACTATTAAGATGCCAATTATAATGTGTTATTGTATATTGTCGAAAACTCGAAGCCGTGTGAGTGTGCGATTGGAAATGCACAATATAGGTACGTGTCGATAGATCGTTCAAAGCGGGGCATAATCATTTTTTCGCACGATACCCGAACCGCGTACTATGCGTGACGTGACGGTATAATCAAATGCGCGAAACACGCGGAAAATAATATATTGTATGATAATAAAAGGGGTACTCATCTCTGTATATCTATTTATTTTTTTTTTCTTCCGCGGTCTTTTTGTTTCCGCACGAACTGATCGCTGATTTATACGACAGTCGCTGCAACAGCGATCGCTCGCTTATATACGTAATACTCGTATAATGTGTATGTATGTATAGGTGTACAAAAGCGACCGTTGGCACAAAAGGTTACCTATACATTGTATACGCGCACACACGCGCGCACGTCTAAGTGGCCCCGTTAGGAATCCGCGGGAGAAAAGAATATGAATATCGGTTATTTCCCGCGCGCCGAGGATGTACGGAAATTTATGTGCTCGTCGTCGTATACGTATACGTAGAAGGGTTGAATCATTAAAAGGCTCCCGGGTATATAAATGTGCGAGAGGACGGCAAAAAAAAAAAAAAAAAAACACCGACTTGTTAGATATCTGCCTATAACACGTATAACGTACGGCGAGTATGTATGTATTCGCGATTCGAAAAACGGTGACGGAGAAACGGTATAATGTATACAGTGCGCTACTGTATGCGCGGCTATTGTTCTAGAAGTGAAAAAAAAAAAATAAAAAACAAAAAATAACGGAGTAAAAAGCGGTGGTTTTTTTTTTCTATACTCGAAATAGAGCGGTTTTTGAATGCTTGTTGTCAGATAATATGCTAATAAGTCACTGCCACGCCGCCGTCGTCGTCGTCGGCGTCGTGTATGGCACACGGTTGTCACGGCGACGACAACGGTGCCGCGGAATAGATCGTATAATATTATATTAAATTATTAATGTTTTCTCTCTCTCGTTTCCAGACGACTAAATAATCGGTTATGGGCCGATACGCGTGTTTTATTATTATGCTAAACAGCTACTGTCCAGACGGCAATAAAACAACGTGGAATTCATTTTCCGGAACCGCCTGTCTGCGTACCGGAAACGCGTAGTCAGTTTTGGTATAATTTTTTCAATTCCCTACCCGCCCGTCCCCCGCTTTGGCTAATCATCGGTCGTTGTGTACAAATCGAGAGTTTTTCCGAGCGTTCGTAATAATCACGAAAAAAAAAATCCCCCCGAAAAGACCCGCGAACTCGGACCGCACTATTGCGGATCGGTGAACCGGCCGTACAACACGTTTGTGGTTTCGTTGAATCGAAACTCGACGTGTTTGCGCAAAATTGGTTCGTTCGCACAACGTTTGGACACATCATATGTCTCTTAAAAAATAACACGGCAGTACGAAAACCTGACCTATCTGTCGGCTCAAACCTGGTATTTTGAGAACGTTTTAGCGGCCTGATACTAAAACTCAAACTTAAAATCGACAAGAAACCACGACGGGTTTTCATTAAGCAGGGGCGAGAGGCAACAGAAAAACCACGTCGGGCGGGTCGCGGGCCAATCGTGTTTTACGTATGCACTTTGCGAGCGTCTCGCGAGTACTGCCGGGTACCGATCGAATTATTAAATGTCGGTCTTAATTATTTTGTTTCACGAAAACATGTTTGGAAATTTTCTTTGCGCAGCGTGATTATTATTTTTCAAATTTGCATGATCTTTTTCGCAGATAACCATCGGCAATGTTAAAGTGGACGGCGGCCGGACAGCGGGGCGGGACGGTGCAGAACTGGAGACAGACGACAGCGGTGCAGGTGCCGGCCGACGAGTCGCAGTCGTGTTTCACGGAGAAGCCGCGACGGAGACGATTGTCCAGGAGGATGTCTGGCAGACACGATAAAGAGAACTCGACGTGCGTGGTGAGTGTCCATAAATTCGTTGACAGTAACCTGTGACTTTTCCCCCTTAAAATTACAGGAAGCGGTTACAGAATAATGAAATCCGTTTCGTTTCGCCGGTTACACCGGTTACAAACGGTCACGAAAATGTATGACCATGTTGGATAGATTAGGGGTGGCTATACTTCATTCGGAATTATTACTTCTTCTTATTAAACCCGCTTGACCTAGTTTGACTTAATTTTTGTGTTTTTATACTATAAAGTATATTTAAACCTACTAGATAGTTATGTCGAACGAGGGAGTAAGCCGTCCAGTAAGGAGCTGGTTTTAAACGAACCTCGTTGCCATCGGTTACTATGGTTTGTAACTGTACAAAAATGGTTCACTATCAATTTGTGACCGGTAACTCGTTACGATTTTGTGGTTACCTACTGTTGTATTTGGCTTTTTAGGTTAAAAAAAATTAAGAGATTAAAAATAAGGTTGTCGTTGCCAATCGTTTTTATTTATTTTTTGTTATTATTAAGTTTTTATTAATTTAATCTTTTAATCTTTTTTAAACAATCGTTGTTGTCTTGAAGACGTACATTGTTGAAAAAGCAATACTATTGACCGAGCTCCGTTCAGAATCGTTTTTCGTTGGCGATGATTAATCATTGCGTACAGATATAAATTGATTTCCCCTTTATATCCTACCTTCCCAACTTCTCACCTACAACAGTGGCCTATCCGTCTGTTTTTATATTATTTGTATGCATATACCTGAGTATAACTATTGAGTGTAACTGTATCCGCGTCATATAAAAAAAAAAAAAAAAAAAAAAAGGTAAACTAAATAGTATTAATAATCTATTGATCTTGCTGTCTTGCTGTGTGATCAGTTTTCGCTTCCAATACGAGATTTTTTTTGATTCTATAATATTGTAATGAAGAAAAAATATGTTTGTTGTTTATTCGCATTTTTTCTACAAAACTGCCGCATAAGAAGAGAAATTACTATTATTATTATTTTATTTTTTGAAAAGAAAGAACAGTAATTGTTAATATCTTATTATCCTCGCGGGATGCCTCGAGGACATCATTGTGATTCTAGCACCGTGAAGGTTTTTTTTTTTATTTTCGAGAGCCTTATACGTTTTTGCTGTTTCTATTTATTTGAAATGACCGTCTGGAGACAGAAAAAAAAAACAAAATACACCGTCCTTCGCTATATTGTTTCGACGGTCGTATTTCGAGTTTTATCAGCACACTGAAGTCAGCTAAATCGATCCGTCCACATTACACCCAGTCGATTTACAGACGGAAAAAAAAAATCTTTCCAAAGCGGCTACTTATTAACGGACGAGGAGCGAGGACGTACACACATGTATCGCCGAGGTTTCTTTTTTCGATTTCAAAATTGACATAATATATTTTTATCGTTACATTATCGATGATATAGTAGTATTATGATCGCATTAAAAAAAACTGATATTACTAATGAGTGTGTCACTGTTTTAGGAGAGAAGTTGGATGGTAGGATAAATAGAGTGTTTCAATTTACAATTTATATCTGAAAAAAGGATTCTGAGCAGAGTATCGTTAGTCGTGTATTTCCCGTTGTTGCCCAAGGTAACCCAGAAATGAACAAAAATGTTCAGTTTCTATCAAAAAACATCACTTCATCAATGTACCAATTAGATCAAATACGTTGCAGTAAAAAAATTCTTATAAAGTTTTTATCGATAACAGCAAGATTTTTGGAAACGCATTGTTTACAGCACATCGTCACTTCGCTCAGAATCTAGAAAACAAACATTTCATATGTATCCGGGACTGACACACGGGGGTGCCATTGTCGACCGGCACCCGTCACTCCTGTAACGCAATGGAATCTATCACCGCAACGGTAATCGGAAAGGACGACATTAAATACATAATTTGTTTACAGGACGTGCAGACGCCCACGTCGAAAACGTGTCGAACCCGTCGCCGGGAGAGCTTGAGGGACGTGAGCAACCACAACAGCCCGGCGGCGACGACGATGCTGCTGATGTCGCCGGGCGGCAGACGAACCAAAAGTCCGTGTACAGAAACCCATTGGATGCCCGTCCAAAAGAGGTGAGTTTGTTTTTTTTTTTTATATTATTGGAGAAACCAGAATCCCGTGCAGTGATGGAACAGAATCCTGCGGGTAAAAGACCCGCGGGAAAACTATGAACGCGCCGGGAAGATGTATTCGAAAAGCACGTGAACAGTTGGGACGCGGTTCCAATTAGAGGAATCTAATGTCGAGTGTAGAGAACGGAGGGGACTTGGGCTGCGAGACGGAACGGTTCTAAAGGCCCCGGATACACCCCCAAGGAGAGGAAGATAGAGCGAAGGTAGCGCGCTATTTTCTCCGTTGCGTGGAAAAAAAAAAAACATCAAACCGTTTTCGCCGAGATGAAGGAAAATGTCTCGCGGCGCGGCATTGGGGACGTGGATTTTCGATTTTAAACCGATAACCGCGAAAAAATAATTTTGAAAAAAAAAAAAACCGGCGTAAAATTGTCACGTTCGGAAAAAGAATTTCCGTAGACCAAGTCCCGACGCGCCTCGTGAAGAGCGTCGAATTGCGGACGGGCCGTTACGCCCGCGTGATAAATCGTTAATTTATCGCGCGTCGTTTCGTCACCGCCGTACCGACGCACTGCGGAATCGTCGCGACGTATTTCGTCGGTGACCAACGACGGGCGGGCAAACGGGCGACAGTCTCCCGCTCGCGCGGCCCGTGTTCGCGTATAGCGTACGCTATTTCACGGTGTAATCGTTAGCCGTTTGCTGTTTTTCCGAATTTTTCACGGCCGAATCGGCTCCGCTGTTAACGGCGTCCGCAACGCGACCAACGCACCGCCGATCCCAACGCGTTTCACCGGTTTACCGCGCGGTTACGACCACAATGTCTGCACACGAACGGCGGCACAATACGATAAAAAAAACGATAACCGCGCGTCCGGGTACAAACGTCGCCGCGCTCACCGCGATAACAATTGAATAATCACGTGCGAAATATCGTCGCGGGCGTACGCACGCGACGTTATTATTAATTCGTCAAAATAATACCCACGCGTAGCCGCAGCCGCACGCGATTGCGCGCCGGTCAAAACGACGTTTACGCGACAAACGCGTGTGTTTGGTTTTCTCGTTTTCCGCGTCCGCTCCGTTTTAACCGTCGCCGGTTTTGATTCGGGTTTTTCGCAGGGATCGGCGAAACCGTTATGCGCGGCACGGCAGATCGCAGTATTGATTAGCCGTTTGAACCTAGTGACTTTTTACATTTTTTTTTTTTCCGTCGCGGTTTTCATTGGAGGGGTTTCGTCCGTCGGTAACTCTACGAAATTACTCGAATCGAATACGAAATCGATTAAATAGGTTTTCGCGATTCCGGCAATATTAATACGCATTTGTTTTTTTTTTTTTTTTTGTATTCGCGCAGACGGTCCGGCGACGATATATTTTGGACGGACGACAAAGTCAAACGGAAAAAACCGTGCACGGCCGATCACGTGATCGGCACGCCCGCCGCGGTCACCCGCGGGACGACGGTTACCGGCACCGCGCCCGTCAAAGACAACGGCCAGCTGTGCGTGTCCATATCGCCCACCGAAGAACCGGTCCAGTTGTCCCATAAACAGTTACCGGCGCCGACCGCGGCGTTTAGAACGTCGCGGCATCCGGAAGCGGACGATCTGCGCGCGTCCACGTTGATCGACCGGTACGTCGACGAGATATGCATGAACGATTGCACGTTGATCGGCGGCGGCGGTCCCGGTGACCGGTTAAGCATCGTGTCGCCGTTGGCCAAGCGGCTGGCCGACATCCGGTTGCGGCGGTCGCCGGGGCCCGCAGTCGCGACGGTCGCGGCCGGTCGCAAGCGAAAACGGACGGTCTCCTCCGACCAGCAGGACGACGACTGCCCGGAACGGACGCCCGCGATGCCCGGCGGAAAACGGCCGGCCGCGTGGTGGTGGCAATGCTCGGGTGGCGGCGGCGGCGGTACAGGCGGTCTCACCCTGCCCGACGGTCTGGCCAGTCCGTTTCACTCCTCGTACCGTAACTACCGTCACCATCAACACCGTCCCCTTCACACGGTCACCGCCGTCCCGCCCAGTCCCATAACCCCGCTGCGCCGGGGCTCGGGCGACATGCTGGACGACGATTCGGACGACTATTGGAAAACGCCCGTCGGCCGCCCGGTAGCCGGGTTCCGCGGAGACAGCCTGCTCTCGACGGCCTCCTCCAAAACGGTTGACGACGAAATCATCTGTTGCAGCGATCCACGCAGCCCGGCCGTGCTGGACGAAACGTTCACAATGAAATCGCGGCGGTGTCTGTCGTTCGTGTCGCCGCCGCCGTCGGACAGGAAGAAACAGCGCAGGTCCCTGAAGAAATCCACCTCCGTCGACAAAGGTAAAACCAAAAGCGAAGACCGGCAGGGTGTCGGGGATTTTCGCGGGTTTCGCATTCGAATATTCAAAATTAATTTGCCGCCTTATGCTCGATTTAAACCCCCACCCCCCCTTCCCCCTACCACTTCCCCCCTCCTCGCGCTTTTGTCCAGTAAAAAAGCATTTCTCATACATTTCAATGCAATACGCTGAAAAGATTCTCGCGTTCCGAACAATAACATTCGAAAAGCAATCCATTCGCGTTGTAAATCGCGGGGCACAAACACGAAATTCCGTACCGTTGTCTAGACGTTTCGCTAACCATTTTTCGTGACCGGGTTTTTTTTTTCTGTTTTTCCAGCTTCCGGTCTAGAAGTGTCCATCGGCCTGAAAGATTTGACGCATTTGACCGTATTGCGTGAGTATTTTGCAGCCCTGTGCGTGTATGGATGTGTAATAAACGTTTGGGTTGTTTATTTTTTTTTTTTTTTTGCGTTTCAGTGAAAAGAGGCAGAAATCTGGTGTGCGCGGACGGCGATCTGCCCAACACTTACATAAAGGTACGTGATATCGAACGGGGAGACTCTTTCGTTTTCCGATCAGACCAACCCCGTTAACGGTTTATTAATATCGAGAAATTGGAATTTTACCGACAGGTCTATTTGGTGCCCGGCAAGGGAACGTGTCACAGGACCCGGATCCGACACAATTCCGCCAACCCGCGTTTCGACGAATCGTTCACCGTGCCGGTGTCCGAAGAGGACCAGGGCAAGAGAATTTTAATATCCGTGTGGCACAGGAACCGGTCGAAGAGGTAACTATTATTATTTTCGACTTGATCTGCTTAAAGTGTGCACGGGAACGAACTGCGGGGGGGGGAGGGAGGGAAATATTAGGCCTGCTGTCTTTTAGAGAAAATAAATCTGTAAAAATGCTAAAAAAAAAACCACAGCTGTTAAAAATGTTCGGGGCGGGCCGACATTTATTTCGATAAATATAATGGACTTTTTTTTTTTTTCACAACTTACGAATTACAAGTGCGATCGCGACTTGAACGTTCTGACCACGCAAGTAACGAAACAATTAACGCACACTCCCCTCCCCCTGCTCTCGCGGGAGCGCCCTCGCCGCGTACTGTAAATCTGTGCGACGCGCCCCGACATATTACGAACGCGTTGAACGTCACAACCGGAAAATCGTCCCGTTTCGCTTGAAAATTAAAACATCTAAAAAACGAAAAAAAAACCGACGTACCGACGTAACCGAACGTCGACGACGACGTTCTCACGTGTCCTAGGTCCGGTAACAGTCGAGTGCGCTGTGCGGTTGGAAGACCCGCAGCACGAAACGAACGGAAAGCGTGTAAACGTAACGGCGGTTCCGCGAATCGCGGGACATTTCTCCGGCAGGGCGCGACGTATCAGGCGCAACCCATTTCGCGCCGTCCGTTTCGGTATCGGTGTGCGCCGCGCGCCCATTCACCGGCACAAGGGTAGGCGTGCGGTCCGTGTGCGTCCGGTCAGGTAATCTGCGGATGTTTCGATTTTCAATCCAACGGACGACAGTGTTCGTCGAGTTTGCCGATGAGCTCACTTACGTTCCCGTAACGAAAGCCACCGCGCGAACCGGTTTTCACGTCCGAAAATCTGTGACCGTAAAAACGATTCCGCCGCGTAACATATAAAATTCGACATTGTCGCTGGCGCGTCTGTGCCGACGATTTTCGCCGGCGATTTCCCAACTGGCCGGGGCCCCCGCCGCCGCCGTGACCGCGGCCCGGACGAAATTTAATAACAGCACAAGAACGGCCGAAGAGGGTCGGTCGCCGGCGGGTGACGATAATTCATCCCCGGCCGCGCCGTCGACGCGCACCAGCGACGGGTCTCGCGGTGTAATTGTATTAAATCGTTTTATCGATTTTTCCTCGCGGTCCGCCGGAAATTATTGCCGCGTTCGGGCCGCCGTCGAACCCGGCACCGCGTTTTCCACGGACGTCGGCGTTTCGTACGGAATCCGAAGTTCTATGTTTTTTCATTTTTTTTTTTTTTATCACCCGAATCTCATCCCGTTCGATTCTCCGCGTGCCGCGTGATTCGTTCCACTCGATAATTGGCGAAAAACCGCGGGGAAAACGGAATTGACGGTTTCTTCGTTTACGGTTTGGGGAGGGGGGGGGGTTTCTCTAGCGGTTCGGTTAAAAGTAACCGTAGAGACCCGAAACGCGTACGAATCGGCTTGCGACATTATAGCGACCGATGTTGTAAGTCTTTTCTAGAGTCTTGTCAAACGTTTGCCCCACTCTTAGGGGAAAACCGAAACGGCGACCCCGGCCGGACGGCCGCGAGTGTGTTATTCACGGGGCCGTGATCCCGCGGGGTTGGCCCTGCAGAGCGCGGCGGACACCGGGCGGCCGTCGTTAATACGGTCGCGCGTCGTCCGACAGCAGAAAATAAAACCGATAAGGGTCGGTGTTTTTATTTTTATTTTCTGCACTTGTCGGGAAAACCGCGTCCCTTCGCCGTACATACACACACGGCCGTCGGGCATCGCGAGGAGAGGGCGCGCTGTGACTGTTATTCGGGAGCGATTTCTCACCCCACTACCCCCCCGGCCGTTCCCGTTCGTTCGGGCAGCGATCCCGCATTAGCATTTTACGACCGAACGTAACCGGAGGCGGTGGCGTTTTTCGGGATGCTGCCGGGAGGGTACGACCGGCGGCGGCGGCGGTGACAGGGACGCGGGAAGCGGGAGACGGGCGACGCGGGAACGCTCGGGGTCGCGGGCGGTCGATCGATCCTACGCAAGCGACGCCGCTCGACGAAAACGTCCGTCGGCCCGTGCGGGCCCACAATAGCCGCGCGCGCCAGTCGCCGTTTTCCCGTCCGTCCGGAACGTCGCGCCACATCGCCGCCAGTCCGTACAACAATAAAATTGCCGTTTAATTTCCAGCGTGTTTGTACTGTTTATGGTTTTTCACATTTTACACGTTTTTCCAGGAGAAGCGAATTTCTGGGCTACATGTCGTTCGCGGTGAAAAACGTCGTTAAAAAAGTAAGTATATCATTTTTATTGTCCGAAGAATATATTATTTTTACACAATAGAGCGCGTGTATAACAAACGTTCAGCAGTGGCGCAAGGCGGAGGTATAAAAAAAGAAAACGAGACGTTCGCGCCCCCACCTCAAAATGACTTTTTCAAGATCCAATAACAATGATACACAATCTTTCGCCGTACATAAAGTCCCATAATGTCATTCAGCCATCGCGCACCGCGAATCGTTATCACATCACACCGGCGGCTAATGAAATTCTCGCGGTTTCGCCGCAGACGATGATATCGCTCTATGCGACGTCGATCCGCAAAGAAAAAAAAAACCGCGTTTCCCCGGGTGACCGTCAACACGTTAGAACCGTTTGAAAACGCGCAGCGTGTTTTGTGCACCGCACGGCTTTCGGTTAAGCCCGTAACGGCGGCTCGACGAGGCGCACTCGGCCGCCCGACGAAGCTCTTCAAGTATCGAGAGCCCATTGAAAAGCACATAATAACAACTACGGCGCTCCGTGACACATTACACTTACCGCTGTTGAAAATAATTGCTTTTTTTTTTTTCCGCGTCCGAAACGTTCGACCCGGGTCCGCGGGAAAATTCAAGACTTTGCCTCAAACAAAGCGGTAGTCTGTGCGGTTTATAAACCGAATTCGCGGTTCAGCAGAACCGATTTTACGCCGTTGTCGTCCCGGCATTAAAGCGAGTTGAACCCGATATCATAGGAAGAACGTTATAAACACAGACAGCAATATCCTCCGGTGGCGCGCACCGGGGCGCCGCCGGTTCGCAGAGGGGCATAACACCCACCAAACACCGCGGGTTGTGATACCCCCCTTTCCAATTCGCTTAAAAACACGATAGCTCCAAGTATACGATTATTTACCGTGCAATTATCGTCGTGAAATTGTACGAAAATTTCGGCCAAGTTACAACGGAAAAACGTGATTTTTTTTACAAATTGACCTTTTAGGTACCGGCTACTTTAGACGTTTGTTGTCGAGTTATTATGAACGTGTAACGGGTAAAAACACTACAATTTATTTATGAATCACGGTTGTTATTTACCGCATCCCCTCTATCGTTGAAAACTCCTGGGCACGCCAATACGCCACTGTATTCTCTCGTTGAAGTTCGATAGATGATCAATTCACTGTAGTTTTGAAATCAACACGAACGTTGACAGACGAAAAATACGTGAGGTGCAGCGTTTTGAAAAACGCTGCAATTTAAAAAATAATCAACGTTTTCGTCGTACCGTGGGCGGTATAATAAAACTTAACTATAATTATTAAATTCTAACGGTTTGTTTTTTTTTTGTTTTACGTAGGAAATAAATGGCACGTTTAAACTCGTGCCGCAGAGTAGTCCGGGTGGCCGAATGCCGCCCCACTCGACGCCGGCCCCTCATCGACCCCAAGGTATTTACCAGAAATTCGAACTCGCCAACTCATCGTGCGCGTCACTAAACTTGTAATATATTCGAATTCGATTTTAACAGATCTGACCGTGATAAAGGCTGTGCACTGTAACAGTATTGACGAAGACGACGACGTCGATGACATCGAAGAAGAGGACAATAATATTATGATCGACGACGAACCCTGCAGCACCACTACTACCGCGGCGGGGACGGGTAGCGGGAACATGTCGGGTATGTGTTACGGCTTAGAGCGTGTATGTAACTTTAGTCCCCGGGAAGGAGATCAACTTTGTGTATTTTTCCGAGCAAATAAAATTTAGAAAATTACATTTTGTTAAATGACGTGATGGCATAATTGCTAAATAACCTAACCTGAAATTCGGCATTCCAAACGGTTTACAAGTCGTTAATTTTTTTTTATGTATTTTGGCCCTTTTTGTTAAACGACCCTGTAACTATTAAGATATTTTAATTTGCAGTAAAACTGTATGTGTTTGAATATTATACGCATGTCGTTTAGGCCGATAAATAAATGGGAAAATGTGTCACTAGAAAAAAATTATAAAAAAAAAAAAAAAAACCCCGCCGAAAACCGACCTGTAAGCCCATCTTACCCGGGACTAGAGACAAACGCGAAATGATATAATACAGTAGAGTTTGACGTGACGTTTTGATTATGTTTTCGCGTTTCAGCCAAGGTGAAAATATCCGATCAGAAGCCAAAAAAGGATAACAATAATGCGAACGTAAAGACGGGTAAGTGCTGACGGGCGGCGGTGTATAGCATAACACCTATGTCCTATATAAATTATATTATGTACTTTTTTTTCCGAAATCGTCTTGTCTTCTCCTTGTCCCGAATTCGCGGCAACGCGTTCGATATTGTTGTACGCACGCGAGCAATATAAACGGTAGAACCACTCCAAACGGTTTTTATCACGCGATCCATCTCGCCATCGTGTAACAATAGCAATAACGTAAACGGCTCTCTGATTTCTCTATGCATACGCTGACCGTTTTTTAGCCACGTGCCCCTGATTTTTACGATATGAATTTTCCCCGGAAACAGCTTTATTTTTTTATAGTTAAAACTATAAAAACTAGATTCACTAGATCCCCAACAAGCTGAAACTCTGGAATCACATGTTATTTGATTATGTAGGTGAATTGTAGTGATACAATTATGGTTAAATATTTCAAAATGTCGCTGTAGGAGGCGGGTTTTTATGCTTTGAACAATCTTACATAATCCCCGCAATAAGCTTTAGTGAGACGCAACTTTTTGTACAGGGTGTCCCACGAATATATGCCTATTGTAATATCTCCGGATATAATAAAGATAATCAAATTCTATTTTTTTTTATTTTTTTTTTTTTTGTTTTACTCACAGGGATAAGGACTGCAAATATTTATATTTCGATTAATTTTTTATATTTTGGTAAAAACTTAAAAAATTAACTTTTTATTTTGTTATAATTGAAAAATTTGAACTATCAACTTTTATTTTTCATTAAATTCGAGATTTTTAATATTTTTTTCTTAAAATTCGCAGAAAAAATGTGTTCAGTCAATTATAGCCACAATAATAATAATCAATTAGCAAATGCGACTACAGCCTGCTGCTCTCTGAACTTTAAAAAAAAAAAAAAAATAAATAAAAATCATGAATTCAATGAAAAATAAATAGTTGAGTAATCAAAATGTTTAGAAGTCTATAACTATAAAATGGTTATCTTCACCAAAACACTAAAATTGTGTTAAAATATAAATATTTGTAGTCCGTATCCCTGCAAGTCATAGACAAAAAAAAATTTGATCATCTTTATTATCCAGGGAGATAAATAGATATTGTAACGGGTATATCTCTGTTAAAACACTCTGAATGTATTACGTTATAGTGTCTACGACTATGTGCCTTTCGGGGGGTTTCTATCCCCGTTCCAGACATTTGTATGCTAAAATTTCATAATTTTTTTTTATTTTACAGCAATATATATTATATATATTATTCTGTTATTTATTGTTTTGTGAAGAACATATTGGTAATATAAAAATTGTCGGGGGAAAATTCGATTCCGGTCGTTTTCCTTTACATTCCTCTGTGTTACTTTCCCATAAAATATCCGAAACTACGCGACATTTCAACCCTGCGGTAGCAATACGTTATCGTTTGAAACGTTTTTCGAATGTCCATTAACTTACGGGATAAAAATCCCTCTCGGTTTTAAGGGATTTCGCATTTTCATTTCAGTATACTTTCGTTTTTTCACGTCCAACACTCGTGTACCAATGATTTGTATTATTGAAGAGTAACATAAGTATTTTACACGCGTTTCAGGCAACGAAGAGAACAAATTCCTGCAATATTTGGAGTTGGACCCACTGCTATCTTCCAGAGACGGCAAAACCGGCAGGACTCCGTTTACGATTACTAAACGGTTGTCGAAACCATCGGGTTCCAGTTTCGGATTTTCCATAGCGTGGACGCATCCTCCGAGGTAAAAACACACATATAATGACGACCGCGGATCGTAATATTATTTCAAAGTACATTTTTTGAAAATCATTATTTTTTACGCGTTACAGAGTGGAAAGAGTTGAATGCGGTCTGCCCGCGGACCAGGCCGATCTGAAACCCGGTGATTACGTAGTGTTTATAAACAAAACTAACGTCGTGATGATGGCCGAAGACGACGTCATGGAGTTAATTAAGTGAGTGCGGTTATTTGTTCGTGTTCTAAAAGTTGCCGGGTCATTACTAGCGTGTATAAGACAGTTTGAAAGCTTTTCAATAATCCGTACAGCTATTATTATTGCACTTTTAAAATAGTTAATATCTAGTAAGCGGAGAATATTCCCCCAATAGATTCTCGAGCGTTTTACAACACCAAAACGAACCGCCAAAGTTCTTTCCTACGCGAAGCAAATAGTTTGCGAAAATAAAACTCGATAATCTAAAAAAAAAAATGTGTTTGGCCGATTTATTATTGAGTTTCGGCGACAGCGGTAATAAATTTCGCGTCCTTTGTCGGGAAACAGAGGTGGGGAAGGCATATGTTCTACATTATTTTGATGTGTACGGGATTTTCCACGAAGACTCGCGTCATCGTGATGGACATCATCGCGATGCTGTTGTCAGTGTGATCTTTTGACTGTTCTGCGCTCATCGTCGCAACAAGTGCGGCAAACCATTATTCAACTTTTGGTGTCCACGAAAAAAAAAAAAAAAATCGGATTTCTCTTAACTCGACAAAATATACGCATATTATACGATTCGAATGGCCGAGACGCTTTTTCGTTTATAAACTATTCGTAAAAAAACGTGACGGGAGAGAAATAAAAAAAATAATATACACCCGCTCCGTGTTATAATAGTCATCAATTTAAAGACCGCGGATTTGTAACACCGATAGCGTTTTTTTATTCTTTTCATAAATATTTTTTAAATTTTACTTATTAATCTGTTTTTACATTTTGATCCTCTCCCATAAGGATATAATTTTTACTGAGTATAATAAGAATTATTCAAACATTTTTTCGTGTATCTAAATTGCTCTGAATTGCTCTGAATTCATCATATTTATAGTTTTTTTCCCCAATTTTAACCATACAGTTTTTCGTGTGACAATTCGGTATATTTGCACATGATTCACGAATTCGAAAAATTTCGCATATTCGATTTTTGTCGCTCGAGCGTTCGGCTGGAGGAAAAACTAAGACATTTTATCTAATTGAAAGTATGACGTTCCTAAACTTTTCAAAATAGCGACGAAGGTCGTAAATCTAAACTTTCAGATTAGCGAATTTCGGATAATTTATTTAGGTAAATTTATGCGTAATGGACAAAAAATACTTATACTTGAAACAAAAAAATTACACACAGCTTCCAGTAATTTGATTTATTACTGCGTATACAACGTTGACAGCCTCATCCTTAACCGCAATGCGGTATTTTAACTTTTTTTCGTTTATACCACGAACGTCACGTATTTTTTTCTAATATATAGGTACTGATATAAATAATATATAATATATAAGACGTAGCTGTTGCGTGGTTGATATACACTCGTCGGTGTTTTACGAAAATGTTTTTTCGACTATACGCTACGGCCGTCTAAAAACAAACCACCCTGTCAAAATGATTTTGACATAATATTACATCTTTATACGCGTCATGTAGCGAGCCCGTCACTTTTCACTATTAGGTTAGACGTTTTCGCAAATTTTCTAGTAGAAAAAAAATGTCTACCGTCAATTGTACGTAAACATCGTATGGCCAATTTATACAGAAAATTACTTTAGAATAATATTATAGTTGCACTCGATAGCTCGCCCGAGACAAATTACATAAGGCGAAACAAATTGTTTGAAACCATACTCCATACTGAATACTGTATTGAAATTCAAACCGCACTCTCAGTGGCATAACCAGGAATTATTTCCTGTGGGGGAAAGGGGGTTATGAACTTCAATAATTTATCTAAATGTGGCAATTACCAAACTGTTAAACTTAAACAGTTATAATGTTCTGAGCAACTCAAATTATGCTAGGTACTAGTAAATGAACTGCAAAAGAAATTTGAATGATTCGTAAAAGAAAATCGCAACATTTAGGAGTTTGGGCAGTTATAGCCCGCAAAACTTTTCGGTCTTGCCATTGCGGCGAGTCCTACTAATAACGAAAATCGTGACTGTTTTGAAATATCTAATACAATAACTTATTATGTACCGACTTTCGATAACCAATAATTTTTTCTAAACAATTTTTTTTTTGTAGATCGTGCGGAAATCAGCTGTATTTGGAAGTGTACAACAAAACTTCGACGGCCAACCGGAGGAACAACCAACCGCCGCCGCGGTCGGCGTCCACGCCGGGCGTACTTAACCTGGCGGCCACCGCCGTCAGCCAGAGTGACACGACCGTTTCGCTCCAGGAACCGCCCAGACGGAGGTTTCACATACCTCAAGTGACGTTCACTTCCGAGGTAGGTTCCGGCGTAGTCGTATGAATGATATGATTAGCGATTTGACGAGTGATGTGATTTTTCCCCGTTTTCTACCTGTTATACCTAATATATACTTGTAAATACAATAATTTATACCTGCCTATTATACATATAACCGATTCCTTTGGTTATTAGTCCATTACTATTATTATTATTATTATTATTATTATTTGTTTTTATCCGCAAAACGATTTGTTTGTTATTATTATTATTATTTGATAGTTGATAATCGTATAATATGTTTACTATTTGTAATGTATGCCAGTAACACGATATGACGAATGCCAGTATTTATTATAATATTATTTTATAGACGTAGAAGTAGTAGTAGTAATAGTCGCAGTATAAGAACATTTCAAACATTTTGATTTACAAGAAGGTATCTATAACATAGACCCGTAAAGAAATGGACTGCGCCTTGCCTGTCCTTTACGGTATAAACTACATTTCGATAAGTCATTGTGTAGTGACAGAGATCGCACGACAGGTATAATACATTTTCAAGACTACAACTCCCCCCAGTTCAGTTTTCTTCGACCCACAATAACTATTGTATTTGTACGGTAAAATCTGGGTGCATACGATGCATACGATGATAAAACCATTAATACACTAAAGAAAACGTTATCACTAACGTGCTTCGAGGAGTTGTATGCTATCTTTCTCACATTTTTTCTCACTACGCGCAGTCTATATTTTTATGTGTCTATAATACCTATCCATCATTTTAGAGCATATTTTACCATTCTACACGCGCATAAGGTTAGGTTATATATTTTTTTTATTTTGTCGAAAATGAATAGGTTACCAACGAAAACAATTATTAATCGCTGGGCAGTGGCGTCATTTTAATATTCTGTATAAACCATGCGGGGCAAACGTAATATCCCAAATTTTTCGACTGAGGAGACAATAATTTATTTACGAAACATTTTCTTCCTCCGTTCAAACATCGACTTCCATAAATACGTTCTATTTATATCACATTTGTATAATTACAAAAAAAATTACACGTACAATTCGAAAATTACGATTTCGTTAAAAATTATAAAACATATTTAGTATATTTTAAAAGTAAACTTGTATCGGAAAATAGACTTAACAGCCTGTAGAGATCAAACCGAAATGCAGACTTAACAGGACAATCGATAGTGCTTTGAATTTTAGACTGGAGTAAAATGCACAAAAAAAAAAAAAAAAAAATGACGCCCCTGACTACAGGTTAAATGAACCTAACCTATTTACTTATAGTGACCATCATCACTAAACACCTGCAGTGATCACCTTGTAGAAATAATATCATAAAATATGCTCCGGCACGATATACCCGTTAATCGATCGATCAATTTTAATTATTTATCCGCGTTATAAACAATAATTAATTTAGTATAATATGACCAGTGATTTTGTATTTGTATTTTTTTTTTATTTTTTTTATTTATTATTATCTTTTTATTGATATTATTATATTATGTTCCCGCGTAGTCGTCGCATACAATAGAGGCGCGTTTTGACAATGCAGTTTTGAACGACCTGGTTATTCGTAGTTTAGATAACAAACTATTCTGGCGATATTGTTTCCTGCAATTGAAGGGCTCAGTACAACAACAAAGCAAATCTAAAATCACTTTTGATAGTTTCGATCACAACAATAAAACGCTACATAATTTAGGGTAACAATAATGCAAGTCCGTCTACTAGATACGGAGAACATAGTGATAAAAATTTGTCTGGTTGAACCAAATTCTGGAGGAAAAAAAAAAGACGAGTCCCATAGATACTTGTAGATGTTTTTCTTCTCCTAAACAATTTAGGAAAGTGGACTTGTCTTGTTTTTGCGTTTAGCTTTTTAATTGTTTGACTACCTGAATGCATTTTCCGACAGTTGCATCATCGGAATCAGCAAACAATTAAAAATTACGTTCACCTCTCTTCGATTTCTGGTCATTCATTGGTAAAATACTGTACTGTAAACAAATTGTTTTTGCAATATTGTAGTCAAGTAGCAAAAACAACTGCAAACACTAATGTAAATTTTTAAACGCAAAATGTTTGTCGAAAACTGCATCGTCAAAACACGCCCAAAATGATTGGTTCGTTTAATTTGTGTAAACGATACAAACCATCATAAATGTTTGTTTTATGTTTGTTTTGTTTTTTTTTTTTTTTTTTTTTTTTTTTTTTTTTTTGTTTATGTTTGTATTATTTTATACGCATTATTATTATTATTTTTATTATTATTATTATAATTTGTTGCATGCGACTGATACTCGCCGTATAATTTGTTCCTCTTTCTCGTTCGTTATACTACAGCATAATAGATGTTTGTACATTTTTTTTTTTTCAAAACATTTTCTCATACAGTTTTTAAGTAGGTATTATTATTTATTATTATTTTTTATTGTACCTTTTTTATTTTTTTGTATATAAACGCGTTTGTTTGGTTTTTTGTTCCGTAAACGAGACTTTATTTTTTTTTATTACCTCCCCGGCGTTTTGTTAAAGATTTTTTCATGACAGTTTCAAATTATTATAATTTTGTGCCACGATTTTAATTTCGTCACTCGAAACAATATTATTATTATGATTATAACAAAAACAACCACTACCTCCCACTTCGTTCTTTAGAGTCGGAGAACAATTATATCTCCAGGATTCTTTAAAACTGCACACAACTGATACCGGAACGGGAAGGGGTCGGGAAACATTGAAAAAAAAGGCGGACGAAAATTTAATTTTTAAAGATTCCCATGTTAGTTGTTACTGTTATCACATGTTATCACTGTTGTGTTTTTATTTATGGTGCATTATAGCTGTGCATTTCAAATGTACCGCGATTATTTAAATCGTATTTATATGGGTACTAGAAAATTATTGCATAGAGATTATCAGAGTTGGGCAAATTAATCAATTGCTTTAACTAGTATAAGTTAATGAATTGTTAAAAATAAATAAATAACTGTTAAGTTAAAAGTTAATTTTAAAAAACAGATGAATCCAAATAACTATTATTGAGTTAAGCTGCATATTTTTAAGATAATTATAACTTATGTCAAAAGTAAACTTTTTTTAAAATGTCCTTTATTTTAAAACCATAAGCATATTTTGTATTCTGTTTATATAGACTTACTACTAAAATTCGAGTGGGTAAGCCGTCTTATATGTAATAATAATTGGATTCACGTACAAAATATCTAATTTCCGTTGAAAAAAAAAATGCTAAAGATACAGGTACACAGTTTTTCATATACATATAAAGTTCAACTTTTAAGAAATAACTTAATTTTTAACCAAATATCTATAAGTTCATATAGTATTTATCAAAAGAAATAACAGAGTCCTTTTTTAACATTCTTTTTTTTTTTTTAACTAAAATTTACTTAAAAGTCATTAAAAAAAGTAATTTATAACTTAAATTTTAACTATACGCCATTCAGCATTAGGTATACAGATTATTAAGATACCGGGAGATATTATAAAGTCACGACTGCGCATTTCTGAAATTAGAGCTATGCGTTTTTCATTAATTAGAATTCTATGCAAAAGATATTACGTCTAAAAGCATGTTAAAATAAAGGCCCTTCGGGGATTGCTATCGAATTTTAATCACCGCGAACTTATATAACGACAAAGTTTTGCTACCGTTCGTAGTTTGACGTGCCATTTATTACGTTTCATAATAGGTGAGTACCTACTAACGTTCAAAGTGCTGCGAGGGACGATCGAATTAACATAAAACAATAATAAAAGATAGTGTTCAGTAAGAGCACAATACTCGGGCGTAATCTGTGAGCGATTTCGATATCCCCGAAAATAAACAAATTCAGTTTTCATATTAGTGAATTCGTAAATTCGTATGTTAGTTTCCGGTTAAATCGAAATTCAAAAACTAATTAGAAATATTCGAAAAGAAAAACACTGATAATTCTACCAACAAATACGTATTATAGAAACAAAAAACTTGGACATTTTCAAACACAAGAAAAAAATTTAAAAAGAAAGTTAAAATATTTTGAAAATACATAAATTCAAATTTGTAAATATGAGATTTCTGTACAATTAAATGGCTTAGATATTGTAAAATAAAATAAAAATCTATATTTTCGATTTATTTCCCGTTCTTCGGAAAATTACATAGGACCTTAAAAAGACCGACCTCCTCAGTACACAACATTGTACAGGAGAAACCCTGTTTTCCAGTGTAAAATTACGTATTTTTATCGGCCGATAAGACCTAAAACGTTCCCTAACTCTCTCCAAAAACAATTATCCCCCGAGTATAAACGCACACATCACACTACACGAGCGACTTTGTTAATTTATATTTTCCAAGCCGACACGCGTGTTCGTTTATTAAACGAATGAATAAATAATAATTTTCTACTGCTATGTACTCTTCTATGTCATAAACATATAAACAGGATGACTTTGTCGACCCAAAGGCTGACACGACCTTTTTTCTTCTTTTTTTAAAAAAACATATTATGTTTTTTGCGGAGTGTTTTTTCAGTTTTCATCATCAGCTCGTCGGGTTAATTACCGCCATCGTTACAAATACAAAATTGCTAAAATTTACCTTGCATATCGTGTTTAGTAGAAAAAAAAATTTAACTTTTAATTGCTACTAAACATGAGATTGTAGCTTTATCTTAAGATGTTTTAACGAATTTTAGAATGTTTTACGTTATACACGGCAGGTGTCTTTTACATTATTTTTCGTTTAGCGCACAAGATTACATATCTAGATCAGCGGTTCCTAACCTGTGCACCGCGTGCTCATTTCAGGGGCACTACGGCTCATCCGAGAGTTTTACGTACATAATTATTTAGCGCACCCTGTGTATCTAATACGATATTCTAATCTGTATCGATTAATACATAAATGACACACGCCGCATAAATTCAGATAACATTATACACGTATTACATTCTCGAATCGGCGACGTTCAATAAAATTTAATCGGAACACTCGTATATTATCGTAACTATTATTATAGTTTAAATTCTACTTTCAGTCTGTGAGGGACATCTTACGTGTTAAGACGTATTATCGCGTTGAGAATTGATTTTTTCTATACATACATACGTTTGTTTTTTTTCAACATGGACCGTTGGTTGAAAAGTGGGTATATTAATAAGACGCCTGCTATAAAGTCATCCTGGTTCTATAAAGGAAGGAAGCATAATCGACGAAGATGGAGTTCATAATAATAGTCTTACTTCTCAAGGTACGAGTAGAACACTACTGCCAAGTACGGGTGACTTCATAAACTCTGCATCGAGAACGTCCAAAAAACGTAAATACGATGAAAGTTATTTGGTGATGGGGTTCATAGAAACAAACGGTGGTCAGCCACAGTGCGTAATTTGTTCAAAAGTTTTTCCTAACAGCTCTATGTATCCCGGAAAATTGCGTCGTCATTATGAAAAAGTCCATTCAGATCATGAAGGGAAACCGATCAATTTTTTTAAACGAAAGCGTTCTGAACTATTGGCTATTAAAAAAAAAAAAAAATCAAAACGCACGTTCAAACCGATAATGAAAACGCATTAAAAGCTTCCTACACGATGAGTTATTATCACGTACAACCCAAAAAAGCAAAGCTCATACCGTTGCGGAGCCTCTTATAAAACCATGTGTTATTGATATTGCAACTTGCGTGCTTGATGACAAATCTGCCAAACATTTGTCTATAATTCCTCTGTCGAATAATACAGCTGCGCGGCGAATTGAAGATTTGGCTACCGACGTAGCATGTACACTTGTCTCTCGTATTAAATACAGCCAATTCGCACTGCAAATGGACGAATCAACTGATATAGGATCTAAATAACGATATACTACGTGAGTTGCATTTTTTCCACGTCTCGCGGAAACGTTCGAATGTATAGGTATATATATTTTCGGAGAAAAAAAAGTCACGAAAAAAAAAAACGCGACAGAAACAAACTGCATAAGAAACGCTAGGTTACTAATTGATAATTATAGTTTGGTCGAAGTTACTTACCCGTGTTTTAATTCGTTAATGATACAATCGTATCAATTCTTTCATTAAGGTACAAAAAAAAACTCGACTATAACAAGAGTGTTTGGTAATATTTTTTTTTTTTTTTACAATTTTACTGTAATCCTCGATGCGAAAATATTCTCTTATATCCCTTATCATTTTATCCTGTTGAAAGCTAACTAACGGGAATTAAAAAAAAAGCAGCCGAGTAATGAAGATGCACAAGGCTGTTATTATAGGTACGTTCTTCAATAATAAAGTTGTTTATGTATTTATTCCACGGGGTCGTATATTTTTGCGAACGAACGAATTTTTACATAGTGCCGTTATACGTATATAAATATATAGTGATAAACCTGTGCAATTATAAAGATATTTGAAAAATGAAATATTTAAATGAGTTATAATGGTGTTGTTCTGTTTTCGGATTACGCGCGTTGGCACTATAATACTATATATAATAAATATATACGAGTGATTTACTACGCGGACCGGTGAAAAACCGTTTATGGTAAAAAGTTCAAAGTTATCGGTATAGGTATATTAATTTAAAACAACCGTTAATAGTAATTTTCAATTAGCCGCGAGAAAAAAAAAACCTATGACCCAGGTGTCACCCCAGGCCTAGACGCCGAGTCGATGGGTATGCGGGATGAAGTGAGATTTAGCCGAAATCTCTAGATGCGCAAAAATAAAATAATTAGAAGACAGTGAAGACTGGTAGAAATGGGAAATGATAAATGGGACGGCAAGGATCCTTTATGGGATTATAAAATCTGGTAGAACAAGAAGTTAAGCACATAAAACACATTCTATTAAAACAGGGTATTTATTGTTTTTTTTTTTTTTTTTAAATTTTTGTTTGAAAATATATATATTAATTTCGAAAAAAATATTTGAATTTAATTTAACGATTTAAATCAATTGTTACAAAATTCAGTGTTTAATAGATATATCAATTTCATTTTTGTTTGATATTTGAACATTTCGAACCGTTATCGCAGGGGCGTCGGGTTAGGTTAGGTAAGGCTAGGTTAGTTTTAGGTAGTCTTCGTGAAGGGAGCGGGGTTGATAGGAACGATCTCCTCCCCCCCCCCGAAAGAAGTGGACTTCCATTTGGCATAGTCATTGGTCCAGAAGTAGGTGTGATAAATATATTATTAATTGATATTATTTGTTTTTTCTTGTGAACGAAAATCTTAATTAATATCACAAAATTATTTAGCAGCAAAATTATAGATATGACCGTAACGTATATAACCCTGGTTCGTGGTCGTATATAATAAATCAGAGTCCGTAATTGACGTTTGAGAAACGAGATACCAATTAAGAATGATATGATTGATGAACAATGAGCGAGAACAAACGAAAAAACAGCGGTGGATTGCATCATGGCTAAAGGAACAATATTACAGTTGAAATTGTTATATTGGTGACCTGTTAATGTATCGCCGTTAAAAATATCTTCCTAAAAATATTACATAATTTTTAACGTATTAATAAAGTTAACATTTATGATTAAAATACGATAATGGACGTTCATATTTCACACTGACTGAACTGAAACTTTGCACAACCACAGTTTTAAGTACGGAAATCGAAGGTCATTTTTGTTGATTAGGTTATCTCGGTGATACGGATGAAAAAAAAAAGATTAAAACAAAAAAAAAGGACGAGCATATTTTCGCGTGGGTGCAGCCACTGTTGTAGGCGGGAAGTTGGGAAGGTAGGATACGGGTGAGAATTTAATGTATATCTGTAAACAACGATGTACCATTGCAAACGAAATAACGATTCTGAGTGGAGTTCAGTGGACAGTGTTGTTTTGTCAACAATATATATGCCATATTATGGTAAAATTATTACAACAATGTGCGTTTCAATGATAACCAATAATTGTTTAAAAAAAGATTGAAACAATAACAAAAAATAAATAAAAACGTTTGCAAATGGCCACCCTATTATTAATCTCTTAATCTTTTTTAACCTAAAGGGCCGGGTTTTCGTCATTATCTCGAATATTAATAAGAATTTTAAACATGACCTTTTTCAAGTATCACTCAGAGAAGATTTACTTTCAGAAAAGGTACTATACTTGATAGCCGGAGTAAGTTGTTTGGCAGAAAAAGTATTCACGTATAAAAAAAATTAACATCTTTGTAAAACCAATACATTCTTCGCTAAACTCAGAATCGAATAACATACAATGTTTATGGTACTATACTACTATTGGTTATGATGAGTATTTTTCCCAGTTATTTTTGAACTCGGTTTCTACTATAGACAACTAACAGAGATAATGATAATGATTGTACTTCGTAATTCCGTCTACATATTTCGTCCCACTTACCAATACAGATAATCTAATTTGATTATAATCTATAACAGTTTAGACGAGAGATGATAGGATGTAAACTAATATTATTTTTCACAATATATTTATTTATTTAATTCAATTTTAAAAACATAATTGAACCTCTTTCAGGTTGATCAGGTGGCAATAACCATTTTTTTTTTATATTTTTCGTATTGAAGATAATTTAACGGAGACGTTTTGTTGAAGACGTTGACGTAGAACCTATTATATTATGAGAAATTAAAAAATGTATACGTTTCTACTATATTATACGTATACTATGATGATGCGTGCTTAATAATGTAATATTTTCGTAACACTAATATGTTTTGAGGGGAAGGGTTCTATTTAAATTCTATATTATATAAAAAATATCCGAATACTGTGGATATTATTAATTTTTTAAATTATTTCACCCTTTCCCCCACAGCCAAGATCCGGAGACGCTCACGCATCATCGTCGTCGATTATACGAATGAACGGTTAAATATTCACAATTCGGAGTACCCAACCACGCAGAAAAACGTTAAATTTCCACAGAATTGCTTGCGTATTGTGGTTTCTTTCTAGAGTGGTCACGATAGCACGTGGCAATTTCACGGTGACCTCAGTCGAACACTTGGGTATTATTAAGTGGTAGCGTTTATAAAACTATGTCAACAATAATATTTTAGACACGATATCGTCGTTTAATTACTTTATAATATTGTTTGCGTGTTGTTTTCACGGGGCGGTTTCGAGAGTTTTACTCCGAATAGCCTTTTGACATTTTTCGTTCATGCGTCGAGTCCCGTAGGGAAAAACTACATCAATAAATTACACTTGTATATAAATACAGGGTATCCCACGAAGGTATACTCGCGCAATATCTCGGGAGATAATAAGGATAATCGAATCCTGGTTTAGATTCTGAGAGGAGCGAGGAATGTATTGGTTATACAATGGTGTTTATTTGTTTTTTTTGCGAACACCTTTTCTACCAGAAATTTGTCTACAATTTTCTTATGTACTACCATTTCAGTCGTTTTATGATTCTCCCAGGGGTTTTCGCGATAAGTGGGAAAATCAGAAAAAAAAGTAGAAAAAACAGGAAAATTTACAAAATTGATCGTAAATATTACGGTAGCCTTTCATCCGAAATCTACTCAGAACTGTTTTCGTTAGAAATGATTAATTCGTTGCGTACTGATATGTATTAAATGAGTCAAAACTTAAAAAAATAACTTTTTATTTTATTCATTTATAAAACCTTGAAAGTAGCCATTCTAAAGATTTTATACTATTCTTCTTGAAATGTTAGCGTACGAGTATTAACTTTTGTTTTCATTAAATTCGGGATTTATAAAGGTTTAGAGAAAAAAAAAATGTGCAGCCAATTAGTTATAACTTATAATATTAATAATCAATTAGCAAATCCGATTACAGTCTGCCGTATAACTATACGTACTATTATCTGAACTTTAAAAAATTATTAAAAATTACGAATTTAATGGAAAATTAAAAGTTGAATCATAAACATTTTTAGAAGTCAACTAAAAAATTATTTTTTTAGTCTTATTGTTTTTTACAAAAACATAAATATTGAATACAAATATAAATATTTGTAATTCTTATCTCTGCGAATAATATATTGAAAAAAAAAAAAAACAGAATTTTATTATCTTTATCATATGAGGGAGGTATAACAATAGGTATATTATATTCGTAGAAACCCCTTTATATACAACTTCCGCCATTCCATAAACTCCATGCATTTAGGTACGTCATAATTAGTTTTTGTTTTTAATATTTCGATACGGTCAATTGCAGGTTAAGGGTGGATTCGCACTATACGGAACGTCGACGTCACGTCACAGACCGGCAACGTCACGTCAAAATAAATCTCCGTGTATTTAAATGGCAATGTTCACACTGACCGGCAAAGTAACGTATCGCCAACGTCACGGAACGGAAAGTTTTATCGAAAACTAATTTTTGACGTGACGTTCCCGATCAATTTTGGTAGTATGAACTCGTAATTATAACGGATCATCCGTCATATTATATTATATTGATTATGACACATTCTAAAATAATCGTAAAAGGAAATTTCTTCATATTCCGATTCCTCGAATAAAGTGTAGTATTCTCTTTCAAATTTTCGCATAGTAAATATTTTTCTAATCCATGATTTCTTGGCTGTTCTTTTTCTCTTGTTCTCTTTTTCATCGTTCAAAATTGGCGCAATCGTGGTCAGTTATTTTGTACCAAAAATTTCAGCATGTTATAAAATTGAAAATTCCACAGGAAACACGGAAAACAGAACAGACAAACGTACGAGCACAACGGACCGATAGACACTAGACAGTGTAGGTATTTGCGTGACGTTGCCGGTCAAGTGTGAATGTATTCCTTTATTGACGATGACGTCGCCGGTCTATGACGTGACGATGACGTTCCGTATAGTGCGAATCGACCTTAAACCGTAAATTCACAAACACTAACAAGCTACGTATAGGCCATGACTCATGGTCTACACGGACTCTAATTTAACCGATAGCAGTCAGGAATCTGTTTTTCAATAATACTTCAAAACCGCGGCCATAAGGAAAGTAAAACCTTAAGAGGGCGTGATATCCTCGTTAAACATGTTGCATCCGTCTCACAAACGTATGATATAGCATATAAGCGTTCAGCGGGTAAAAATATTGTACGGTTAGTTCAAATATTTCACTTACTATCAAACTAAAATATTAGAGCGTTATAAGAGCAATGTCGGCGCTATTATTTTTAGCGTCTCTACCGGACCGTATACACGGTTCCTTCGAAACACCCGATTTTTTCCGTTTCGCTTCTCGCGCCAAATAAATTTTCGACGGGTAGTTTTCTAAACTCGAAGTCTGCTTGAAGAATTTCACGCCACACTGCCGTTCAGTAAAACGGTTTTACGACACTTTACTATATCGTAGCGTGCACTTTATCTCGGCTCGGACTTCAGCTCGCATCGTTAAACGGTTTTAAACGCGAGCTTCTCGTTTTATGCACGGTTACGAAAGCACCGTTATAAAAGAATATATCGCTGCAGTGTGTGTAAAGCTTTGCTGGCACGGTGTTCGGGACATTATATTCCCTCGGCGCTTTTGTCTTTTAACACATATCTACTCGCCCATTGCCGAATCAGTATAACGATAATCTTTGTTCGCCTATATAGGACGTTTGAGTGTAGCGCACTCGAAAGAGTCTATGTACCGCGAGAATATAATACGCGATCGGTATAAATTTTATAGTGCAACAATGTAATCGATACGATGCGTTTTATTACTGCCACTAAGCAGAAAAATAATATAATTTTTAACAGCCCCGGAAAAAAATCAACGATCGAGGGGCCTTCACCGCATAAAAGGAATACTTTTGTACACTTTTTCTGAGGTTCATTTAGGACCGATTGACCCCAGTAACATTTTTAATGTCAAATTATTAACATTACAGATACGTTTAATATATCAAGCGTTCCTTTAATATCAATTTTAAATTTTGGTTTTCAACAATATTAATAAAGATATTTCGAAAATGTAAATATTTCAGTTATTTACGTAAATTAATACGAAATTTATCCTTTGTTTTTATCGCAAAATAACGTTTTTAGAACGCCGAACCAAACCTTATTGCATTTTCTTTTGTGATTTTATAAAATGTATTTGTCTAAAAATATTATGTACAAAATATTACTGATGGCGTGTATAGTCTTTTACCTTCATCTCGCGGTAGCGGGCTCGTCCATTACAGATCTAAAAAGAAACATAGTTAACAACATTGAAAAAACAATAAGAGCAAACAGAATTTGTTTCCTGTATCAGCCATTTATTTTTAATAATAATAAATCTCACTAATTTTCCTACATCCGTAATTTCACCTAATCCACGTGATGATAATCCGCATTAAGTCGGCAGACATGAATCTCATCTACCCTAATAACTTTTAACCACCTCCGGCCCACTATTACGTTCCGGGGCACACAGCTGTCTTCTTGACGGTAATCTCATCAGTCATCATCGTTTCTCCTTCACTCGACCGCCATTCCAATCGGTTTTATCTCGTTTTTCCTACTATACCGAGTAAATAAATACCTATAAAAAAAAATCTTATTGACAAATATTTTTTTTTTCAAAATACAAATAAATATACACCGACAGTAGGTAAGTATGTACATAAATAGTCGTCGTATCACGTCTAATATTGTAATATTTTATTAAACGTGTTTTCGTATATTATTTTTGTTTTCTCCAATATAAGAACATTTCCGGTGATATGGACTCGCAACTTCGTTGGGTCCATCAACTTCTCACGGTCGAACAACAGTTCCTGTTGTGCATGCAATTTGGTATTGGCAGATATCTATTGCCGTTGGCCGAACGCAAAGACGTGCTTAAGTCCAAAGAACACGCGGCCCTCTTTCAAAACGCCCAAGAGGTAGGTACCGAATAGTAAATAACTATAATATATTGTACAAACAAACAAAAACTAACAACAAAATAATGGTTTGAGTGGTTATTCAAAAATGAAACGCATAAAAAAAAGGCTAACATAATTCACACGTGGCTGCAACCACTGTTGTAGATGGGAAGTTGGGAAAATAGGATATAGAAAGAAATTCAATGTATATCTGTAATCAATGATAAACTGTTGATAAGGAAAAAGCGATTCTGAGCAGAATTCAGGTGATAGTGTGTGAAGTAACTTGAAAGTGTTTATGGTTCACTACTAAGAAATCTTTTTGGTTTTTTCTCGTAAACCCTTTTTTGGCAAGTAAAAATTTTCTAAATTGTTTCCTTCAATGATATATAATATTTGTTCAACAATGCGGCGGCACGCTGTAAATATTTATCATTTTACCTATAATTCTCTTTAGAGTTTTTCCCAATTATTTTGAAAATTCCTTAGAAAATCAAAAAATGACCTTACAATGAATTAACTAGATACAATTTCCGTTTAGAACTCCTGATACATCGGAGTAAGATTTCTGGTAGATAAATTGCTTACAAAATAAAAACAGAAGAAAAAATATAAACCTCATTATAGAACATTCTGAATCTAAAAACAAAATTGAAAATAATTAAAACATTATTTTCGTAAATTTCCTCATCCTTTCGACGTTTTTTTCGGTTTTGCACAATTATTAAATAAACTACAAGGACAATCAAAAACGATTCTGTTACTCATCAACTAAATTAAAAATACAACACCAATGATCTCTTGTCGTTTTTTTATTAAAGCAATATTTCTGATAGAAAATTTAAAGCGTATAAATTTAAAATAATGGAATCGTAACGCCACCGTAAATTTGTCAGTTTTCAGTTTATGTTTTATTCCGGATTTTCATAATCATTTTGACAAATACTTGATAAAATCGATATGAATAAAACCAAATAGATAAAATTTTCTTTCAGAAAAGATGCTACACTTGATATATCAAAGCAAGATTTTCGGTAGAAATTGTGTAAACAGGTTAAAAAGGACGGACATACTTCGCACGTGGGTGCGGCCACTGTTGTAAGTGTGAAGTCGGGAAGATAGGCTGTAGACGGGAATTTAATTTGTATCTGTAAGCAACAATATATCATTGTTAACGAAAAACGACCCTGAGCCGAGTTTAATTGATAATGTTGCTTTGTCAACAATACAATATGGTATTATGTGATATTATGGTAAAATGATAAAAACAATGTGCGTTTCCATGACAACAACGGTTGTTTAAAAAATATTAAAAATAATAAAACTTAATAATGACAAAAAATAAATAAAAATGCTTGTCAATGACAACCTTATTTTTAATTTTTCAATTTTTTTTAACCTTTTTTTTCCTCATTATCTCGAATATTAATGAAAATTTCAAAAAATGACCTCTCTAAAGTACCACCCAGAGAATACAGTGATCCATGTTTAGACCCCTGATAATATATTTCATTCCGACTTTGATGTACCTACATTGTTCTGAATATTCTATTGTTCCGAATTCTTCATTACCTTGCATATTTACACGGACAATAAAAAAATATAATTATAATTAACAACACGAAAATATGAAACGTTGTTTATTTATAATATAGTTATTGCACATCACGGTGGATACAGTTGAACGAATAATCGAAACGGACTGGAAAATGTTGGCGCGGGATACGTGCAATGTGTACGTGAACAAAATCGACCAGTTCAACGCAGAATATTACAAGTACTGCAAGGGCATCATACATGCCGATTGCGTACTCGTGGACAAGGTGCGGAATCCCAACTTCCTAGACCTCATCAAAGACCCGCCAATACCCGACCGGAGACCCGACCTGTTCACCTTCATTCACAAACCGTTGGAAGTAAGATAACACAATAATAAACAACCAACGATGGGAGAATTCGCATTTTATAATAATTGTAGACTGCTAGCCTACGCCAAAATAGCTAAAATCTTTTTGAAGCCCCGTAGTATAGTGATGATTCGAGAAAAAAAATACGTTTCAAAATTATCGCGTATAATAACTACGCGTATAGATATACTTAGTACTACCAACTTACTTATTTTGCCCACATAAATGTCCGTAAAAAATTAAAAAAAAAAAAAAAACGCTTATTAAACTATACGGGTATTTTTTTTCCTAAATATTCTTTGTTTTAGCATATGTGTGCGAAACTTATGTCTAAGAATCGCATAAACTAATCTTTTATTGTTTTCAATTTCATAAACCACGTCGTTGCGCTTATTGATAATACCGTACACGATAATATTCGATGATGTTTGATTTTATTTATAATACTTTTTGTCGGTTTTTGTCGTTGTATAGCATTACAGAAACGTATTGAAATGCATGCAACTCATACAGACTAATACAGAGCCGGACGACGAAATCTTCGAAGCTTTGTCACACATCGTTCACGAAATGCAGGTAATAAACCAATAAACAAATAAATAGTTTCGTCTGCAGTTAATTATGTAGATAAGTATGCCTAATCAGTTACCAAAGAATTTCAGTAACGTTTATAAATCAAAATACCGAAAACTCGCACTGTGTCACACGGAACAGTTTTTGTTTTATAGTTATATTATTGTAGACAGGCTGATTATGAGGTAATTTTAAGATTAAAAATACGGACATACTTCGTTCGATGGGTGGGCCACTGTTGTAGGTGAGAAGTTGGGAAGGTAAGACATAGAGGTGAATTTAATGTATATTTGTACGAAATGAATAATCATTGCTCATAAAGAACGATTCTAAACGGAGATAGAGGTTAATAGTATTGCTTTTTCAATATGTCATATTATAAGGTTTTTCTTGTCATTTTTCGATTAAAGTACGAAAATTCAGTGGAAAATATAAGTTAAAAAAATGTAAAATTGTAAAATCTTTGCATCGTAAATATTTGTCCGTTTGTCCCTTCGTTTTCCCAACGTTTTTTCTAGGTTTTTCTCAATTATTATGAAAACCGCTTGGAAAATCAAAAAATTACCTCCTTCTTAATTAAAGCACAAACCAAATAAAATTTTCTTTCAGAAAAAGTGGTATATTTCAACACTTGATACATTGGAACAAGAGTTCTGGTAGAATTTGCGTATACTGTATAAAAAAAAAGCAATAGGAACATAATTGTAAAACCAATGTATTGCAATAATAAATTAACGATTAACAATTATTAGCAATAATATATTAGGCAACAATACACAAATGCGTAAACTTAATACTTGGAACAAAAATGCTTTGAATCTAGTAAATTATTATAAAATAAATAAAACTTGGATTAATTTTCTCGGGCAAGATTTGCGCAGACTTTATAGTCGACTACATTTTAGTCATGTTTGCGCAGTAGGTTTTCCGTAAAATTTTAGACTAGAACGAGTGCGAAAATGAATTTGCTAGAGAAGTGGAAAACAAAAGACGGAGATGTTTAAAATAACTTTATTGGATATTTTGCGATGGGTCGGCAGGGATAAAAGTTTGAATATCATTAATCGCAGAATGAATATCCGGTATTTGATATGAATCTCCTTTCGATCACGATGTTTGTTTGACACGTCTCGATCAAACTGCAACTTCAGTCGCAAATATTTCTTTAATACTCGTGTCCCTAGATTGACGAAGATGTTGAATTTTACAGACGACGTATCGGTTCATAACGATGGAATCCGGCCAAACGGAACCGGACGTCGAGAATAAACCTTTACTGTCGCTCGGCGATCTAGAAGCCCGCCTGGTTTTCACGCGGTGCAAGGTTAGTATAAATATAACGCGACCGTACCGTATACGTACCTAATGGCTTTTTATATGTCCATCATTAATCATTTCGTTAAAATGTCAGCCATTCACGTTAAACACGCCGGACCGCCGTTGGATATTTGCCGGTGACCTCAGTCGGGTAGAAGGAAGATCCGTTCGATCTTATTGGGCCCTGCTGTTTTCCGACATTTTGCTGTTTACAAAAGTCAGCCGGGATCGCGTTTTGTTCGTCACCGACGAACCTTTACCGCTCACGTCGATCGTTCAAACACAATTCTCCGTCAAGAAAAAAGGTACCGCTGTGGTTTCTTTTTAGACACGTAAAATTTCGTACTACGCTTTTTTACATCAACTATTTTTCTATTTCTAAAACGGATTCATACATAGTGTCCAAAGACGAAATTCCGTTATATTCTTCACATACAATATCGTATAGATGGGAAAACGTTAATCGTTAATTTTTTAAAACGAATATAAGACGGTTAATATATGTTTGAAATTTGCATAAAACCATCATACTCGATTTCAGATACAGAATTTCGGTTAGTAATCAGTAATGGGACAGACTCGTCGTCGTGTCACAGCAGTCCGGCCATGACCGGATGCAGTCCATTGTTTGCGGACCTGTCGGGTACTCTGTCGAGATTACCGAAAAACAAAGGCAGAGTGATCGTGCTGCGAGCGCCCAAAGCCGAACTGAAAGCCGCTTGGCAAAATCTCATCCAGCGACAAATGTAAGTCGTCGCAATAAAGTTATATAGAGTATAATCAATTTATCATAATCACGCGATTTTTTCGCGGGATTTTTAAGTGAATTTTGATTTTTGTTTTTTTCAATCGTAATGACTAAGCTTTATTTGAACGTTTTGTAATACTGTTTAAAATTGTAACTCATACCCCTTGTGCCTTATTTAAGTATATGCACTTTAGTTTTTCAAATAACAATCCCCTCCTCCCCTTTGAACAACGAATTCGAGTAGTGGCTATTTTTCTAAAATATTTTACATGCATAACATTAATATCGTATTATGCGTCATCGTTTTCTTAAAAATCTGTGTAAAAGAGGATGACATAAGAGCATATGCTTTTTCCGTCTTACATACGTATGGTATAACAAATATGCGTTCAGCAAGGAAAACGATGTTTTAATGTTAGAAACGTATTAATATATCTTCAAATTAACAGATAAGAACATTATCAGAGCAATTAGCATAGGTTATTCTCAATGTTCTAATTGTTAAGTGAGATGTAAGCATTTTGAAATTTTGATATTTCATATACTAATATATCTCTCAAAAGATTAATTTATCGACAAATTCGACATAGTTTCACAGATAATGTGCTTATCTTTAATTTTTATAATTTTATTCTAATATTATTAAACTAACAGCACACGAGTTAGGCTAGGTCAGGCTTAATTTAGTTACCCAAATTAATTAATTAAAAACAATTTAGTTGACTTGCCCAACTTTGAATGTTCCCGATGATAGGTATTTTGTATTATATAAAAACCATTTGTCGGTGGAATGCAAGAACGAAAACAAAATATAAAAGAGCTAATAATAATAGTTGCTGACGAATGTACCTTTGTTATGTGGGAAGTTGGGGAGACAGGATACATTGTTTATTTAATTTATATCTCAATGAAACGATAAATCGTTACTTACAAAATACGATTCTGAGTAAAGTTCAACCTATTTGAAATGCCGTGATTTTTAAGATTTTCGTCAAAGTTTGAACATGCTTTAAAAAAAAAAAAAACTACTGCATATCGCTCAGCTTTTTTTCACCACCAATCAAACTCATGTTAAGTTTTCAAGTATTTTTCCTGTGCTAAAACAATTGTATCCGCAAAATACCAATTACAAATGTCCGATTATCCTCCTCAATCAAACAACTAGATAACATTTTTTTTTTCTAAAAAATACGCTACATATTTAAAAATCGGTTCGAGATTTCCGGTAGAAAATTCGGTTTAAGACAGAGAATAAGAAAAAACAAAAAAAACAACGATAAAATAAAACACTTCATAGAGAGACGAATGCATTCCTCGCTGCGCTCATAATCTTGAAAATCCATTTGCCGGAACAAACCGCGCATTTTCAGTTGGTTTTCCATACGGGCCATTGGAAATACACATTAATACACATACGAAAATACATGAATAACCAACATTATGTTTCGCCCGCGGTCGCAGCTGTGGTTAAAATGTGGTCGCGTCTCTGATTGCAGATTGGCGCTGGACAAAAACGCGTCGGCGCTGGACGGTAAGTGTAAACGCGAATCGTCGTCAAAAGCGGAGCCGCCGGATTCGCCGGACGACCTGCTGATGAACTCGCTGGCCACGTTGGACGACGACGACGTCTACGCTGACAGGCTTAAGGTACAGTGTAAGCTCCCGCTAAGCAACCCGACCACTCCCACGGGAACCGCGCCGCCCGTCGCCGACCGTTATCCCGTCCGTCCGCCGTCCTGAGATTCGGTTTCCCGGCCGAACCGGTGCTGTAGTCCCACGAGGTTCTAGAGCGCCGGCGCCGACAACGGCTGGCCGGGAACGATTGAATAATAATATACTGATAATAATTGTTTAGTAATTTTATGATTAAGGGCCCCTTGTGCGAAAATGTGCTCGAATCGCTGATAACATATTAAAATACGAGAGCCAATCGGAAACGACAGTCGTTTAGTTTACACGTACACGCGCGACCACGGATCAATGGCGTAGCCGGAATTTTTATAAACGGGAGGGGGCCGATAAAAAAAAAAAAAAAAAACATATCAAAATTAAATTAAAAATATTATTTACACTAGAATATCATTTAGCGACTCGTGTATATACTGATAAGCGAGGTAGGATTGCATATCGATAGATTTTTTTTCGTTTGTTTTATATTTAAACATAATATTATACTCATTTCGTCCATAATATAATTGCCGTTGATTTAGAGAGACGGTAAGAAATCTGAAAACAGATTCGAAATTTCCACTGCAATAGTATATTCCTTTTCTTTTTTTAAGGATATTTAAAATAACTAAAATAATGCAATTTAAACGTATAAAATCATCTAGAACTTTCACCTTTGATTGCCTACATACAGAATTAAAGAGTAAGCTATTAATTTGTCAGAACTTCAATTTATTATCTAGTGTAATATTAACTACATATTAACTACTGCGATTCCATTTCATTATTTTGAAATTTTTTTTTACGATTATAGCTGAATGTGAATTTGAATGATATTGAATTAATGTATTCTACAATTTTTTCAAAGGTCATACTTCAAATTAGGCCAAGGATTGGACCGGGGGTTATAAATAAAACCAAAGACTAGATTAATACCACTTAATATATCAACAAATATATTAAATAATTTCTGATCGCGGTTTAGTTTCTTGTAAGTCACTATTATTATCTCGTGTCAAACATCTTTGTATAGAAATATGATAAACTAAATTAATATTAACATTACAACTATGAGTCGGTAATATAAAATAAGTAAACACGAATAAATAAAATGAAATAAAATAATAAATAATAATAATAAATAGTTAATTTGGTGTCAGTTTAGTTTAACGTACTATATTGGGAGTCGTGTGTGAAATTCTTTTTTGACAAAACTTGGCAACTTTTGTTTCTTCCCTGGTCGCTGACATGATATGGTTCCTACACATGATGGTGTTTGGGCAGTTTATTAGGTGGGTCTGAGTCTGTTCACAATCACAATATGTATCTTCATATGGAATAAGACCCCATTTTAACTGGTTTTCTTTGATCGCCCAACCCCTACTCTTACTCTATTTATTGTTCTCCACACTGGCCAACTCTAAATTGTTCTCTGCAGGCAGGTTGTAACATGACGTAATAGACTACACGTTGACTTGGTATTAGTTGATTGTTTATTTGTGTTTTTTTATTACACGAATTATGTCTTGTATATTTAAAATGTATAATTAATATTTCACAATAAAGTGATATTTACTCGCATGGAAGCGCACAATAACATAAAAGCACAATACAATACAATGGCATGAACAACATATCGTATATAAGTGCGGGCAATAACTTACGATAAAACTCCCCATCACGGGCAAGGTGCTACGAAAGATTCTGTAGCTTTGTAGCAGCGTCGAAGATGAAGGCGTAATGTCCCTCGTCTGTGGTGGACTGGAGCTACTGACTAAGCGCCGTGCTGTTGATTCGTCTGCTGTTAGTTTCCTAATTAGAGAGTTCCTAGCGTTTATCTTTTGTCTCGTGTTTGCACAGTGTTGTTTAAACGTTAACGAACGATCCAGCGTTACCACTATTAGATATTAAGAAAAAGTGGTAAGCTCGAGTTCTTTTCCTCGCCGTATTTCTGATTTGCTTGTCTAGTACGTAAATGGAAGGCACATATCTGGGTTTTATCTAGATTAGATTTGAGGTGGTTTTTCTGATAATAAACTAGAATGGTCTGAAGTGAAATATTCATGTTACTCTCTACTTCCTTAAAATTATGACCTTGGATTGCCAGAGTCACGTCATCTCGTCATCTGCGTGTATGAAAGATTTTGCACCTGATTGTGTTGGAATAGATTGATCATTTTTATAGACGTTGTATAGCATTGGAGCCAAGGCGCTGCCCTGTAGAAACCCATTCCTCTGGGTTCTCTATCTACTCTTTTTGCCTTCCAGAACTACATAAAACCGTCTGTTGAGGAGTCATGTCCCAAAAGCTTTTACTAGTTTGTAGTTTTCAGTGAGTTTATATAGTTTCTCCAGAAGTAAATTGTGGTTTACAGTATTACAGGCCGGTGTGAGGTCTATGAAGATTACGCCGGTGATCTTTTTTTCTTCGTAACCAGTTTCGATAAATTGTAATAAGTTGAGAATTTAGCTTGTGCATGATTTTCCAGGCCTGAAGCCCGCTTTTTCTTCAAGGAATTTGTTGTCGACAGTAGGGCCTAATCTAATAAGGATTAATTTTTCAAATAATTTGTATAGATATCATAAGAAAGAGACAGAGCGGTAACTTTTGGGGTCGTCAGGGTCCTTTCTAGGTTTAAGGAGTGCAATAAACATTGCTTTCCTCCATATTTTGGGTATCTGATAAGTAATTATTACTTCGTTAAATAAGTCAAAGGCCAGTTCTTGGTACCCTACTCAAAATGTTTAATCTGTTCTGTCAAGATAACGTCCAAGCCTGCAATTTTCTTGTTTTTAAGTCCTTTGGTTGTTAGATTTAGTTCTTATTCCAAGAATATACTTATTAGCATTGATGATTGTCAACCCCTTTTTTATTTATTCTTGACCAGTAATTTCTTTTGTCCTTTGAATTCTCATGATTTATCTTACCGTTTAGGAGTAGTTGAGGGGCAACTTAGTTTGCAGTTACTGTCATTGTATTGTGAGATTTTGTAGGATCGTCGTCAAGTCTTAATCAGATCCCACGCTTTTTTGCTGCTGTGTTTCATGTGTTTTAGTCACCAATTTGTTTATTAAAAATTTATTTGCACACAATATGTGTACTATCACTAAAAACCTAAATATATTGAACAAGATGCCCATCATTTTATCTAACTAATAATAACGTATATAATCACTATTCAATAGCCATGACATCAACGTGATAGTCACTACAGCCAGGGCCATAGTCTCGTTTTTTGTGCGGTCATCCATTTGATGGCTGTAAAATAAAAAAATACGTCCTAGGATAATGGGGAATCGGTTTTAGATGTTTAAGTAAAAGTTTCTCTAAGAGTTTAGAGAAACTTGGAAGGAGTGATATCGATCATCACCGCTTTGGACGAATTTTCAGACAATACTATGACATTATTTACTTAACGTCGATTCCCGTACAAACGGTTCTAGCGATTCATAACGGCTGTAATGCTGAATCCTACGGGTGGGCGTTAACCAAATATCCCAAATATTATAGTATATACCGTCATGAGCTATCGCTGCCTATCGCACAATCAATGATGCTATATGACGTACAAACCCTTATAAAACGACTTCGGACAGGTATAAATCAGTAGTGCGTAATAATATAGAAAATACGCTCTAGCTGCGAACGATAATATGTAAAATATGTTAAATCATTTGAGCATTGCAGCTATCGCGGTATATTGTTGCATGCTATTATGCTATACCTATATAATACAGGTGTATATAGGTATATATTTATATATAGATACAAATTAATATGGTGTAGCTATTGTACGTACCAGCTACTTATAGAACGGCAACTGTAAAATACATAATTATTGTGCACAACGTGTATATTATAATACAATTATTATTTTACGACTTATTCGTATTGCAGTGTAGATATCCCGTAGATTAACGTAATACTAATGATATCATAATACGTAGATAAACCGTGCATTACATTCGCGGTTTTGTCAACTTAGGTATGAGCTATACGGCGGTATGTAACTTGGGTATAAGTGTATACCACGTTTAAGTCAACATGCTATGTATGAGAGAGACAGGATCATTCAGCTGACTTTTTCGACGAGATTTTAAACAATTTGATTGTATACACTTTGATAATAAATATTGGATCTCACGAATTTTACATTTTACTAACATCGTAGTATTCCTATCGGTGTGTTAAATTCGTGTCCCAGTACCTATTACATTATTAAAAAGAGGACTGTGAAATTGTTTACAACCTCATTTCGAAAAGTGAAACGCACGAATATACTCGCATATGGTTTTATAGATTCGAATAATTCGTTAATATTGCATGTTACTACGTGGAAGTGTGTATACGTGAACTGGGTAACTCTAATATTTACAGAATTCATAAAGAAGTTTTCTCCAATGTGAAATTTATAAAAATATCATGGAAGAAGTGAACAAATTTTCCGTTGACATAATATATTGCGGGCTATTTTCAATTAACTTTTGACATTCGTTGGCCGCAGGTGAACCAAAATTACCAGTATTGGAATGTTTGAAGTTATGTTTTATGGTTATTATTCCTTATAAGGGGCGCGGTAAAAGAACTGATCCCATCTTTATTGATATCACTTTCTGGGTTCCTATGCGTTCTGTAAATTTACTTTTTAGTCTAGTATTTTTTTAAAACATATATAATGCATTCGGGTAACGTCAATATCGCATATAATGTATAAATACATAATATTTTATTGCATTTCAATATAACGTTTTAGTAATGCACGGTCAATCTATTTATTAAAAGTCCACGAGATATAGAACACCTACTGTTGTAGTGGCTTATTACATTATCAGTATTTTATCTGTATATAGTCGTTTAGAGTACATTTTTAGAGCACACAGGGCGCCGTCATCTTCTAACTATTAATTTTGTTTTTTTTTCATCGACTAAAATCGCCGTCAATAGTATTATAAAAAATAATACGAGGCGACGTAACATAAAAATTCGATTTACTCACATCTATAATAATATTTGTATACATGCATTATGACCTCTATGTATTAATCGATATTATATTAACAATAATTATATAGCTGTAAAAACAATAGGTATATTATTTAACATAGGTACTTAATGAATTATACAGAAATCAATCGAATCCATAATATTTGATACTCTTAATATATTTAATACATTTTTTTTTTTTTTTTTTTTTTTTTTTAGTAGGTATATTTAGAGTAAATAAAAATATATTTTATTACATACATGAGAACTTAGTGTGTAGTACTCTATATAGGTAAAACAATACCGCACATTCGACTTTTAGAGTTGGACATGCAATACCATAATATATATATATATAATTATATCACATACTTACCTACCTACATCTATAAAAAATAGTCTTCAAGACTGCCATAATATCGTGAGAAACGAAAATGTTTTATTTTTTTTATTTAATGCAACTACCATATTACACTATTATCATTATTAGCCAATGGACATTATACGAATATTATTACCAACTAATTATGTTTCGACGTGTTTCGTGAACTATACAATTATATTAAATATTATAATTCTTCCTTATTTTATTTAAAATTCATAATATTTATCTTAAAATATAAATGTTTATTTCAAATTAAATTTTATTATAATACATATTTATTATTACGATTTAAGTAGACACATTTATTATATAATATAATAAATAAACGTAGGTATATAAAATGTAAATGGTCCGTCCCAAAAATTTGTTATTCGAACGACTTGATGTCTAAAAAAAAAAAAAAAAATTATAAGATTACAATGTATAGGTTATATTTTATTATTATTATTATTATTATGGATTTGTATACGTATTAGTAACAATTGTCAACATATCGTATAATATTGATAGTGAAAATCATCTTATTATTATTGTAACAAATTGTAGTTTAATTTAAATTTACGAACATTATTATTGTAGTAATAAATTACGATGAATAAAAATTAATGTTTTCAAACAGTCAAAATTTTTTTTCTCCTCTTGCACGGAGCTCTTTAAACGGTCAATAACAAAAAAAAAAAAATTAAAATCAAAGACGGCTCTGGGGGAGGTGAGTCTGGGGATTGGGAGGTGATGAAAAAAAAAAAATAATAAAAAACTATAAATCCATTTTGTCTGCAATTTTTATAACCTAACCTATACCATTTGATGATACTTTGAAACTATATTATCGAACATATTTAGTTAGGTGAAAAAATATTTCAGTTGTAGAATAATATTGAAGGTAGAATATTGGATGTATCAGTTTAATAATATATGTATATATATATATACAATATACAATATTTCATGGCCTATTTCGCTGTTGTATAATCAATGGTATAACTATAACAATTTGCAAATCATGAAAGTGTTTTTTTTTTTTTTTTTTGTAATTATCAAGTTTTCTGAGAATTATGACTTACCCCCACCGAGTCTTTGAAATAAATACACTGTTTAAAGTTTACTTGTAAACGTACACGAAATCATTGTAAACTTTATTTAGCTTTAACATTTTTATATTTACCGTTTAAAAAGCAACTGCACTGGGTTGTTTGATCATACTTTTATTTACAGCAATACACTTCAAATGGCAGTCCGACAACAGAAGAACCATAATTATACTCATGTGGATGCAGTGATTACGACAGTTTGGTTAAAAAAATAATATATATATATATATATATATATATATATATATATATGTATATTTATTAAGAAAAAAATTATAGCTATATGTACAATGCATGTATACAAAAAATTCAAGCAAAAACAAATTAATTAAAAAAAAAGGAATTAGTATTCTCAAACGATTTCTTATATAGGTAATAATATAAGTGAATGCTGCAGACATATATTTTTATTTTTATTTTAACCAGTAATATTTTTAAGCATGCACGAAAAAATTTAATAATATTATGTTCGCTGTTTATCAAAAACTTGTTTTTTTTTTTGAAAACCTTCACGTTGGTGGCATAACACACGTGGTACATTATTGTGAAGATGTTCTTATAACGCAAACGCGATAGGTACCTGTCATAAAAATGCGGAACAATGGTAAAATGTTGAAAATTCTATTAAGATAAAACCGTTAAACCGGAAAAAAAATAACCAACATTAAATTTACCCGCAAAATCGTTGTAAGACATAAAAATCGCTTGTTTGTGGTATAAAGGACACCTTATGTATACGAACGTAGCTCGTGGGTAAGGAATTTATTGTTTCCAACAAAAACTGCGTCCACTGTATAGGACTTTTCGTTTTGCGCATTTACTGCGGTGATTTTAATTTTATGTCGACACGAGACTATACATAATATAATTATGAACTCAATACGAAAAAAAGGGTCTTATACGGAATCCCATTAATACTATACTTACAGTAATAACAGTAATTATTATGCGGATAGATAATAAAACAATATTTCGCGTTTTTATTGAGCAATAAATTTGATTTCGTCAAAAAGAAAAAAACGCGCATATTTCACGTGATTTATTACACCCCCCACGATTAGACGCGTGTTCCATAATATAGGGTAATATATTATTTTAGGTCCTACCTACCTGGTTAATCGACCTTAATCGTTTTCCTCTGAAAGTTTTCACCCGTTTTCCATTAAAGAAAAAAATCCGAATCTAGGCCATTTTTTTCCACTACGCACTGTGCACGTAGGCGCAAATAGGGATGGGCTAATGCTTAGTCTGCCCAAAAATCAGCCAAATTCCCCTCCTAATCAAGTATTTATTAAGAAAATATTAAGTATACACAATCGATATTATGGGGACTGAATTCCATCCAATATATTTAGACTATTTGCTCTTATGACTATACATTTTCCTCCGTTACCACGAAGAATACAAATTGTCACCCTCCTGGCCTTTTGCAATAATTTGTCTGTATATTTCATATTCTCACCACAAATATTTGTTAAAATATTTTGTTCTTAATTGAGACTGGAAAATGCTTGAAATAGATATTGCTGATATTTACTATACTATGCATAGTCGATTAATTAATTATATTAATAAATATATGTTTACATATATATATGTTGTAATCAACATCTTCGCTTTTAATGGGAACAAAAGAGACGATTTTAGGCCACTGAACTTTTTGAGGGTAAATGGAAAGTATCTATTTTTTTAATTTAGATTGACAATGAAATTAAACGGTATGTATCTCAATTTCGGAAGATAACAATCTTGTCCTGGCTATCCTGTACAGTTGATCATAAAAAATATAAGCACGTGTGTGCATAAATTAGACTGCACCCAAAAATTATAGACATATGCATATGTAATAGTTGTACACATCCAAAAAATATCCATATTCCATTACATTATGGACATACAGGTTTTTTTTTAATATGTTTGCGTTGTTTGAAATATTTGAACAAGCAAAAATAGTCTGCGAAAAAAAAAAAAGCTGATACTGGTGATGGGTTTGTCGCTGTTGTAGGTGGGAAGTCAGGAATGTAGGATACTTAAAGTTATTTAATTTGTAACTGTAAGTGACGATAAATCATTGCTAAACTATTTGAAGAAAAGTTCAGTTTGTACCTACATGTTTTTAAAAGCCATACTATTTACAATTTTCGTCAAAATTTGGTTTTAAATCTCTTATAAAAAAAAAAAATTCCTAAAACTAAATTTATTTTTTTTTTTTGAGAACTAAGTAAGATTTATAACGAACCTTTTGTTAATTTTTCAAGCATTTCTGTTTAGTATAGTAGTTTTATCGACTACCAAATAAAAATTACGTAAAAGACTTGTAAAATGTCTATAAATAACTGAAAACTAGCATAAATGTTTTGAAAATCTGCGTTTTAATCCCTTGTCTTGAAAAAACAAAGACAGTAAAACTTTCATATAACGGTTTCGAAGGGACCAGAAATAATGATCACTATTTCGAGGTGACCCTCTTTTAGAGGTTTCCTATGGAGACATAACCACTTGACGGGACCAAAACAAATGACCGTTACACAGACGTTACGTTTTTATGAGGTGACCGTTGACGAATGTTTTACTGTATATATTTTCAGTCAAAATTTCAAGTCTTTACAAATATTTTTAATTGAACAATACAATACAATATAAATAAAATTGAAATTAATAAAAGAATTGATTTCGTACATTTTCCCGTTCTTTTAATGTTTTTTTCGGTTTTGCTGAATTATTAAAAAAAAACTATCTTCTGGATCATTAACCAGATAAAAAATTCAACAAAAAAGGTTTCTTGTCATTTTTCCATTGGAGCAATATTTTCGTTAAAATTCATCGTGCTTAAAAACTGAAAATAATGAAATCGTACTTATGCCGTAAATTGGTTCATTTTTCTTTTTTTTCCGGTTTATCCAATTATGAAAGCACTTTAGAAAATAAAAAAATTACCTCTTTAATGCATCAAATAGACAAAATTTTTTCCAAAAAATATTCTTCACTCTTTATATGGACTTTTTCCAAAATGTTGTTTACAGGCAGAAAAAAAAACCACATATCATATCGCTATGCTCCGAATCTTAAAATAGATTATAATTAAATAGAGGAATTTAGAGAACTGAAATATTATTATTTTTACGAATAAAATAATATCCGATTCTAAATGAATTGTTTGCTTTATAAAAACTAATTTTCATTTATTCAAGTTACGTTAAAATTTGAAATCCCAAAAAATCGCATACACGTTTTTTTCTTTAAATGTGACTTTTTTTCACCACTAAGAAGATTCGTGATGAACCCCGAACTTGTAACGAATTTTCAAGTATTGCATACCCACCTACATAGAAAAATACATTTGTTTGGTCACCAGAAATTTTGATTGTTTTTTTTTTTCAAATTTAGTATTTATACGTTTGAACGAAGTAATATTAATAGTACAAAATATGTTATTGCCATGACACAAGAAGCGTTCAAAGGCTACCACTATACAATATTAAGTATATATCATAAAATGTAATATAATATAAAGCTGTCATTATACCTAGTGGAATTTACTAAGTAATAAATTAGTTGTTTGTAACTAAAAAACAAAAAAAAAATCCTTTAATATCATAAATAACATAGGTATAGGAAATAAATCAATATTATAATGTTTATGAAATACGTATAGATAGAGCAGAATACATCAATATTTTTGTATTATTTGTCTACGTGTTTACAAAGTGTGAACAGCGTCGTAACCAGACTTACCCTTGCCTTACTCTTGGCCTTCTGCGACATAATGTGCTTAAAACTCTTTCTGCAATTAACTGCTTGTAAATTGAAAACAAAAAACTCGCACGACGATGATCGGATGAATATAACATTATTATTTATGGTCCGAGAATCAACTATAAATAATAAAATAACGTGTATAGGACACGTTTACCAATCTAATAATAATAATACGTTTATTGCAACATCAACAAGTTTTTACATCGAAATTTCGTTCACGAATAGAATATTGCAGCACCTCCGGGTAAGCAAAGCTTGTGCTGGGGGAGCAGTTCTTAAGAATATAAATAAGAGAACAAATATAAAAGAATACAATTCGGTATGAATAAATATAAACAGTATCTGGAGACAAATATAGGAGTATAGCGGATTATTCCATTTTAAAATACCGTGTTTAACAAGAATAAATGAATGCGAATTTAATAGATTAGTATAACAATCATACAAGAGATTTTAAGATACTATAAGAGCTGAAGCCTCCCAAAAATATTTGTGTTATTTGCGTCTATGCATATCGACTCCTGCAACGAGAGATGAGCCATGTTTTTAAACACAACTTGTTTATTTTATACGCATACTATTTATTATCAAATATGCATCAAGCTTATTTTGGTATAATATATTATAATTTTGTGTTAGCAAACTGTTTATTTAACAACAATTAATTACCTATGTTACAAAATAGTATCCATTTGCCGGAGTTTTCGAGTCATTTAATAGTCATTTATACTTCAAATTCAATTTTTTTTTTATAAATTTCAGTTTTAAACTGTTTAAACGAATTAAAGTTTAATTAATCTAATCAATTGTTTTTATAATAATTGTCTATTGTTTAACATTTAATTTCTGGATTTGCCCTGGGTATGTGTATTCCTACAATTCGTCAGTTTTTAATTCAACGCTAACTAAATTTTTTATTTGCTAACCAAATAGATATTTTTATTACTTTATTAATGTACATAATAATTATTTATTTTTAAATGTGACACTAAAATAATTCAATAAAAACAAAATTATTAAAATGGTTAACACTCGTAAATAAATAAAGTAAATAAATATATAAATAAAAAATATTTATTTTATTTTTATGTATACATTTTTATTTATTTAATTTATTTAAAATATACTGCTGTACTTTAATTTCTTCAAAAATAAGGCGTAAAACTTTATCGGCTTTGCTTCGTTTATTTTTATAGACAATCTATTATTTCATTAACCAATTGTGTTTAAGTCAACATGTACTTTTTTTTTTAATATATTATAAATAGGCAACCCATATTAGTAGTGGCTGTCGCAGGTTTTTCGTCTCGTTCACCATCGGGACTTTCCGGCCGTCGTTGCTGCTGATATCTCGTGTCAATTGGATTCGCTGACTTCATTCTATTCTTTTAGTATTCCGTAGTAGCGGAGTGATGAGCTATGAGCTGATATATATATACCCATCCGGATATCCGATCGACTGGTGTCGTTGGTGATTTGGTTCATGATGAAAACCCAAATCTTACTCATAACTATAAGATTATTTTGGGCAGAGTGTGGTTTCTCTCGTTGTTGCTTTTTACTTGACTGATTTCATTGGGCTTTACAGTCTATTTGTGACTCTGGCAATTATCCTTTCAATACGATATTAGATACATTGAGAGATAAAAAAAAAAAAAGAAAAAACAGTATGTCCCGCCTGTGGGTGTTCTAGTCGTTTGCTGAATCGTTGGTGGACGAGAGGTGTCGTCGAATGAGCAAAAGCAGTACGTGCAACAAGGGCAAGGCGCTGCATATCTCCCAGTGGATTAAGGGTGAGCTCGGGGGAACCAGTGGTGGCAGCGGCTGGACTGACTGGGGAGGAGTATATCGTGGTCGTGGTAGCCGTGAAAAACACAACGATAACGATGACGACGCTGAGTTCGAACTGTGGTCCCAGGAACGGATGGACGCCAAAAAATCGGAGATTCAGCGTCGCCTCGCTGCAGCCACGCTGGATGAGTGTGGCGGTGACGTTATTATCGAGTGCACTGCGGAAACCATATCGGTGCTTAGCAGCCCAGACGACAGCCAAGTAAGACCACGTGATAGTATTGGTTTGTACGTTAAACAAGAAAAAATAAAAAAGAAAAGAAAAATAAAATCAAAATTTCGTTGATTTTTCTCTATTTAAATTTTAAGCAAATAGAGTGCGTACAGACTTACAAACATGAGAATCTATAGTTGTGTAAGTCGGTAAAAAATTTAAATCACTACGTATATTATCTTTTAATTTTTATTCATTGCTGTGGAATTTTCTTGAAAAAACTTTTGAGAGAATCTAAAAATGGTCTCCTTAAAATATCTCTATGGTGAAATTTCCTTTCAGAAAAACTGCTCTTATTGTAAATCGGAGCAAAATTGATGGTAGAAAAGTTGTTCACAGGAAAGAAAGGCCGAAATATTTTTCAACTATACCTACGTTTCTTACATTTTCCTGTTATTCCTCCGCTATTTTCGGTTTTATACATCTATTGAGAAAATCGAAAAATTACCTCCCTAAAGTACTACCCAAGAAAATTTCCTTTCAGAAAAGGGGGTCTACATTAAATATATTTGAGAAATATGTATAATATATATCGGTAGAAAAAGTGTTCACATAAAAAAAAGAATAAACATCTTTTACAGTGTATTAATTCTTGAAGTACATTCTTCATTACAAGAATCTAAAAATGTTATAATAATAAATGGTAGAAAGGTTTAAAGGTCTCCTATCTAATGAATCTAACTTACAAAATAAAATCTCCTTATACGACACAAATAATTAACAGCAGTAATTTTGTTTAAATAAAGTTGTACGTGTAATAAAAAAAATAACTTTGAGTTAATGATTTGGGTAGGTTTAGAAATTTATATTTATTAAGTTAGAGCCGTTAGAGGAGACACCTTTAAATTCTTCTACCGTTTTTGCTTTTTTAAATATTTTTCAATGGTTTCAGAGGTTGTTTGACGTTTATAAGCGTTTATTTTGTGGATTTTAAGTGCAATAAGTACCGAGCCCTACATACGGTATAATATCTTGAATTATGTTATTGTATGGTGAATTTCGTTTTAATATCGACAGCGCAATTACTGAGTCGGCACTCCTAAATCTGGGATAATTGGGAAACCGTTGAGGTACAAACCATGGGACTCAAGGTACAATCAGGTACAAATATGGTACAAAAACAATTGATATCGGTATCGAAATGAAATTTTCAGGGGGGGAGGTTTCTGGAGACACGGACCTGTTATAACATCTTGGGGTAGACCGTAGACTGCATTCGATATATTAGTCATAATTCGTCGTATTACAATAATTATTTCCAAACTTTGATAACCACGTTCTTGGAATTGGAACGCAATAATGCATCTTTAACGATATATCGTTTGAAAAATTTACTTTCTGCGGATAAACAAAAATATGTACCTGAGTATTAGACGTGTAGAAAAAAAAAAACGAGTTTCGAATAAAACAATTTCCATTATACAGTTACCTATATGTATATACATACGAATTGCATACATTTTTCACCCTATTTATTTCATTGTGATGCACGCAGACTTAGTGAATAATAATAATGATGCTCTGCAGAGGGGCCTATTGTAATATTTTTAACGATGTTAAATTTCGTCACATTATTTTACCATATACCTAATATTATGAGCCCTGTGAGTGTCGATTTTCATAATGTCCCTTTGCGTGTATCTCTTACATTTTATAAATAACGGACGACGAAAGTAACAAATTTGGGCGGTTATTTTTCGTAATCAGAAAAAAAAAATGAAACTATTCTGACACGATCCGACGTTTCTCACAATTGCAGTTACAAAAGGTATTTATTTGACTCCGATTTTAAGAGTACCAATATCAAAAGAAGTTATTATATTAAATAATAGGTATTAAAATATGTTTTACGCTTCCACAAAATAAGCCTTTCCCTTTTCCACCGAAATTAATCTTTCTCTTTTCCACCAATACACGTTTCCATCAAACTATTTATTGCATATTGCAATGTTTAAATGTGTAAATATGATCTGTGTCAAATTTAAAGAATTTTTCGTGTGTCTGCAGACTCTTGTCAAGCAGTTGATACGCTAACTTGCATCACAATATACATAAAATAACATCAGGTGTAGAAAAGGTTGAACATTATAATTAATGCAACTACTGAATACGTTGATATTAATATTAGATAAATGGGAATATTGTTGTGAAGCATTGTTATGTAAGAATGTTTGTTCGATAGTTATTTAGCTTATCTTGGTTGATCGACACAAAAGTTACGAGATGAAATAAACTCTCTTTTTTATTTTTTTTAAATTTATAGCACGCGAGTGAAAAAAAATGCGTAATTATGTTATGTTCTAGTCTGTAAGTAAGTACTATATATTGATGTATTTGGCAATACCAAAATAATGAAACTTGTGTCTTACAGTATAATTTATGATAGGTACTCATATTATGTACACGTTAGTTATATTGATCACCCCTTTCTACTCATGATTCTGTATATTACTGTATAATAAATATTCGTAATTTGGTGAAAGCGTGTAACGGATAAAAAGAAAAAGGTTCGTTTAGGTGGAAAAGGATATTGGTGAAAAACCGAAAGGGACATTTTTGGCGGAAACGTGCATTGAAGGAAAAGAGGAAAATTAGCTTTGGTGGAAAATAGTGACACCCGTAAAAGTGTTCCAATTATTTCTTCACGCCGTTCCTTAAATAATGCAAATGTTTCGTCCCGTAGTATCTTGCTCTAGAAAATTAGAATAACTGTCAGGGATTTTCGATACATCGGTTTTGATTTTATTGATTTCTGGGTTAAAATGACGACTACAAGTTTGAAAAAAGACGACAAATACTACATATTACCCTAACCGGCTTACTTAGTTTTACTCGGAATCGTTTTTTTATTGCAATAATTTATCGTCGCTGTCAGTCTAATAAACTAAATATGTCTCTATATCCATTACCTTCCGAACTTCCCATCGTGTGCAGTATTTCCAGGATTTTTTTTAAATATTAGTTTGTTTTTAATTTTTTTTTTTTTTTTTGCATTAACCACTTAAAGTCATTTTCGTTATTTTCGGTTTTTTCGAGCCAATAAAACGTATTCGATTTTTGTCTGTGCTCAGAGAACAATGGTGCCGGAAAACGTGTGTGAAAAATGTCAGAAGACGTGTGATATCAACGGCAATCAACAATCTGACGCGTTTCTCGACATGGACCCGGACAACAAATGGAAACCGTCCACGATAACCGTGTCTACTGCGGACCTTAGCCCATGTGAATCGTTCGGTGACAAATGCAGTAACCACAACAGCTACAACAACAACAACAATAATGACAACGACGAAGACGACGATGACGACGACGACGAAGAGCTCGAACGACCGTACGCTATACTCGCTTCGTCTCCGCCACAACAACGCTACCATCACCATTATCAACAGCAACAACAGCAAACCCGTCAACGTCGGATTTCGTCGACGTCCAGTCTGGACAGAACTGGCATTAATCGCGATCACTCGACGGACAGCCTGGATAGAGTGGAATTTTGCTCGACCACGGATTACCGGTAATTATATTTTTGTTAAATAAACGAAATGCGTGTTTGAATTTTGTTAAACATTTTAGAATGATGAATGATAAATTTTTTGTTTAATAATATTTTCTAAAAAAAAAAACAACACGTGAAATGATGTTCTACCACCAAAAATATTATCCTCTTTAAATTTCGTATTTCCATCGTCTGCGTTTAAACTAGTATAATTTCAACCTTAACGCCATAATTATTATTAAAATATTCTGATTTTGTTTTGTTATTGACCGTTAGATGGACTAATTCCAAGCAACATAAAATTGTACCTCGATAACTAGTTAACTACTCTTTGTTTAAACTTCAAACACAATTAATGACTTAGAATTAAATTTCAATTTTTTATTAATAGCTACATATTAAATAAATATTTATTACCAAGATTACAACAGGATAATGTTTGATACAAATAAAACTATTTAGAAAATATGCATAGATAGGACATTCCAATTAAAATAATAAAATACGTCCATGAAACGCAATCTGTTCAATAACCTTAACTTTACGGAATCGATTTCTGTTTGATTTTTTAGATGGCCCGAAGACTTTTATCCCATTACAGCTAGCTGTTGTCTTCCAACGGACGAAGATTACAACTACGATGCATCTAGTGAGGAATTTTGGGGAACGCCGAACAGTAGCACTACTTCTCCATTATCCGTCGAAGTAAGTAAATAATGAATATAATGGAATAAAAAATCATGATTGATTGAATAATACATATATTTTTTAAGGAATAACTTTGTGTTAAATTTTCAAACATTTCTGCTCGATCAAAATAATTTTATCCACATAAACCAAATAAAAACTAAACAGCCAAAACAATTTAAAATGGCTATAAATAGTTGAAAAATTTTTTGAAAAATTGACTTCATATAGAAAGGGTAACTATTAATATTCCGTGAGCATTTCAAATCTTTAGGATTATTTTTAACCGAATAATTACAAAAACGAAATCGAAAATAACGGAAACCGTTATTGCATAATTTGTTGAGGTCCAATTATTAAGACTAAATGGAAAATGAAAAAATTCACTTCCCCAATACACCAACTAGACAAAGCGTACTTTTGAAAAAGACTGTGCTGCAAGATTTCTAGCAGAAAAATTATTTACAAATGAAAAAAGACCAATAAAAAAAAAACATATTGCGTAATCAACCATTAGAATCTAATATGATAATTTGTTACATTGGTATAGGTAAATAGAATGGCGTACTTTCGTTTACCTATACATTTTCTATAACATTCAACACAGTGGCACAAATCAGGGTGGAGGGGAATTCGTGATTTTGGAGCCCCTACTTGCAGGTCCTCGCCCGCTGCCGAAAAGATAAAAAACTGTACATTAAAATGTATCTGCATTTCTACAGGAGCAATAATAATATACGATTTAGTTATAATATAAGTGTTTGGAACCCTTGCTCTTAAATAAATTATGATTACGCCACTGAGTTAGTAAAATTCTCAAACCATCACTAATACTCAACACTATAAAAACTGATATTTTCGTTCGTTATTTTTGCGATTAAGGTGAACTATAACGAAGAACGGAAAAATGAAAATTTATTCGGTTCTGTGCAGCTACAGGTGAATACGTCTTCTACTCCCAAGAGGAGACCTCTTCGGCTAGAACCGCTAATTGAAGAAATTGAATCATCCGGAAATAATACTCCTTCGTACGAATACAAAGAGGTGAGCGTATATTATTATCTAATTATTATATTACCCATAACAGTTAAATAGTCGGAAAATTTAAAAAAGAAAAAAGAAATTTATTGAAAAACAAAAATTTTTGAACAACATAATATGAGAGGTGAGTTAGGTTAGGTGTGGTTAGGTTAGCAGACTAAAATCTAGAAAACCGATTATTAAAAATTAGGAACCCATTACAGAACTTCCAACTGTAACTAGGTTAAAAAGTGGCAGGAGCGAGTGACATAATACATGGGGACATCCCCCAGAATATTACTTATCTGAATGTACATAGAAGACTATTAACAGAATACGTTCGGAAGTGGTTTGGACAAAAGATTAATATAAAGTTAAGATAAAGATAAAGATAAAAATATAATTAAATATTAAGATAAAGGTTCGTTAAATAATTGCTCGATTTCTGTCTAGTAAACATTTAACGGAACGTTAAAACGTTTTTTCAATTATTTCCATTTTTCTAACTATTATTATTATATTGACATTTGTGTTTATTTTATTGGTAAAATCAAAATGGAATATGGAAATTAAACAACTGATTTTTATGCAACCCAGCAATAATCTGTTATTAGTTTACCGGAGAATATTGATAAATCCATGTATAATATACATTGTATATATTTGAACATTGTTATAATTAGAGGAGCAAAATTAATATTTTGCTCCCACCGAAATAATGTATAGGGGTCCCTACTCCATCTGTCTCCTCTTCTCCGGTACCACTGGTAGCAATATTTTTCTAGGTACTTATTTTAATAAGTAAATATTTTAATTTTTCCGATACTCTTGTTTCGATATTTGGTAGGTATCCAATACTAGTTTTCGATTCGATACTAAGTGTTTATATCGAAAAGATTGTTTTGATATAACATCCTTACTTTCAATAAAAATTAATAAAAAGGTATGATAATATACCTAAGAAACCTAAAGGATTTACCATTGGGTATAATGATAATTATTTTTTAATTCACATATAATATAGAATGTTTACGGAGAAGGTCACACCCTGTTGAACTTCGAGAACGAGCCCCGGGCAAGCTCGTCCAAAGATCAAAAACACGCTGTGGAAAAGTCAATGACCAAAAACCTGTAAGCTAAGCACGGTGTTAAATTTTTTATAACATACGCATGAACGCATGCGATGGAAATTAAAATTTATAAATCGTATTATTATTTTGTTCACTCTTTTATACCTATCTTCTATGTACGTTGTAATAATAAGAAGTAGTAATTATGGTTTTGCGAATGCGACAGATTTAACATGGTATGGCGGTCGTCCACCAAGAGCCGTTCGAAACGGACTTGTAGCGAATCCAAATTCAGCACTAATTTCATTCGAAGGCGACGTGTAAGTATTATTTATTTATTAATTTATAATAACAAACCCACGACATCAACATATTTAAAAAAAAATACAAGTTAAGCATAAATATACAATTGGTCCGAAGAAAAGAAAGTGTTGTATTAAGATTATTAGAAATATCAAGAACAAAAGAGGGAAGGGTAAGTGTTGGCAATAGATATATGGTGGATAATTGGTTCATTGAGTCCATGATTAGCAGAGTGAAAAGGATGAGAAACATTTTTAGTTGAATGGGTAATACGAGATTGAATAAAAATAATTAAGTTTAGAAAGTAAAAATGGGCAATCAATGTCGTTGGCGAGGAGATTCTGCAAGAAATATATGTTGGCAGAATATCTGCGGTCGGCTAAGCTTACTAAAATATGTTTCACGAAACTAGCGACTCCGCAGTAGCGCTTCCGGTGACAAAATTTCGGTGTTTCACGGTTTCTCAAACTTGCACACAATACTTGGCAATTTGAAATACTGCGCGGTTTTTAAAAAATACGAATAAAAAGAATTATTTTATTTGTTGTATAATATATTTTATTATACATTATATTATGTATTATAATATATTAAAATATACATTTTCTTTTGATATTTTAACATTAATATTTACAATTGAAGTGATTCATCGTCGTCATCCTCGCTTACGCTGCTGTATTCCGGGTTAACTGTCAAAATTATTGGCTCTAAAATCTGGTACCTGAATACTTCTATAATAGAGTCTTCAACTTGAAGACGTTCGCAATGATCAACACAACGTTTCCAATTGTCAACAGTAACGGATTCTATGGCGATATTTGCGCTTTTTCTCAGACACGCATGTATGCAATGCAACCACAAACACAATAAAAACTCACTGATTAGTCGAACTAAAGTCATAAAGTTATAAAGTTGTCAGTAAAAACGATCGTCTAGATAACTCGAACGAAGTAAACATACCAATATAATAATGTGGTTGTTATCGTTATCAACAGTAATACGATCACCAATCACCACACGACTGTTTGTTTATCATAGAGTATCTATGGTATCTATATGGTGGTTATAAAATGTTTGGCAGTGGAAGGTTAAATTCATATCGACAGGGACAGCTGTTCAATGGTTGATTGCCGCGTCATTTTTAAATTATCCCAACTTTTTAGTCACACGTTTAGGAAACCTTCATAAAAATCTGCCACCGGAAGCGTTACTACGGAGTCGCTAGTTTCGTGAAACGTACTGTAGATTAAGCTTATGGAGAACAGGGTTATAAGACAAGACGCTCAATTTTGAGTAGGAATTTGCATTGTACTCGATCTGTTTGTCTGCAGGCAACTGCAGTATGAGAGTCCCAGAACACAGAGCCATATTCAATGATTAAACGAACGAAGACACAACAGAGGACTTCAAAAGATGCCTGTAATTTGAATTCAGAGAAAATACGTTTCAAGAAATCTAAAGCTTTACACCAGGCTTTCTTGAAATGAAAATTAGGATTTAGCGAAGGACATAAAGTAAAATCGAGGTCATGAATTTCATTGTCAGCTATGGGCAAATTTGAACCTTGAATAGCATAGCTAAAGATAATAGGCCTAAGATAACGCGCAAAGATCATGGTGAGACGGAATATTTTCATGAGTCAAGGAAGAGTAGGGTTGTCTAAGAATGAAGTTGTTTAAATGTGTAAGAAACATATAAGCTTTTTTGTTAACTGTTTAACAATTGAGTCAGTAATAAGATCCAGTCCTGGGGATTTATTTTTGGATTGTTTTTTTTAACTATGTACTAGTTTTCAGAAGAAGCGGTGTGTCGAAAAAAATATAGGTTAATGATTTTTTTATGTGACCCATGTGATCTATACCGATGACTTCTGAGTTTGGTGTAAATCTGTTTTTAAAACCAGATGCAAAAAGGTATGCTTTATCAGTCATCAAAAAAAGACGACAGTTTAAATGACATCTCGTTTGGGATGATATCGCAAACCACTGTAAGGTATTATTTTATGTATCCAAGAAAACTATACGTTGAACAATGTGTTTCATGGATTTATGGGTATTTCTACGAAATGGTTGAAGTAGCACTTACCTACAAATAATGAGCCAATTTAAAAAATTAACATATTACTATTATTGTAAAACTTAAAATAAGTTAAAATTAGTTTATAAAAAGGTACCTAATGACTAATATTGCGTTTAAATTAACTTTTGTTTCAGATAAAATCTGAAACATCCAAACAAAACAAAGAAATCAAACTCAATCTAATCGAAAGTGTATACTTAATACTTTTTGGTTGACTGTACAAATATTATGTACCCATTGAACACTGCAAATGTTATGTCTATTCGCTATTTAATTAAAATAATGTATAAGTCACTCGTGGGTGCCCGGAGGGGAGGAGCAGGATGGGGCATCTGCCTCCCCGAACTTCAAAATTTCAAATATTATTTTATTTTAAGTACTTTTTCGTGTTTGATTTTATCATGCCCCTCCCTGACAAATTTCCTGTGGGCACCCATGGGCACACTATTGATTATACTAAAATATCAAACGCCTATGTAGTTGAGGTAGATAATATATAGGTAGGTACATATTACACGTTTAGTTTTGTTTACATCATAATCCTAATTATTTCAATAATAGTCAAAAATAATATCTTTAGCAAAAAATATAAAATTATAATATTATATCTAATACGGTTATATTATTATGCTGACGGACTGATTCTATATGTATATATACATACATACATACGTACAGGGTGGTTTTTTAAGCATGATCACCCCACTTGTATGATTAAATTATGCATATTATATCCAAATTCTGATTTTTGGAATTTTTAAGTGCAGTGAACGACGATATTTTCGAGTAAGTACTTAGATGTTTTGCAATATTTAAAGATTATCTCGAGGTATAACTTATTTTGGTTTTTAAAATGAAGACCTACATGTTTTAATGTATAGAATTATTATGAGATGATTTTTCTGAAAATGTTGACGTATTTTAATCGTAATTTGAACAAAAAATGTCTCAGTTATTCTACTTTAAATACTGAAGGTTAATAGTTGCACAATCTAATATATGGAATTATTTATACGTATAAAATAATTGGTGTCTTATCCCCATGAAAGGCTGTGGTATTATCCTTAGTATTCAAATCAGGATAATTGAGACATTTTTTGTTTAAATTTCGATTTCAAAACGTCAACATTTTTGAAAAAATCATGTGACTGATAGTTTACATCAAAATATATAGGTTCTAATTGGAAAAACTAAAGTTGTTATTGCTACAAGTAACTTTTTAAATATTGTGAAAAATCTAAGTATGCTAAAATATCATCGTTCACTGCACTTGAAAATTCCGAAAATCAGAATTTTAAAGTATGCCTAAGTTAACCGTAAAAATGAGATGAGCACTGAACAATGTTCAGTGAGTATACTTAAACAATCTCCCCGTGTATTCTTAAAAATATTTAAAAAAAAAGTGAGGTTATAGGGGGATATATCCCCTCAACCTCCCGTTTGACCACACGAGTCATGGTATTGCCACAGAATACTCCTTAAATGTTGTGAAAATTCCAATTATTTAAAAATAATGTCTCTAACTAAACTTAAACATTTCAAAGTTTGAAGAATTTGAATATGCATAATTTAACCATGTAAATGGGGCGAGGAAGCTTAATAAAAACATTCTGTTTATTATATAAACAGAATGTAGTAATGGAATATATATTATTATTATTATTATTTTGTATTATTTTATAATGCCAATGGGGGAAAAACCTATACTATTTTTATAATAAAAAAAATTCGACAAAGTTTTTAGAAGTTATAGCGAAAAATATTTAGCATCAATGCCAACAATCTATTGCACTACAATCATTATATTATTATATGCCTTGTATGCTCATAAAATACAATATGATTATGTTTTTAAACAATAGATTAATTTCATCAGATTTATAATTTAGATAAAATTATAAAAATCAACGTACAAAATATTGAACAGTGGTGCCTATTAATAACTACAATGGTATTGCATTTGAATAAAATATATTTAGATTACTTAACAATTATAAAATATAAAATATAATTAAAAATTATTAAAAATATTCATTCTATTGTATTATAATCGAAAACGATTTAATGTGAGTACATAGATACCCAGAGTCGGATTAATGCAATTACACGTCCAGGGCAAACTCATTTCCGGAACCCAAATATTACTAAACATTAAACAAATATATTTTTTGTTATTGTTCCTTATGCCGTATATTTTCTTTATATTATATTATGTAGTGGTTTTTTAAACAGTGTAGGTATTTATATTAAGTTTTTAATAACTATTATTATTTTAACGTTTGTGTGTAAACAACATTTTACCAGAAAACGTGATCCGGATTTCAAGTATAGCATCTATTAAAAAATATCATTGTATCCAGCTAGTTTTATAAGAAGTCGTTTTTAAATTTCCCTTGAAATCAAGGAGATACGTAGGTAAAATGGAAAAGTTTACGGCAAAACCGATTTCAATATTTTCGATTTTGTTTTTTCGTTGTAATTCGATTAAAAATAATAAGAAACATACAATTTTCAAAGAATATTAATAATGACCTTTTCTAGACGTTATCTAATTTTCAAAAAAGTCTGCCGATTTTTACTTATTGATAAGCATCTGACATTATTGAGGTTGTGGAAGATAATTTGATATGTGTACGGAATTATGTCGACTCTATAGCTTACTTATAAATTTATTCGTACGTGTCAAGACCGGTTCTTGAAAAGCTCCAATGGGAGGGAGCGAAAACATTTTGCATATTATACTTACATATTCCATATTTTTCTTCCATTTTTTTTAGAGAAGTGAGAATTAACACATAAACACTATGCAAGGGGGGAGGCGATTGGCCTATCACCCCTTCTTTGGACCCGCCAGTGGTGCCCATACGGAATTTGAGTTTTAGAACCGCCCCTGTTGTCAGCAGTATCAGATCCTTTTAAAATTGTAGAATTATTTGAGTTTTATTTATTATGAGATAATTATACAAAAATTATAATTCCAAAATTTATTGAGGATTACTGGACTATAGACCTCTTAGCCCCACCTTGATCTGGCTCTGTAGGTGTCTAATACAATTAAAATAATATTTCAAATTAACGTATTAACTTACAAAAGTAGAAAGTGGTGCTTAGGATATTTTACCTTTCTTCGGTGGCAGGTATTAACTGTTAAATACACTAAACTCCATGACAAATTCAGTGAAACAATAATAACGTGTGAATAATCCAATGAAATCCTAAGTATAGATATAGTTTTTATTCGAAATTGTTTTCAAATAGTTACTAATTTATTCAAGATATTATTTGTTATTAAATTTAAAAATATTTATACCTAAATAAAGTTTAATATCGCGAGCCGTCCTTTGCTTTTATTTTTTTAATACTATGTTTAACGAAATACTTAACGGATTAATGGGATTTTTAGTATTCATTTAACTATTAAATATTAAATATGATGTTTCTATTGTTCATTTTATACTATTATTATTATTATTATAATTATAAGGTCGGTAATAGGTTTAATTTAATGTGTAGGTATTTTTTAATTGAATTTTAACTCTGTAACACTCATACTTACTGTTGTGTTAACAAAACCAATACAATAGTACCTATCGAAAATAATAATTTTTATCAAAATGCTCACAAATTAATTAGGTATAGTTTAATATTATTTCTTTTACCGATTAGTGGTATTAGAAAATCTGTATAATAAATTATATTATTAAATGTACGCTATATCTAACAATTTCATAAAATGTGAGTAAGACAATCACGATGGAAATAATTCAACTGTGAGTTTATTTATGCATGCGCATAATTAGTAATAACAATTTTGAGCTTACGTTTTGAATAGGTACTACAATAACATTAAACCTATAGTATTGCTCGTGTGACATGTGTTATTATACTTTAAGATAACGGATTCAATAATGTTTTCAATAAAATAAAAAACTTACGAAATGCTTTTGGTTTGAATTTAAAACAGAGTTTAACATTATATCGATAATAGATTCTAAGAAATTCATTAGTTACAAACTTATATAATTATGTAACACATAGTTTTTTTTTAAAACTTTTTTTATAATTGGTAAATATATGTTTAATAATATTTACAGAAAAAACATTTCAACTGTGAAACTCTCATTATCTTAATACTCTGTACTTCTTAGTTATATAAATAGATAACTATTTAAATTATTTAAAATAATTTTTTTCTTATTTAGAAAGGTACTATACGTAATAAATAATATTTTTCTTTAACATTCAATTTACACTAATAAAATAGTTTTTTAAATTTGTCTGTACGCAACTTTGTTATTGAAGAGTATTTATGATATTATAATTAACTATTATTTACATGTCTATTTTATGTACATTTAATCAAATAAAAATTTTGATGAAAAAAAATTATTAATATTTATTAACTAAGGGTGAAACCTATTATTGGTGGACGTGAACACTAACGGAGTTACATGTTCCCAAATACTGCACATTCGAAATGTTCGATGTTGAACATTTACAAACACAAAATTATAATTCACACTTTTAATGTATAAGCCATTAATTACAATAACCTGTAGATAAGAATAGATAAATCTCAAAATCGAGACACATGATCAGTTATATACCCATTCACAAAACTTCGTAGGTATTTACATTTCACGGTTGCATTTACATCATTTACTATTTACTATTTATACAAAACGGTATTATATAATATAGTATCTGCGTAATAATTTATGTTGCGATCCCGGATAAAAATAATAGTAATGGAAAAAAGAAATATTATTGTATAGGTAATACTGATATTATTACTATTTTATCATTCCATTTCCGATGACGAACTCGTTCATTTTTCTTACCTTATTTTTGGCAATTCGTGTTCAGTAAGTACTCTGTGGATAAAATTGTCAGTCTAAACATAAATGCTTGAAAATTGAACAGAAGGTTCGTTATAAGTCATAAGTTGAGGCCAAAAAGAATTTTATTATAAAATGTCGATGAAAATCGAAAATATTACGGCTTTTAAAAACATGTATAATACCGAACTCCGCTCAGAATCGATTTTCGTTAGCAATGAATAATCGTTGCGTATGGATATGTATTGAATTTCCCAGAAAATGACGAAAAATGAAAACTGATAAATTTACGGTACCATAAGATTCCTCTGTTTTACATTTTTCGTTTTTTTCCAGTAAATATTGCTCTCAAAATTTCCTTTCAGAAAAGGTACTGCACTTTATACATTCTTTTAAAAAAGATATTTACAGGCAGATAAAAAAAACACACGTCTTAGTAAAACCAATTTATCCCTCACTACGTTCCGAATCTAAAATATCATTGTAGTATTGTATAATAAATTATAATTTAAGGGTAAGGATTGTCCAGGTAACAGGGGGTGACCTATACTTTTTCTTCAATTATGAATGTGCGGTCGTGCACTTGCCTTTGCAAAAGAACATTAATAACTATGCGGTTATTACAAGCATGGTATAACAATTCTCTTATTGTACCCGTCTTGAAATATTTATTAAGCCCTGGGTTAGTTGCGCCTCTTCCGTCCCTATTGTTATGGTTCTATACGAACACAAAATAATAAATATGTTATCTAAACGGTTTGATCGTGGTTATGGGTATACCGTTTTTCCGATTAAGAAATAATAGCAATTTTCGGAATACTTACATACATAATATAATAGGCAACTGTTTTATCATAATACATCGTAAGTGTTTACTGTAAAATACCGTGCGTCCGCTAATGATAAATGTATGAAGCGAAAAAAAATGCCCCGAGACACTATGCATTTTTAATATCGTACCTACCTATAAAGTTATGACTTATAGCAATATTTAATAGGTAGCTAACGAAAAAAAAAATTATCAAAAAAATGTTTACATGCATATTTGTTTCAAACACCAGATAAAATGTTTTGAAAATATTAACGAATATTGCCGACGGTTTTAAAACTGCCTACACGTCTACACGTCACAGTAGAAAACAAGCTGACAAAGGAATAAATGCTCCGTAGACTGACACTGAGTAAAAAATTAACACGTATTATTTTTAGTATATTATTATTTTTATCAAATTTCCGGTGAACATTACGTCGAATAATTTATTATTTGTTAAAAATTAATTATCATTTAAAATTTTAATGACTTCAACATACAAAAAAAACCATTACTAAATATTAATGGTTCTGGTGAAGTAAAATTATACACGTTTTATACTATAATTTTTCGTCAACATTATGTCGGTACATAGAATATCAATATATCGGTATAATTGTTCAAAAAATGTATAACTAATGTCGTACCATATCATTTATAACCATTTTTTTACAATAAAATTGTTTCGTACAAAAATAAATAAATAATTAAAATAACACAGCAGTGTATAGGTTACACAGGTACGTTCAGCGAACTTATAATGAGAGCTGAGAAACAATATTATTGGCGAGTGAAAAATTTACGAAATTATGACCGACGAGTACGACAGTGCTAATGTATAATAGATAAATATTAAATATGTACATTGTACATCCTGGTTGAGTGCCACAGGGAATCGCAGTAATTTTATTCCATACTATCGTTGAGTTCGGGGTAATCTAAAGATTTCTCTATTATCGATAATATCATTATTGTTTGCGTATCCCTGGGTAAAAAATAATATCTTTGACCAAAATGTCCGCAATCGAGTTTCACGCCCTTAGTTACTGTTAGCATACGAGGTGTGGCTATTAAAACACGAGACTAGTTACGAAAAAGTGTTTTATTATAAAAGTTATTCTACGTCCAATGTTTTTTCCTCTTTATATATTGATGACATTATGTTATTTAATAATGTAGTATTTAATTTTAAATACTAATAAAAAATGATTATAATAATATGTAAACAGTAACAACCATGATTAAAAGTACATAACTTGTATATCTTTAATCATAGTAGACACTGTACGGTTAAGAATTTAAAGTCGACGCCGATACCAGTGACGGGTATAAAGCATCGACCCCCCCTCTCCTTTGGGCCGTGTTTTAATTTTTGCATATTTTTAAATAAATAAACGGGCAAAAGCTTTTAATACAATAATATCAAGCAAGATAGTAAAAAATACAATAATACATTTTTTATATTTTACAATAACATCGCATTGTACAGAAATATCAACATTTGGTTATAAGAAAGAAAAGGCTGCATTGGCAAGGGACATTAGTCGCTTAATTGACTAATTCTGTAGGTAGTAAGGAAAGGAACAGTAGTTTTCTGAGGAACCTCGAAGTTGACCAATGCAACTAGGACAGAAGAGTCGACTTTATTTTCCAACAATAGCCCCTTCAAAAATGGAATACTCATGGAACGCCTACGTTCCACGAGTAAAGCTTAATTGAGTAGGTACTTTAGAAACCGGGGCGTAGTCGTGACGATCACAATATGGAATGTTCAACAAACGACTAGAGAATCTAGGTGCACTTTTAGGTTCCGAGCGTAGCGAGGGAGCATTGGTTTTATTAAGATATTTATTTTTTTCTTTCTTTCTTTTCTAGTCTGAAGACACGTTTTTTCCTAGTAAACTTGCTGCTATATTTTTATCTGTTACATCTTTTCTTAAAGCTCGAGTTGCCTTAATGGTACTTTATAGCGATCATTTTTTGATTTTCGATGCTATTTTTTCAAATAAAAGCATTTAAGTGGGAAAAACGTACAATTCACGATCTCATTATTTTATAAAAAAACACCGACGACGTTTTCTACCAGGAAAAATGATTTAATCAAAATATCACAAAATACTATTTTTATTTACATTCTTACGGTGTCATCGTCAAAACTTTTGAGCTTTTAAAGAATTTTAATTTTTGGGAGTTTTTCTACTGTAATTCAGTTATAAATACACACAGACTTGAAACTTGGTAATAATACTTATATTGGACTTATCTAAACGTGGTAACATTTTTAAAATCATCGGACAATTTTTTTTTTTTTTTTATAAGCGTTTTAAAATCAAATTAAAATGAAAAACGTAAAAAAAATTATGGCACTTTAAATTATGTATTACCGAACTCCGCTCGGAATCGTCTTTCTCCAAATAATGGTTTATCGTTGCTTATAGATATAAATGAAATAACCTTGTTTATCTTACCTAATTTTAAAATAATGAAATCGTGAAATTGTACGTTTTCCTTCGTTTTTTCCAACTTAAGTGCTTTTATTTAAAAAATGGCGTCGAAAAGTCAAAAAATAATTCGTAGGAAAATGTGTTTTCGGAACCCTATTTTGTTGGACAATTTTTACACAACGATGATAACATGCAATCACAGAGTGCTCATGATGAAATTATATTGAAAAGTTCCGACAAAATACTTTCCGATTAATTATTTTTCTGAAAAAAATCTTTCTGACTTAATATTTTTCCGACAAAATACTTTCCAACAAATTAGAGCCCTGCATCAACACATTGAGTTCAGTTGGAGGGAGAGTAGTGGAGTATCATGTATATGGCGCCTCAGCGCGTGGCGTTTTATTAGTGTTCAACTATTCTCCCTCTAACATAAATTACAAGTGAAATATCTCGTCAACAGGTGACGGAAATCAAAAATGTTATCAATACATTTTTTTTAGAGTAATACTCAGTCTATTTATGAAATTTTAATATAGGTTCCCATATGAAAAACCAAAGTTAGTGTCGCCACAGGATACTCCTTAAGTGTTGTGAATAATCTATGTATTCGAAAATATCGGCTTTAAGTACACTTAAAAATTACAAAAATCAGAATTAGACTACATACTAAATTTAACTAAAATAATGGGACGAGCACGCGTAGTGAATCATTCTGTATATATATTACAATTAAATCCGTACGATCACACACACACTTTAACGATTTTACAACGTATTACGTCACGAGCTTATTCGGGATCTATTCAAGGATTTCTGTGCAAAAGCCAATTGTATACTAATAAAATATTTCATTACTTTAAAAATACAATCAATTCAATTTTAAATAAATACCTATCCAAATTAATTAACCTTTACTTGTTTACATATATCTTATAACTACAAAGTTCAGTTTAAGTGCCATGCAATATAATTTATTCATTGCATAAGGGTCTTTTAATTTAGTTTGTACACCAACTTTACATCCTGTTATCACATTTACTCCGTAGTAATTTTGTACAACAATTTTATAGGATTATTATCCAAGTTTAGTTTTTTTTAAAAAATTCAATACATTTCTGTTAGAAGTGAATTTGAATTTTGGCTCGAAGAAATATTAAAAAACCCTAAATTAAAATTTAAATTCTGAATGTAGCGAAGAATGTATTGGTTTTACAAAGCTGTTTATTTTTTTTATGAAAACTTTTTCTGTCTGTAAGCTTACTCCAATGTATACGAATGTATACCTTTTTCTAAAAGAAAATTTTCTTGAGGTGGTACTTTAAAGAAGTAATTTTTCGATTTTCTCAGTTTTCTCAACAAATGTGAAAAACCGGAAAAAAACGTAGGGAAAACGGAAAATCAGTAAAATATTAAACGAATATTAATAAAAAAAAAAAATACATAATGGCCTATTTTATTATTTTACCACAATATGACAATTATATTGTTGACGAAGCATCATTATCAACTGAACTGAATCGTTTTTTTTCATTAGCAATGATTGCAAATGATCATTAGGTTGCTTACAGATATACATTAAATTCCCATCTATATCCTGTCTTCCCAACTTCACACCTACAACAGCGGCTGCACCCGTCCCCATTATCCTAGGACGGCTTTTTTTTATTCGTAACGTCTCTTTACCGGCTCGCTTCAAGTATACAATATTCTGTTACCACCGTGTTTGATAACGCTGATAATAATAATAATAATAATAATAATAATAATTATTATTATTGCAATATCATTTGTACCTACATGTAAAACAATTATTATTATTATTGTATAATGTACGGGCACCCGTAATATGTGTCACGTGGTTATTGCCGGACAATCGCGTACCGCTTCGTATCAGCTCGTACGTCCCCATCCATCATTCGTTTCATAATTTGTATCGTTACGTAACGAATAATACACCCGTACGTTATTGTAGCAACGTGTCACGGAAAGTATTCCGCCGAATACCGTCCGCAGTCAGTCTGCCGAGTGATGTTGATAAAACAAAATATAAATAGGTACCCATTTGTGTACATTATTATCGGCGGTTTACAGTTGTTCGCGTGTTTACCTGCGTCGACGTCTGTTCGCAATCCCAACCAGGACGGCTTTTCGCCAATCGCGTAGGTATACAAAATTATATTATTGGTATGTACCAGTAGAACGCGTAAATATTTAATCGATATTATTGTGTTTTCCACGTCGCGATGGGGGATTATTGGATAAATCCCTCCCGGAGGACGGGTATCGCATTGTCCAGTTCATCGCGGATAATATTAAATAAAATAAAACGCTTTCATAAATACTTTGTGTACATCCTGTACGAATAATATTACAAACGGCTACAGAAATATTGTCAAATAATTTAATGTACGTACCGGCTTGATGTGACGCGGGAATTATTTCAATCTTAATTGGTACAATTTACAAAGGGTGCAAGATCTATGAATGTACAACATTAATCAGTTTGTGTTCGTGATTTGTATTTCGTATCGTATCGACTTTTATTTGTACTCTCTGCGTCATTGGGTATTTGTAAAAGGCAAAAACTTGAATTTAGTTGAATTATTTCGTTTTATTTTGATCAAATATTCGTTGTCAATACACTTTAGTTCAGGTGTGGTGAAACGGGAGGCGGGTGTTCTCACCCCGTTATTATGGTTACATTATGCACAGATTCAAATTCTGATATTTGGAATTTTTAAGCGTTGTGAAAGACGATATTTTCAAACACTTAGATTTTTCACAACGCTTAAGGAGTATCCTGTGATAATACCCAGTTTGATTTTTCCAACTGAAAACCTACATGTTTTAATGCAAATTGTCAATCGAGTGATTTGCCTGAAAATATTGACGTATTTTAATCAAAATTTAAACGAACAATGTCAGAGTTATTCTACATTAAATACTAAAGAGCAATAACTGCACGATTCAAAACAAGAAATTATCTACACGCAGTTGATATCCGAACCCCGTAAAGTACTACTATCCTCAGTATTTAAATCGAAATAGCTCAGAAATATTTCGTTCAAATTTCGTTTATAATATGTCGAAATTTCGAAAAAAAAAAAAATCATTACTTTGTTTAATTTGCATTAAAATATGTAAGTTCTCATTTGAAAAACGAATCATCACAGGATATTCCTTAAAATATTCCATACAATATTTAATTTCGTGAAAACTCTAAGCGTGTAAAAAAAATAAATACAAATTCCAAAAAACAGAATTTGATTTTAGATTTGCATAATTCAACCATACAAATGGGGTGAGCTGTAAGTATGGTTAACAAATAAACCTGTATATTATACTATACCTTTGTAGATATAAAAAGAAATGTAGTGTAAATAATAATAGTTCATACAAATTATCTTTATCCCCCCCCCCTCATTTATGATTAATATATTAGTTATTTTAATTATATATGAACTCAGCTAATTATAAAACCTTTTAAAGATTTATTCAGATATTTATCTATAATCACAGACATATAAAATACAAACAAAATCTGTAACCACGCGTGATCTATAATCTGCATACGAATATTGTGAAAAATGAATAATGAGTCAAAAAGATGTTTTTTGATTAAATTTATTTATTTGATTATTATCATTAAATATCAGCTAAACAAGTAACTCCATATTAACTAAAAAAAAAAAAAAGGCCATGGGGGAGTTCTTCCCCATATCCTCCCCCTCGTGAGAAAGCCCGTAGATAGAACTACTAAATAGTATACAAATTAATAGTAATTATTTCTTCGATTAGTACATAATTTGAGGGCAGATTGTATGAATTATTAATTATCTACTAACAAAATTATATAAATTAAAAATCTTTATTTTAACCCAGATACACGTTATACAATTTGACACAATTTACAAATTCAATATCTTTCTTCTTGAAAAAATCCTAAATACGCCACTGCTACACAATTAAATAACTAATCATGGTACATTCCTTTTGAAAATACATACACTTCTGCAGTTTATACCAAAAAATAGAAAGGGTAAAGTAACATTTGACAAAATGTTTTGAAAAATGTTCTCCTCTGAGTTTAAAGATATTATTGATAGGATTGTAAACAATTTAATTTTTGTATTTTGTACACCTATTATATTTAAATATTATTTATATTTGAATATTTTGTGTTGCAGGCTACACATAATATTATAAACAACATCATGAACACAACTCGCAAAGAAGAAAAACCGCTCAATCCACGAGCTAAGGCTAATATTGTTGAAATTATTACTCACAGGTATGATTAACGGAATTACACGAGGTCAGTGTACTATTTGAAAAACATTGACATTCTTCGTAATTAGTGTATTTACAAAATAGTTTTTTTTTTTTTTTTTAATTTAACCCGTAATTTTCGCATATTTTAATTGCATACATATTTTAAATTCAATATTGAAGATAAAATATTATAAGAATGTGAAGTTGTATGCGCGTGTAACCAATATACATATTGTTTTATTAATACGTGTTGCAGTAAACATTCATATAAACTACTCGAGAATTTTTAACGATAAAATAATGTGTTGTATAATTCCGAATTTTTTCGTTAAAAACTGATAATATAAAATAAACTTATCTATATACTTATAGAGTGAGACAGAGAGAAAATTGCAATAATTTTTAATATACTAGTATGTATATTTCTTCCTACATCATTTCCAGGGGGTTTTAATATGATGTGTGTGTATTATTTTTTTTTTTGTGAATAACATTTCTACCAGAAACTTACTCCAAAGTATAGACTGTAGAGCACTGTTGGTGAATAGTAATTTTCTCTGGTTGGTGTATTGGGGAGGTTATGTTTTGATTTTTCAAGATGTTTTAGAAATAATTGGGAAAACCCCGAAAGAAAAGAATAAGTAAAACGGAAAATATTCACGGTGGGCCGCGAGGTTACCGTTTCCATTGGTTTTATTATGTTAACACGATGTTTTCTACCGGAAATATTGCTCCAATCCAAAAATGATAAGATATCGATTTCATTTCATATAATATTTTATTATTGATAGTGTAACGTCCCGGTTTAATTATTTTAACATGTTACATGTTCAATAGAAATATTACTCCAATCGGAAAATTGCAAGAGATCAATTATAGATTCTAAATGGAGCGATGAAGATTATACTTTTACAAAGATGTTTACTTTTTTTTTATCTGTGCGCAACTTAAAAATCTGAGCAAGTCTTCTGATGGAAAAGTCGCGTACAGATAAAATAAATAAATAAAATAAACATCTTTGTAAAATCATAATGTTCTTCGCTACACTCAGAATTTATAATTTATCAGAAGACTTGCTCAGATTTTTGAATGTAACACTTTTTTTGAAAGGAAATCGATGTAGGGAAGTACATAAGGAGGTTTTTCCTGTCTACTTTTCGGATTTCTCATCAAATTATAAAAACCAAAATAATCGGAAGAAAAACAGGAAAATGTACAAAATATACTGCTAAAATATTATTACTATTTCTTTCTTCCTGTGAACAACTTTTCTACCATCAATTTCGCCCCAACTTATAATAACAGCAATGTTTCAAAAAGGAAATTTCACTGAAAAGGTACTTTAAAGAGGTCATTTTTCAATTTTCCTAAGAGTTTTCTTAGAAAATGTGAAAACCGGGATAAAATATGGGAAAACCGAGAAAATCGATACAACATTAAATAAGTATTATTAAAGAAAATATAAAAAGTATATTTAATTATTTTGCTATAAAATGACATATATTGCTGACAGAATATCATTACCAACTGAACTCCGTTCAGAATCGTTTTTTCGTAAGCAATGGTTTAACATTGCTTACAAGTATATATTAATCTATCTATAACAGTGGCTGCATCCATCCCCATTATCCAAGGACGTCTTCTTTTCTTTTCTTTTTTTTAATACATAAAGTATTCCTCATAATATTTGGAAAAACCCAAAAAAGTCGAAATATACGTTTTTCTTTTTCAAATTCCAGCATAACAATTTCATTATTTTTAATATTAACAGCTTATATTTTCTACCATACATATTGCTTTTATAGATTAACGACAAGAGAAATTTTTAAATAAGAAATTGACATTATAACAACTCAAACATTCCATGAATATTTTTAAAATTTTACCACGTTAAAATTCAGATACATAAATATTCGGGGAAAATGTTAATACTACGATTATTATTCACTAATTTATATAACGAAAAACCCAAAATCCAAATTATCCTGATAAAACGACTTTTTTTTTTTTTTAAATTCCACGCGTTTCTATTAAACAATTATACCCACACATAGTACGTATCAAATAAAAATTACGTAAAGAACTGGAAAATATAAAATGCTCATAAATAGCTCAAAAATATTTTCACAGCTAGATAATTTTTCTATCAAAATATCATGTCTCTAGGAATATTTTTAAATGAATTAAAATATTTCAAATTCAAAATTGAAAATAATTAAATCATTATTTCCGTAAACTTTCCCATTCTTTCTACTTTTTTTCCCAGTTTTGTTTTATTTTTAAGAAAACTACACGAAAAATCAAAAAACAATTTAATTATTTAATAACTAGATTAAAAATTAAACAAAAAAGATATTTGCCATTTTTCCATAAAACAATATTTTACAAAAATTAAAAATAATTAAATCGGTAACCCCACGGCCGTAAATATTTGTCAGTATTTCGTGTAATTTTTTTTCGGTTTTTTCCGATTATTCTGAAAACACCTCCGTAAATCAAAAAATAACCTGTATAATAAACCAACTACATTGAAAATGGAACAAAAAGGTCTCGTATTATTTTTCGATTGGAACAAGATTTCTGGTGAAAAATTTGTTTTTAGATTTCAAAATAAAAAACAAATAAGTACACAATATCATAATAAGACCAATATATCCCTCGCTGCGCTTAAAACTTAAGAATAAACAACACATCTAAGAATATCATTAATACGATTAAATATGTTCAAATTTGTATGATTTTCATACATAAAGCGATTTGTGCAGACTTCAGACAGCTGATACAATAACAATGTCTATTTTACATTCAACATTTTTGGAATTGAAATGTATATTGTGTAATAATATAATATTGTACATTTTCGTTCAGTTGGATCATACAACTCATTAAAAAAGGACTGGAAAAAGATTTAGGTCTAAACGATTTGTACGCAATTTTGGATGAAGATTCGTCTGCTTTACTGGGAAACAAATTAGAAAAGTAAACATTATATTATAATATATAATATATTATACATATAATTGTGAAATGTATATACAATAATTAATGTATAATAATTTTTTGTTTTAGAATATGGGAAGACGAACTGATCGGTTTGAAAAAAAAAAATCTAAAAGCAAGTTTTCTGCGAACGTTATTTCGAATGTTTGGACGAACGTTTATAGTCGTCGGATTGATTTTCACGATAATGGAGATTTGTATAAGGTATGTAGGTATTATTTCTCAAATAAACTCAATCAGTGGTGATATTATCACTACTCGCTAGAGCAATGCTTGAAATCCAACTTTTTTTTTTAAATGTTTAAACGTATAGATGATGTTTAAAATTTAACTATACAACTATTGTGGGTGCACCTTATCAGTCTATTCAACGTGATGATGTTTAAGAGGCGAATAAACAATTTAAGAATAATTTATTAAGTTATAAAGGCCATTTAAGGTCATCAGCCGATAATACTATTTCTTATTTCTTTTATATAATATGGTCCATAATATTTTAAAAATGAAAGTAAAATTATTTCAAATAAAATTATTCATCTTCGCGTACAGATGTTAAATTTCCCCTTTACCTCTTCAACTTCTCACTTAAAACACTGGCTCACCCATTGTGTAAAGTATGTCCGTTTGTTTTTAAGTGCTGATATTGTTATAAGTTTTTGATATAAATTTTTAAAATTATCAGTAAACTGTTGGTCTACCTCTTTCACAAATACATATACTATAAAATCTTTATCAAAATAACTATATTTGAACTGAATTGGAAACTAATATTTTTTTCATATTTCAAAACTTTTATCTTTAATCAGTTTACTTAATTACCTTGCATATCATATATTTTTAATTATCAAATTTGTTAAGATTTTTAAGTCTGAAAATACTATGTACTTCAACTTTAGTTCTTTCACTTTGTAATTGGAACATTTTTTATTGCCTAGTGAGCAAGATGATAAATAATTAGCTAATCATGCATAGTATAAACTGGAACCTTTTTTTTTTTTTTTGGCCGATTCTATTTTGCACTATGTCTACTTCCATGTAGAAATGCCCGCTTCCGTAAAATTGTGTGTTTTAATTTCAACCCTTGAATGGAAATATATAGAAAAAAAGCTGCTATAAATTGGTTTCGATATTGATTAGGATACTACATAGATATTGTTCATGATTATCAAGTTTATCAAGTTCTTTATAATCGTGACAGTTCATAAATGAAACTTTATAAGTTATGGTTTAATAGATGACGTGTTAGAAAATATGTCGATTATTTTATTTTTGTTGTGTTGAAAATTTTAGACTGGGTTTGTGGTCTACACAATCACTGTAACTCCTAACTTCTTAGTGGTGTAACTTCTAACCTCACCCGCTGCGTACGTCACTGAACGTATTTGATTTCACGTCAATATTGTAATAATTTTGCAAAAGTATTGGAATACAAATTAATTTTTTTATTTTTCAAATTTATCCGTCAGTATTGGCGTTACGACTATTGTGGGACGAATAGTCAATCATTTCGAAACCAAGAAATTGGAAGAGCAAAGTCCGTCCGGGATTTATTTAGCCGTAGCCCTGATAACGGCTCTGTTAGTTCGAACGATTATGTACAGTTGCTGTTATTTGATGTTCGCTCATTTGGCGATGAAAATTCGAATAGCCACGTGCAATCTCATTTATAATAAGGTAAGAGAATCGTACAAAAAAAAAATTGAATAACAATCAAACAATCTTTAAATCATCGTTTTAATTTTTTTTTTTTGTTTCCAGGCGTTACGAATCAAAATAAACTCTTCCTACAAGACTTCGACCGGGAAAATTGTGAATTTAATGGTAACCGATGTTAACCGATTCGAACAAACTATTGTGTACGTGTCTTTTATGTGGATAGGTCCATTAGAAACGATCATCATAACGTATTTTCTATGGCAAGAAGTAGGCGTGTCATCGTTACTTGGCGTGGGAACTTTAATCGTTTTCATACCGTTACAATGTAGGTACCTATATTATAATTTATAATAAAGTACAATTATTTTATTTTAAATATTTGGCAAATTTTCTAGTGAATTTATCTCCCTCTAAATCAATTTCAAAAAAAAAAAAAAAAAATTAATTTTAATAATGGATTTGTTAATATTACACAAATGATGATAGTGCTTTTAATATAAAAAACATTTCGAGGAATTTAAAAATATTGATAAAACAGCCGTACAATCTTTTTTATAAAACAAAAAGGACATCGAAAAATGTGATAACGAGATTTTGAGTTGTTAACCGATATTATTATCTCCGAGGAACAACTTAGTAACTATATTTATTTTTTTCCGTTTCTAGAATAGACAACACGTTCATACAAAGCCAATACCCGTGACTATTGTTAATAAACCATGATGATTATTCATTCGTACAGAGCGGTTTAAATATAGTAGAGCTGGAACAATAACACTTTTTACCGATAAATATTGCCGATCTAAATCCGATATTTTATTCCCGTGAACCGATAATAACAAACTTAAAAAACCGGTATATTATTCGAAAACTGATATCAAATAATAATTATTAAAATTATTAATTGGTTTAACGATTTTACTGTTAGCGTATACACTCGCTGATAGCTCGCAACTTATGATAAATAATAATTGTCAATTGATTGTGATTTGTGACAATAATATTATTATCAATTATTATTTAATATCCGCACATCACATCGCGGTTACTGTGTTTACTGTTTACCAAATGATTTAAATTTATAAAATGTGTCTGAAAATAACGTTATCGATATAACCCCACCACAGTGGCGCGGCGAAGTGAAATATTTTATCGGGCAATTCATTTTTTTTTTTTAATGACCTACCACCACCCGTCGACTCTTAGGCATTGATCATTATCATTACCCGTGAATAAATGTGCAACAAATTATAAATATATAACATATAATACAAAAAATTCTGGGCTGATGGCTTTTCCTAGAATACTTATTATTCTTATTTAATATCATATGACACATTCTGATAAAGTTAATCTTGTACGACAATTTCGCCACAGACTCCAGTGCTCAACCACCGGGCACCCACCCACCCACCACTTAAAATTATCGGGCAATCGCACCTCAAAATCACGGCCAACGCGCCACTGCTATTACACGCAAATTGACAATGCGGCTGCATTGTATCGGTTCTACTATCGGTTCGGCGCAAAAATCGATAGCCGATATACCGATAGTGCCGATATCGGCCGGTATTAATATCGGGCATCGGTACCGGCCCGGCTCTAGAATACAGGTACACTGTAGTGTACTCTGGGTCAATGTGCAATGCACAACGCGTACTGGACAACGGTACATAAATATTATTCGTGATTTCGCTACGTTTAATATTCAGTTTTTATTTGATAAATAATGTTTAATTGGAAATGTTCATTTTAAGGTTACTATCGACCATACCGATTAGTGTAGCGAAATAATTGATGTAGACAGTACAATTATATATATATATATATTATTAGTGTGTCCAACCGTGTTCGACGGATTTTCCTAGCGCTGTTAATATTAAATTTTTTTGATTTTTTTCCGAGGGGGACATCGATTTGGAGAAAAATAAAAAATAATTATTTTCATCCCCTAAAGGTAAAATAAAAATAACTTTTTATTTATTCGTTTTGAAAGTTTTCAAAGTAGCCATTTATATCCGATATTAATATCCAATAAAATAACACGTTATGCGATAAGGAATTACAATCAGTACGGCAATTATTTACCTTTTATTGAATATTAATTGTTTTCACTCCTATTTTCAAGAAATTAAAATGGCTATAATTAAGAAACTTTAAATTGAATATGAATGTATGAAACGTTGACATTTTTAAATACATAACATATATTACTATATAAGTACTAATTTAAATTGAGGTTTTAGGTTCCAGAATTAGTTCTTGTCGGTTTAGGTCCAGGCTCTGGTATAAACCTATTTTTAAATTGTTACTCATACCCAATCCTTGAACGTAACATTAACTGAACCTTAAAACAGCTAAATCCAATTTTATTATTTTCTAGGAGACAGTTTTATACATTTTGATAAGCATAACATTAATAGTTTAGTAAATTGATGTTATTTTATAAAATACTAAAGTAGAAAGTAAAAAAATTATGAATATGAAAAATAGTTTTTCCATTCCATGAAGTCCCTTGGTTCATTATAGTGTCCTTAAGTCCAATAATAATTTTCTGATTTTTTCCAAACATAGTTTAAAATACTCGTGGATGAAGGCTAGTAAAGATTTTATAAGAAATGATTTGTTTAAAAATCACAATAAATTCGGGTATGAAAGAGTTAAGGAAATGTATTCTCTTTCAAATTTCTATACAATATACTTATGTAAATATGACCAAAATATCTAGTCTTTGGCCTGGTTAAATTTCAGTTTTTGCTGATTTTCATCAGTGTTTAACAGTGCCGTAACTACCCTCCGTAGCACCCTTGGCGAATTTTATTGTGGTGCTTATTTTTATCTCATTTTTTAGATATAATTTTTATAATTTTATTATATTACATTCTTACGTGTTAATCAAAATGCTGTTATATTTTTTAAATTATAGTAAATGAGTTATAATGATTTAACTCAAATGCGCCCCCTTCCTTTGCTGTGCCCTCGGCAACCGTCCATTTCGCCAATCTCTAGTTACGGCACTAATGTTTATTAATTATATTAACATACTCACTTTCGATTCCCTTGATTAAATTTAATAAGTAATTGATAGTCTGAGTCTCTGAATCATATAGCAGCTTACCCATGGACGTATCATAACGTATTAATCACAAAATGGCCGACAACTACAGGGTTAATAAAAAAATGTTCGTGATCTAAGCGCGTCAAAAGCACAATCATTTTGTAGGTATAATTTTTCGGATTTTATAAAAAATCAAAACTAATATAATTATTGTTCACGTCATTTATCAGGATAACATACGTATACTCTCCTAACAATTATAAAATAAATCATCTATTTCGGTCAGAAATAACATAGGTATAAGTAGTTTAATAAATTCTAAACACCATATACTATTTCAAATTTCAATATACATGTTATGTTTTTAAGTATGGTTGGGTGTGAAAACGTCAGATATTCGATTCAAGACGTCAGAACTGACGGACAAGCGAATGCAATTGATGAAAGAAATCATTTCGGGTTTACAAGTGATCAAGATGTACACGTGGGAACAGTTTTTCCGTAATCTAGTAACCTACGTCAGAAGGTGATATAAGAATGAATGCCGATGGTTCTGTAAATAAATTATCAATTATCGATTGCACATTACAGGAAAGAAATAAATTCGATTAAAAAATCGTTGTACATCAAAGGTATTTTGTCTTCATTCTTTTTATACAACACGCGGATCGCGTTGTTCGTAAATTTGTTCGTGTACGTATCGCTCGGAAACTATATAACTGCATCAAAGGTATATCTAAAAATATTATATTGTACGTTATTAATTTGTTAATATTGTTTAGTGCAGTAATATTACGAAATGTTTCCGATTTATAGGTATTTGTAATCATGTCGTATTATAATTTTTTGCGGATGACGATGACGATAGCATTTCCGCCAGGAATCGGTAAGATCTCCGAACTGCTTGCTTCTATCAAAAGAATCGAGGTAGTTATTTGCAAATGATTTACGATTACAGTAAATGTTTCATTCAAATAAAAAAAAAACGTGAAATATTTTAGCCAGATAGACTTTAAATCACATTTTGTTTTTTTTTAAAAAAAAATTGGGTACATCCTTTTGAATATTTTCAAAATGGTAAACATTTCAGTACTTGTATGTCTATTACAATTTAAACGGAAACGTCTATTTTGATAATCATATCTAAATAAACCCAATTGTTTCAAATAACTAAGAACAGTACAATATTTTTTCTATCTCAAAAATTGCCACGGATACAACAAAAAGAATTTTAAATAAAAGTATGCTAGATTTGAATCGGAGCAAAGGATCTGTTGGTTTTATTATATTATATACTTTCTTTTTCTGTCAGCAAATAACTTTTGAAAAAGAAAACTTGCTGCGAAATATCAAATGTAGCAATTTTTTTTGAAAGGAAATTTTATCTAGTTGGTGCATTAGGCAGGTTATTATTTTATTTACCTAGGGATATTCTAAATAACTGGGAAAAAATAAAAAAATATTTAGATAAAATGGGAAATATTTACTGTGTGCCACGGTGATAACAATTTCATTGTTTTAAATTTTTAAAAACTATGTTTCTACTAAAAATATTACTTTAATCATTTTTTTGATATTTCCAAGTAGTTTTCATAATAATTTGAAAAACCAGAAAAAGATGAAAAATAAAAACTGATAAATTTACGACGTTCTCATTCCTTAATTTTAAGTTTTTACAATTTATGTTTTCTACCAGAGATTTGCTCCAATAGAAAAACAAAAAAATGGCCTTTTTTTGTTAGATTTTAGATTCTAAATGGAGCAAAGAAACTTATAGTTTTACAAAGATATTTATTTTTTTTAATTGTGTGGAACTTTTCTACTAGAAGTCTTGTTCCGATTTACTATGATAGCAATTTATTTAAAAGGGAATCTGAATAGAAAGATAATTTAAGAGTTATTTTTTTGATTTCCCCAGGATTTTTACCAGCAAATGTGAACAACCGGGAAAAACGTAGGAAAGACGATGAAATTGGTACATTAAAAAAATTGTATTAAAGAAAATATATAGATAAATGCCTATTTAATTATATTACCTTAGTATGACATATTATATATTGTTAACAAAGTATCACTTTTAACTGAACTCCATTCAGAATCGTTACTTTCGTTAGCAATAGCTTTTATCATTCCTTACAGGTATTCATTAAATTACCTATAATAGTGGCTGCACCCATCCCCATTATCATAAGACGTCTTTAATGTTATTGGTGATAATTGAGGAAAACTGGAGTAAAACATAAAAACAACAAGAAAGTTTACGAAAATATAATGATTTCATTATTAATTCAGTTTAAAATATTCTTGGAGACTTGAAATTTCGGAAAAATAAGTTGTGTTTGAATTTTCTAGACGTTGAAAAATTGTATTGAAACAATTGATTGTTTTTTGTGTTGTTTATAAGTATTTTCTGTTGGCGAGTTTTTTACGTAGTTTCTATTTGGTATGTAATATTGTGAATATCATTATTTCACTGAACAAAAAGGCTTGACAATTTAACAGGAGATTCGTTGTAAGTTGTAGTGTTAAAACAAAAAAAGTTGAGTGTAATGCAGTTTTGTAGTTTTGAGTGTAATTTTATTTTTTTTTATAAGAGTTAATAGAAAATGTTGACAAAAATCGTAAATAGTATGGTCATTTTAAACATGTATAACCGAACTTTGCTCTGAATTGTTTTTCATTAGTCCATTGCTAATGAAATTTTAAATTTAGTATCAAAAAGTGTATTTTGTAAACTTCGGTCTTACTAAAAAAAAAAAATCCATTACAATCCAAGTCCATCTGGCTGATATATTATTAGTGAAATATGCTATTTTATTTTTATTTTTAAATGTATTGCTGTCTAGTTTCGTTTCAATAATATTATACAATTCAAATATTTAGGAATTTCTTTTGAGTGACGAAAAAGACGAACAATCGATAAGCGCTGAAAATGCAATAACGAACGGGTACGAAAATCTCAACTATGATAATTGTTACTCCGATACCTGCGATAGCGCGATACCGGTGACGGTGAGAAACGATATTATCAGCAGCAGTGGGAATGGCGAGATAATCATTACCAATGTTTCGGCGAGATGGACTGACAACAATTCTCTGAAAAATATCAATTTAGTCGTAAAACCGGGTCGATTGTACGCGATAATCGGCCCGGTAGGTGCAGGAAAAGTACTTTAAAAAATACAATATGAATAAAATTAAAAAAACACCCGTGCGCAGAACTTCGTTACTAGAGTCAAATTTTTCCTTAACTAACTTGTCACCGTTATAATATATGTTTTTAGATTTTGAGCCTATTATTTAGGAAACCATTATTACAATAATACGTTTCTAATGCATTTTTTTTTTTATGTAAACAATTTTAAAAAATAATGTAAAAAACCAAAAATTAACCCCTATTTACAAACTTCATTTCTTTTGAGGCACGTGAAAGGGTTAACTTATCATACCCAAAATGTATCATCATTAATCATTTTTGCAATATACCTAACAAAGTTTCGAAGCTACGACACAAAATTATTTAAGATCAAAAATAAGAACTACCCTAATATACATCATGGGCATAGACAACATAATATTATCCCCTTGTCTTTATTAGAGGGTCTTTAGGAGTGTACAAAGTTTAAAAAAATACCTTTTCCCTGAAAAAAATTATGAAACTCGACCTAAATGTTGTCATTTCAACTCTAATTACCAAGTTTGAGCACATTTAGTGTAGATGTAATTCACAAGTAGCTGGGAAAATGACACATTACATTACAATAGTCTCCATTTCCGGCGAAAATTCGACAAAAGTGTTAAAAAGTATGGTAATAATATTGCTATTGTTATATTTATGTATAGAGTTCGTTATTACAATCGATTTTACGAGAATTGCCGCTTTCGGAAGGCAGCGTTTCCGTGTCCGGCGTAGTTTCGTATGCTTCACAAGAACCGTGGTTGTTTGGAGGATCGATACAACAAAATATTTTGTTCGGATCACCGATGGACGAAGAACGATACAAACAAGTATTTTATACACGTTTTACTATTGATCGTTACAAAAAATAAATAAATAAATAATTAATGTTTATTATTATTGTTATTTGTATTAATTACATTAAAATAGGTTATACAAGTGTGCGCGTTGAAAACAGATTTTAAACAGTTCCCATACGGCGACAGAACGATTGTCGGCGATAGAGGAGAGTCTCTTAGCGGAGGACAAAAAGCGAGAGTAAATTTAGCACGGTAAGAATATATTTCTCTTTCTCTTATTTTTAAAGGTTAACGGTCTTTGTGACCAGTCCTTCAAGCAAATACTTTATCTTCCCTATCTTCTCATCAAATGTGAAAACCTAAAAAAAAAGGAGGAAAAACGGGAAAATGTACGAATATATTAGTAAAATATTGCGATGTTTTTTTTCTATGGACAGCTTTTCTACCAGAGATCTTGCTCCAATTTATAATGATAGCAGTTTTTCGAAAAGGAAATTTAACTGGGAAGATACTATAAGGACATTTTTAAATTTTATCAAAAGTTTTCCCAGCAAATGTGAAAAACTAGGAAAAAAACATGGGAAAGCCGGGAAAAACGGGAAAATCCGTACATTAAACAAATATTATTAAAGATGATATTTACCTATTTAATTATTTTATCACAATATGACATATATATTGTTGAGAATCGTTTTTTTCGTTTGCAATGGTATATCATTGCTTACAGGTATACATTAATACTGTAAATAATATAAACTTATACTAAATTACTTATAATAGTGGCTGCACCCGACCCTATTATCCTACGACGTCTTTCTGAATTACAAGTACTAATAAAAGTCCCGCGCGAAATTACAATATTTCGATAATCAAATTACGGATACTGCAGCTGGGTATATTACTAACCAAACTTACAGTTATGGATATTTTAATCTAATTTAATATGGTAATAACTTACCTAATAGATTTTAGTGATAAAATAATAGTTAATAGTGATTAGAATTACAGTTACTAAGATATTGATTTATTTTAGAATGTGAGTGGAGTGAGGAATATATTGGTTTTACAATGATGTTTACTTATTATTATTTTTATTTTTTATGTGAAAATAACCAGAAATTTTGCTCCAATTTTTAAGAGTAGCAATTTTTCTGAAAGAAAATTTAACTGGGATTTTTAAAATTTTGATTTTCCCTGGAGTTTTTATAATAAATGGGAAAATTCTAGAAAAACGGGAAGATGTACGAAATGTATTATTTTAAAATCGTTAATATTTCTGCCTATCAAATCATGTACATCCGAAATCCGCTTATAATCGATTTTCGTTAGTAATGATTAATCTTAAGGTACAGATATACATTACATTTTTCCTCTACCTTCCCAACTTTCACCTTAAACAATAGCTCACCCATCGAGTGGAGCATGTCCGTTTTTTATTTTTGTAATATGTTTCACATTTCCAGAGCTGTATACAAACAAGCTGATATTTATCTACTAGACGATCCTCTTTCAGCCGTCGACACCGGCGTCGGTCAGCATTTATTTGACGACTGTATTAAAGGTATGCAAATTCATATAAATTGTGCTTGATTAAATAGATATAACTAGATATGGTCCCAGGTTTTCCCGACACAAAACGTGCCAAGTGCTTTTCTGATAAGCAGGGAAGGGGGGGAAGAAAGACGACCGCCTCCCCCCCCCCGGTGCCCAATAATGTTTCATATTTATGGAACATCTAATACCATTCATTTTTGATTCTTAAGTCTTACTTTCGAGAAAAAATAACTCCTCAAATATTGTAATATTTCTCCCGCCTTCCTTCATTGAATTGACCTGAAAACGCCCTGGCACTCACTAAATCATTACTTGATTTTATCTGTTGTCGTAGTAGTTCTCCATTTCTTATACTGGCCGATATTATAGCATTGTCCATAGAGCTACGACATATAGACCAGTCGCGGATGAGATGCGCATACTAATCGAAAACGTGGAACACGCTGTGATAATACAGCTACCTATTTTGTCATGATAACGCATTATCGCGTCAAATTATTAATTATTATTATGAATTCGTTTACTTTGCGTAATATAGATTTCCTGAACGGAAAGACCTGTATACTCATTACCCATCAGATCCAATACTTGACCAACGTAGACCACATCGTTTTAATGGAAAGCGTAAGTGCAGTATTACTACGGTATAATCAGTGTCGCAACTAAGAATTTGATGAGAGAAATGTCCACCTAATTCAATTACGCTCTTGTCCTCCATAACTCATTTTTGAACTTGCCTCTGGCGTTGGCGTTCGATCGAAAAACGGATATCATTAGAATCTTTTTTGTAACAATTGTTGAATTGTTAAGGCATAATTTATTATTTCAGTATGTAAGCATACAAATATTTCTTTGTGCATTTAGAATAGATGTTTTTTAGATTTAATACTAGTAATTACAAAAACAATACAACCTATGGAGTGATTTTTTTTATCATGAACCGACTCCATTTTTGGAGGATTTTAAGTGAATTTGATATCTGTTTTTTTAACGATTATGGAATCCTTAAATAATACCTTAAATAAGTATATAATTTTATATTTAAACAGGAACTCCCCCCCTCCTTTTAACATGAACTTAGATCATGTTTTTTGTAAAAATATTGATATGCTAAATATTAATTATCAGATTTACCGTATACGAATCATAACCGTTTGAAGCTTTGGCCGGAAGAATAAGGAAGAGTTATCAATTTATCATTTAAAAATATATATACAATTTATTACCCTTCTCTGCTCCTCCGGTTTAAACTATAAGCTGTTATAACTCATAAACGGTAAATCTGATATTAGTGTTATTCATATCATTTCCAGAAAAATATTCTCTATTTGAATTTATATTCAAAAAGGTGGGTTCTTATTTGAAAAACAAAATTATAAGCTTATTTAATATAAATACAGTAAAAATAAAAAATAAAAAATAGTTTTTAAACTAAAGCTTAAAGGATTCCGCAATAGTTAAAAAAAAAAAAAAACCAAATTTATTTAAAATTCTCCGAGAAAATGTCTGGGTCATGATAAAAACCATCAGCCTGCATACTTGAATAAAAAAAAATAATCAAAATAATTAATATATATTACTGCAGTCAAATAACCATTTCACGTTACAATATCTAATCGTTTTTTTTTCTTAATTAAATGTAAACAAACGCCGATAAATAAACCACGGTTTAAAGGGGTTGTCTCAAATGTTGTAATGTATCTAAATACAAATATCGAAAATACAGTTCCTATATAAATTTTTTCCATCTTGTATCTATATTTAGATACTTTTGAATAATGTACCTGTATCTGCATTTAGATACTAACTTAAAGTATCTTAACACAGAACTGGTTTTCTCACACCGGTTGCGCCACTGGTCATAAATACTATACCGATATAGACGAAGAGTAAACTGTTTGTCTGGCGTGAGTGAATAATTTCAACACGATCACTCTATATAGGCGAAAATTTTGGCGGAGGGTTCGTACGATGAACTTCAAACGTCCGGTTTGTTCTTTACGGAATTTCTCGGATCGCCATCGGCCGGAGCGGCAGAAGCGGAAACCGCGGACGCTGATGCATTGTTGTTTTCACCCGTCGATGGACTTAAAATCGAAGAACCGATGATGAACGGCGACGACAATAGTCTCGAAAAAACGCATAAACGACTTGCGGTACCTATTTCGAGTGATGTCACGTCGACTGTATCGCCAATCGTCAATAGCGAAACCGATGATGTTGAAAAACCAGGACCCACCGTTAAGGACGAAGCGTGTTCCACCGGGACCGTCGCGTTAAACGTTTACGTATCGTATATTTTTTCCGGCGGATATTATTCCAAAGTATTGGCTCTGTTGCTGGTGTGCGTTCTCACTCAAGTATTCGCGTCCGGTGCGGACATCTGGATACGCGTTTGGTAACTTCCAATAATTTATTATTATAGTATACAAATTTACACATAACTAACTACAGATTTTATCGAACCGAAATCGTTGTAAACAATATCATAAATAAACGCTTATATACCGATACTGCCATTCCCATCCTTAATCGTGTTAGTCATTATTATTGCTTATTGTACATATTTTGCGATAAATAAGTTATTTTTAATTTAAAAAAGCTTATCTGTAAGGCAAAATCGAGTTTCTCAAAAAAATTTGCAAACGTGTAGTGAAAAAGAATCAAACGTTTAGGTACCATAATATCATTCACTAAAAAGTCCAGGGACTGGGACCTGAACTACCATTGAAACTCATATTTATCAATTTCATCAAATAAAAATATATTACTACCAAAAATATTTTGGGTTCTTTTAGATTTTATCAGTTTCACGGAATTATGTATATAAATCACGATTGCGAATTATATAAATTAATTATATCGTGCTGAATTATAATTAGTGTAAAATATAGATTTGCGTTTATTGGATATAATGCAATATTTTTTAGAATTTTCAGAATTCTGCGATCCATGCATATAATATATTACTTTGTTATCTTTTGATTTGTTCGTTGTGTTTATTATTATACTTGTATACCACCAAAAGTTCAATGCTGTCCGCTGGACGTGCTAACTGCGCATATTCATGCATCCTAGTAACATAGTAGGAATACAAATTCAAGCTAACCACTATTAACCAATTAATATTGCTGTTAAATGGAAGAGAGGATTGATTACAGCGATAAGGCGCTGTAGAAGCCTTTAGATTAAAAAACATAATTTAACTGAAGTTTGAAACTGGTATTAACCGAAATGAGAATGGCAATTTATATTTATTTTATAACCGAACAATTTAAAAACATAAAGTTTCCAGTCCCTGCTAAAATTACAAAAAGTGTAAGTATACCTCCAATAAATCATCATATTTTATTATAATCTTCGGGCAATTTATCCACATATTTTCGGAACAGACATGTAGTTTTCTCACCAATATTTTACCTTTATTTACTCATTATAGTTTTATTTTTTTTTTAATTTAGCTATAACTTTAATTTCGTGGAAAGTAAAAACTGAAATTCCTTTTTATTTTTTTTTCAAAAAGAAGAAAATTAACCTTTTCTCAGAAAAGATATTTGTTGTATTTGAATAAAGTTTACTTTAAACCACATTTTCAGTCTTTTAAAAACCATTTAAAAGCTGTATACTAAGAGAACATGTTCTATTAAGCAAAATCAAAACGTGAAATATAATACTTTTAAGTACTTATATGCAATATACAATTTTGGATTTGACAGAATCATTGCAACATAAACAATGCTAGGTTTTCAACATTAAAAAACTCCCGAACCCTGATCATAATAGCATAACTGTTTGTATATCTACAGGCTAAATTTAGAAGAACAAATTTACCGCAAAGATAAACATAATTATGATGTTTTAACGTCCATCTCCAGCGACAGCAGTAATAGTACATCATCGACCGCCAATAGTTTTGCCGACCAACTCTTATCGTTGTTTGTCATGTCCAGATCAAATTGTATCGTCGTCTTCGCTACGCTTACGTTTTTGATTATCGTATCAACTTTTTTTGAATCAGCATTGCTGATATCCGTGTGCACCACAGCCTCTATGAATTTACACAAACGCATATTTAATTCAATCACTCACGCAACAATGCGTTTTCTAAACACCACGCCGTCGGGTAATACGCTGCAATTTTGTATTTATTTTAGATTCTGAGTGGAGCGAGGAATGTATTGGTTTCACAATGATATTTATTTTATTATTATTATTTTATCTGTAAACAACTTTTCTATCAGAAATTTGACTCCGATTTTAAAGTATAGCACTTTATCTGAAAGGAAATCTGACTGGAGTGGTACTTTATAACGTGATTATTTTTTGACGCTCTCGTGAGTTTTCATAATAAATGAAAAAATGAAAAAATATACAAAACGTATTATTTTAAAATATTAAATATTATGACTTTTTAAAACATGTATAACCGAACTCCGCTTAGAATCGTTTTTTGTTAGCAAAGATTAATCCTTGCATACAGATATACATTAAATTTTTCTTTACATCTTACCTTCCCAACTTCTCACCTACAACAATGCTTCACTTATCGTGCGAAGTATATCTGTATCGTTTTTTTTTTTTTAATACTTCAATTCTAAAAGCAAATTTTAATAGTTATTTGTTCACATTGCAGGTCAGATACTCAAACGGTTTTCAAAAGATATTGAAATAATCGACGAAGTATTGCCGTCCGTGCTCATTGAAATTATACAAGTATAATCTATACTATCTAATCTATCAATACTATAATCAATTATAGTATTGAAACTATTGCATTTTAGTTGAGTGAGTTTTATAAATTATATCATGTACCGTATTATTGTAGATTGGATTGACAGTGATCGGAATATTGATAGTGGTTGGTATCGTGACTCCGTATTTGATTCCGATCACGTTGCTTATGATGATATTTTTTTTCAAAATGAGAACGATATATATGACTACAACCCGTAACGTTAAACGTTTAGAAGAAATCGGTAAGATTATTTTAATGTACGTAGTTATTATAAAAGATAGTATGTTTACGCACTAAACAAATTAAATTTAATAAATATTTTATAACAAAAAGTATAAATATTAAATATATAAAACCCAGATTCAGTTTCTTAACTGAATACGGCTGAAAACGTTTACTTTTGGAAATTCTATTTTAAAAACTGATAACTCTACTCAGTGGAGCCGAAGTCATAAAATATAAACAAAAGTAAATTTTAAGAAGCCCCAATATCTAAATACAATCTTTTTTATCGCCGAAATTTAATTAGAATAAGTTTTTATTTTTGTAATTTTTGTACCTTCTCAACTTTCCACGTAAAATAGTGGCACATCCGTCCCCAGTATCAGATCAGATTCACGTTCATTTATTTTAGATTTTAGAGCATAGCGAGAGATATATTGGTTTTATTATGGTGTGTAGTTTTTTTTTTTTTGCGTCTGTGAGTAACTTTTGTATTAGAATTCTTACTCCGAAGTATCAAGTGTAGTATTTTTTCTAAACTGTGATTTTATCTAGTTGATGCATTTCAAAGGCCATTTTTCGATTTTTAAAGAAGTTTTCAAAATAATTTAGAAAAACCAAAAAGAAAATTATAGGTAAAATGAAAATAATTACGGAGTAACTCGGCGTTACTGATTTTATACTTTTAAACTTTTGCAGACTATGTTTTATACTAAAAGTATTACTCCAATTGAAAAATGATATAAAATAAATGTTGTCTTTTATATTTAGACAAAGTATTTTTCATAATAATTAGGAAACAAAAAAATTATAATTGATTTAATTGATTTAAGGCAACTTGGCGTCCTGGTCTAACTATTTTAATTTTTGCAATCTATGTCTTCTACCAGAAATCATGTACTAATTGAAAAATTTAAATCGATTATGTTTCGTTTAACCAATGACCGAGAAAGTTATTTTTTCGATATCTACAAAGCAGTTTTAATTATAATTTAGTCGTTTTTATTATAATTGGGAAAAACTAAAAAATACGATTTTTTTTCAAATTACGGCGCAACAATTTCATTCTTTAAAATTTGTAAGATTATATTTTTCTATTAGAAATTTTAGTCGGGATTTGGGATTAGGAACAATTTAATTGAACTCGAGCAGTTGGTTCCCGGGAATGTCGAAAAACTTTGTGATGGGATGTTTACGGAAGGCACTAATTCGGAGCAAAATATAGGTACATATTATACACACACACTAAACTGAACAGGCATGTAAACCTCACATGGTCGAAGTCATGAATAAAGTCGCGAATAATACAGCTAGTATACTACTAATTTGTATAATAAAACATTTAGGAAAACAAACAAATGTGGCACTGGCAACGCCGGACAGGACAGCTAGCTTTGTCCTGAATGGCTAGCTGACAGATATTCAACGCACAGTCTAAACTGCTAGGGGTTATCAACTTAATTCTTTCACAATAAGTATTTTTAATACCATAAGCACTAAGCAAGCATTTTTGAAAATTTTTAGGTTTTTGATATTTTTAGAAACAAAAATTAAATTTTATTAGTTGATTTATAGGTTTTCCTAATTTGGTTATCATGAGCAAGAGAACTATTATTATTATTATTATTATTACTGTTATTTATAATATTTATTATATTTTTACTATATTTGTGTAATATACAAATATTAACTATTAATAAAATTATAACTGGCAAAAATGTTTAACTATAATTGGGATATGAGTAGAAACGGGGAGACGCGAGAAAATATGTTTTAAAAACATTAAAAAATAAATGTTTTCGTTCAACACCAACACGAAAAAAGTCGTGCGGAATATTCTTTCCAATGGCGAGCGGGGTGAAGAGGGTTATGATCCCCGGAAGGTCGACATGCTTCTTCACGGCGAAGAGAACAAAGAGACTGACTTCGAAATGGGATATTCTTGGGAAGGTCAAGGGAAAGGTTCCCAACGGGAACCCATTAATTGAACTTAAACAGTTGGTTCACGAGAAAGTCGAAAAACTTTTTAACGGGAAGTTTCCACAGACACTAAACTATACGAACATGTAAATTGTACATAGGTGAAGTCGTAGAAAAAGTCACTGGTAATACAGCTATATTTGTATACTACAAATTTGTAAACCTAAGTATTTGATCCAATAAAAAAAGTTGCCCGGGCAACGACGGCTACGACAGCTAGTAAACTATATACCTAACTCTATCTTTTCAACTTTCCACCTTCAACAATGGTATACCCATTAAATGCAACAGCTATTTTTTTATAGCCTTATAACGTTTTGTATTGGTACTTGTCATTAACATCCTATTTCTAATTTAAAACAATATATTTTATAATATTTTTAAACTGTATATTAAATAATATATTTCAACTCAATATTTTAGCTCAAAGTCCCATGCTTACCCATGTGAATTCGTCAATTCAAGGGCTAACGACGATAAGAGCATTTAAAGTACAAAAAATACTTTGTCAAGAGTTTGCCAGCCATCAAGTAAGACAACATAAACTACAATTAAATATGTACATAATTATAACGTTATATATTTATCGTGATCAAAAAATTTTAGGATTTACATTCTTCGGCTTCATATTTATTTATGACTTTAAGTAGAGCATTAGGTTTTTGGATAGATTTTTCCTGTCTTATCTATATAAGTATGGTAACGTTTTATTTCATAGTATTTGTCAACGGTAAGTGTTCCAATAAAAACAACTTTATAATTGAATCGCTTATTTCAGTATCCCCTAAGTCCACTTTCTCACTTTTTGAGATAACAAAAACTGTCTTATGGTTCAAAAACTGTTAGTTTCTTTAAAATTCCAAAAATAATTAAAAATACTCGACTACTTCGCTTACAAATATAAGAATACAAATGTCGTTTAAGCTCAATTCCATACTGAGGGAGGGGAAAAATATTTTGTAATTTTTAATACAGGGAGATCAATCTATCGTAAGACACTCGTTATCTCGGAAAAAAATTAACATTTTCCGAAATTTGTTTTCTAGAATATTTAAGAAACAAGCTGTTCTACAGTTTTATATTTATGTAATTTTTGTGTCACCCTTATTTTCGGGGGTAAACCACTACCTAATTTTGATTTTCAAATGACAACCTATAATAAAAATTCCATAAATAGATGAAGTATTCGTCAAAATAAATGTTGGTATTGAAGTTTTTCATTTCCGTCAATCTGTTGACGAGATATCCCATTTCTAAGTTTGGGTTTGGGGAGAGTAATGGTGCATTATTAACACGCCTCGTACCGTACCGCCATACAACTCCTCCACTCTCCTCCAATCGAAACTTAAAAGTGATATATCTCGTCAATGGATTGACGGAAATCAAAAATGTCAACACTGAAATTTATTTTAAATAATACTCAATCTATTTATGTAATTTTGAATATAGGTTTCTGTTTGAAAATCAAAAGTAGGTAGTGGTTTTAACCCTAAAAATAAGGGTGACAAAAACTAAAATAAATTTAAAAATTTATAGCAGTTTGTTTCTAAAATGCTCTAGAATATAAATTTCGGAAAAAGTTAATACTTTCCGAGATAATGAGTGTCTTATGATAGATTGATCATCCCATGTACCTATGGAGTTTCTGCAGTAAATAACCTTAATATGCTCTGTTTTTTTTTTCGCTTCATAATCATTCAAATAATCAGTATTGAGGTATACATAATTGAAAACAAGTAATTATGATAAGACTGAGTATACGTATATTTTTAATGAAAAAAATCGCATTTTAAATGATTCGCTTATTTCAGAAACCCCCTAATTATAGAAAGATGAAAAAAATCAATCATTAAAACACACATTTATGTAACGGTGCATGTAAAGAAACAAATGTTCATCCAATTTAACAGATAAACGTAAAATAGTTAATTTTGTTTTTTTTAGCGTTAGGGGGTTTTTGAAATAAGCGACTAAATTATTATACTTTTAATACATCTTTAAAACGATTGACATTTTTTTATGTGAAAATAAAACAATGTATTTAAGATTCGTACGGAGGAAACGTCGGTTTGGCTATTACGCAAGTAGTCGGATTGGCCGGTATAATACAATGGCTGGTGAAAATATCGACGGAATTGGAAAATCAAATGATATCCGTCGAAAGAGTTCTGGAATACACGGTAATAGAACAAGAATCGGTTCACAAATCGACTCAAGGTAATTGAATGACCTAAAAAAATCTTATAAATAATTCTTTTATCTAATTGTTTTGATGATTGGTTATTTTTGTAGACATAAAACCACCAAAAGAATGGCCTAACGAAGGCAAAATAATATTCAAACATTTCTACCTACGTTACGACCTGGACACACCACACGTTTTAAAAGATCTCAACATTGTTATTGAACCCACTGAAAAAGTAATATGTCGAATATGTTAATTATATACGATTATTATTTCACGGAAATGTAGATACCCACAACTATACGTAATTCGTATTTTGATATGAAAAATACTTCTTTAATTCGTTCAAAAAACAAAAATTCCCTTAAAAATTTAGATTCTTGTATAAAAACACATTATTTATCGCGATTCACTTCATCTATATACACTATACAGTGTAATTCTCAAAGCGTGCTCATTCCATTTTTTCGGATAAATTGTATTTCATTTTATTTTACAAATATGAACGGACTAGTGTCCTATTATAAAATTCAATACTGTGGTGCACAATAATTGGTTATATGCATTCTAATTCTGATTTTCGGAATTTTAAATGTAATTAAAGCAGATATTTTCGAATAATTAGATTTTTCACGTCATTTAAGGAGTATCCTCTGGCGATACCAACATTAGTTTTTCAAATGAGAACCTACGTTAAAAATTCCATAAATGGAAAGAGTATTAATTTAAATACATTTTTTGTCAAAAATTTAAAATGTTTGATTCCCGTCAACTCATTGACGAGATATTTAATTTTTAGTTTAGATAGGGGAGATTAGTGGAGCACTAATAAAACGCCACCCGCCGTGCCATCTCACAAATAATACTCCACTACTCTACCCCTACCTAAACTTAAAAATGGAATATCTCGTCAACGGGTTGACGGAAATCAAAAACTTTGATGCCAAAATGTACTAAAATTAATACTCCTATTTATGGAATTTACATTTGAAAAACCAAAATCGGTATCGCCACAGGATACTCCTTAAATGTTGTGAAAAAATGGCTTAACCAAATATTTATTCATGTTCCCAAAATATTTTTGACTAGGTAATACATTATCATAAAATCATCAATTAATATAATTATAAATCGTATGAGGTATTTTGTCAATAGTATTGATATTTGATACATAATTGTAATTTTCCACGTTTTTATTCGCCTTGATTTTTGTACACTCTAAGTGATATTTACAGTAAATTATGGTGCTCACAAACCATGGTGGCAGCGGTAGCGAAATTTCTGCGATACGGGGATGAAATAAAATATCGCTGACCTAACCTAACCAAAGTGAAATATTACAGCGAAATCGCGTAGTAGTAGTAGTATAGGTCTTTTATAATATTTCATTTTTATCTCGTTTTAACTTTCGATAATTATATTATACCTATACACTACGGACCACGTATATTTTCAATCTTACACGTGTGACTTACTTTTCGACTTTACACTTGCTTGATCGGTATTTATTTATTTCACATTTGTGTCATCATGGACAATCATTATACTGAACATGATGATAATACTTTAATACTTTATACAAACGTCCAACGAACAAACTAAACGAATGTTGTTAATACGCCGAGTACCTATGTACCTATAGTAATTATAGAACATTTATCATATTTTATCATCGAAGTATGTATCGGACTTTACGTTTAGGTGTAGCTTAAATACAGATAAAAATTAATTTACTGATATTACAAATGCACTACGCAATATTCTATCGTATATATAATTGTTAACTGACTACCATGTTCAGTTTGTAAATTTATTTACCGCGGCGTTAAGTGAAATAGTAGTGCGTACAACGAAAAAAAATAATTTCACTTCAGGTGTTGCGGTAAAATTACCGCTGTGAAAAATTTCGCTTTGATATGTGGTCTCTCATTTAAATGTATGAAAACAAGTTCCCGCTGCCACCGCCGCTACTGCTCTGGTTTGTGAGCACCTCTACGCGTCTTTTTTTTTATCTGTAATATAAATATACCTATATAGTATACGTCTAATTTTTGGGAATACGAGGTACTATTTTGACACTAACGATATATATATATAAATTTAGTCTCAAAGAAAAGGGGCTTAAGTCAATTTAATAAAACCGAATTTTACATTTTGAAAATTACAAATGGACAAAAATGACGGAATTTATTGAAAATTATGAAAAAAATTGCACAAGAAAACTATAAACAGTTTTTTAAAAATTGACTTTTTGATTTTTTGAGACCAAAGATATATAAAAGAAGAAACTGACTGACTGATTTACTGACTGATTGGCAATGCACAGCCAAAACCGCAGCGTCCAAAACTTGATATGCACAGAGATTTTTTATATTATTATGTAGGACCTACATTACTTACACAATTTAAATTATTATCTGTTATACTATTCCTAACTACCAGAATTATATTTACAATTTATCTACATCATTAATAACGTATTTATAACTTTGGTACACCCCGTTGAAAATGCATTATATAGATACGACGAAGTCGCATTTAATATCACTGAGTTTTTATTTTTAGGTCGGAATTGTCGGCAGAACTGGTGCGGGAAAATCGTCTTTGATCCAAGCACTGTTTAGATTGGCTTTCAACGAGGGAAGTATCGTTATCGACGACGTGGAAATCCATGATTTGGGATTACACGATTACCGATCGAGAATTTCCATTATTCCACAGGAACCGATTTTATTTTCGGGAACGATACGCACAAATTTAGACCCGTACAACGAATATAACGATCACGAACTCTGGAACGCTTTATATGAAGTAAATAATATATCTTCTATAATAGTATACGTTTTATTTTTTAAGAAAAAAAATATTTGTTGTCAATTTGATACGTTTATAAGACAGGTATTTAAAAACTTATTTCATTATTCGTTCTTTATTATTTTTTTTAGGTAAATCTGAAAAACATCGTGGACAATTTGCCAAAAAAACTTAACTGGATAATGTCGGAAGGCGGATGCAATTTTAGCGTCGGTCAAAAACAATTGATGTGTTTGGCCAGAGCTATTTTACGAAAAAACAAAATCATCGTGCTGGACGAAGCCACGGCCAACGTCGATCCTCAGTAAAATATTATAAAATTATTATCATCTATTGCGTGTGCTTACGAGTGTTACTCCACTCGTTTTTGGATAATACGAGTAATTATATTATTTTTCAGGACAGACGCTCTGATCCAAGAAACGATCCGTAATATATTCCGAACGTGTACGGTGCTGACGATCGCTCACCGCTTGAACACGATTATGAATTATGACAAAATACTCGTAATGAACGACGGCACGGTGGTGGAATTCGACCGTCCATTTAATTTATTGAAAAACACCGACGGATATTTTTATAAAATGGTCGAACGAACGGGACGGAACACTGCTGATTTGCTACATGACATAGTCAAGGCCAACGAGGTATTATTATTATTAATATTATTAGGGCAGATATTTATATGATTTTGCATATTTGTATGGGCTGGTATGAAAAATAGCTAGTATATACCAACTACCTAGTTTATAGCTAGTACCTATTAACTATTTAGAATTTGTTTTTCAGAATATTCAAGAAATTAGTTTTTCTATAATGTTACATTACTCTTTTTTTTGTCATCCTTATTTAGGGGTTGAAAATGCTACCTACTTTTGATTTTCAAATAGCGACCTACCTATACGAAAAATTGCATAAATAGATGGAGAAAACCACATATTAGTATAAATAAATTGTGATTTGTGCAGTTTTTTAATTTCCTTTAATTCCGTAGTCCATTGAAAATTTAATACAGAAAAATTTTACTGACTGTCTGTGTGTGTATCTCACAAAAAAAAAAAAAAAAAATAGTAGGCAATGATTGTATTTATAGATTTCGTAACAAAATATTATAATATTCCATGTAGGAAATACTCTTACTAGTAGAAGGATGAGTAACTGGGGAAAGTCCACAATTGAATGAAAGTTTGGTTTATAATTGTTCGTTTAGACAGGGATAGTGGGTATTCACTAAAAAATACCCTGAAATTTGTGATTTTTTAAAATATACTAATACATTAATAATAATTATAATAATAATAATAGTTAAAATAATTTGGAAACTGTTTTGTTTAAGTGTCACAATAACGAAGTGCAACAGACGAAAACTGCAGAATCTCCAAAAACGACACATATTGAACATACATCATAGAAATACATATAATACGTATCTTATTGCGAAAGAAAATAACCGAAAGCGTATTTAATTCTATAAATCAAATTTAATAAAAAGCCAACAATAGGCGTTTGAATTTTTATGAAAATTCAAAATAAAGCGTATAAAAATAAAAAAAAACTATTTAATCACCTTGATTTGAAATTAAGAATTAAATAATATTTATGTAAATATTTAGATTGTTTTCAATAAAACGTATTCGTTTAGCTCATAAAAAATATATATATATATACAATTTAAATTGTCAACAAAAGTTATTGAAATAAATATTATTTCGTGCAACCGCAGTTTAATTCTAATCAAATCCACGGTATCGTTAATTTAATCTCCTATGATTGCTTGACAAAATGTATATCCTTTTTAAGATTCCATAAAACTTAGTGGTCTATCTAAGATTTGTATGCACTGGGGAAATAAAACAATTACCACCTCCTTCATTTACGTGAGTACATCCAGTACACTTAAAATGTTCTTTATCTTCCATTCCCCAACCTTGCTTCCTCTCTCCTCTAAAAAACGCCACCTAAAATCTTTGAAATTTTACCACCCGGAACAATTACCTCTTTCACCCCCCCCCCCCCCTCCCCATTAAATACACCGCTTGTATAATTAAAATGGCAAAAAACCATTTAATTTTAGGCCAGGTCTTGCGCTAACGTGCAAGTTTACGTAATGTTTTTCCTTGGACTAACGGCAAAGATGGAAATTTTGCCATACAAGTATGATTTTATGGTCATAAAATCGTTGTCTGATTTTTGCTCCAAATAAATGAATTGTTTCTCCGAAATATCTATCCGCTTAAATATCCGTTCGCCAAAATGTCTTTCGCCGAATTGCCTTTCATCAAAATGTCCTAGATCCCACAAAAATAGGCGAGGAAAACGGTTTGAAATATATTTAAATTTACCAGGACTTTTACAAAGCAATCGACACTCCTAACTGTCGTTTTTCAAATGTTCTGAAAATCGAACAGCCTTTTAAGTTTGGGCGGGATAGGGTAGTGAAACATCATTTATGTGGTGACACAGCATGCGATACGTTAATAATGCATTCCCATTTATTATGAAAATTCTGGGAAAATCAAAAAATTACATTCTTAAAGTGTCATCCCAGTCAAATTGTTTCTCAGAAAAAGTGCTATATTTGAAAATCGTAGCAAATTTTCTGGTAAAAAAGTTGTAGTTTAAAAAAAATAATAATAAACACCATTGTAAAACTAATATATTCCTCGCTCCGCTCAGTATCTAAAATTTAAATTTTTAAACAATTTTTTACAGACTCCAAGAAAGGCCTTTAATAAATAAACATTTTGTAACAAGTTGTTGGCATTTAAAATATTTACGAGTACTTATAATGTAGTCGTTAATTTTCTACAATTTTTTCGAAGTTGACGATTATTTTAAATTATTTCCGTTATAATAATTCGAAAAACTTAAAAAAGAATGTACAATATAAATATGAAAAAAAATATCGAACAGAATAAAATAGTTATTTCAAGTGTCAGATTTTCGTGTTGTATTCTATGCATACATTATTATTTATAAAACGTTAATCTACTGTGATGTTTGGCCGCGGCACGTTGCGCTAAATAATTATTATTACTGTGGCTTGTGACTACAGCCGGGTCGCCGGAGTGTTTCAACACGTACGGGATTTTCGGACGTTTTTCGACGTTGATATTTTGTAGCTGCGGTCGAACGGTCGCGTGTAGGTCGTCGGTGTACAAGCTCTCGTGCACGTGGCTATGAGAGCCATCATCATCTCCGTTGTAAATCGCCCGGATCGGCGAGTCGTCATATAATTCCGGACGCGTCCTCTGTGACTTTCCGCGTGGCAATGCGCCGTCGAATTCGTCATCTTCGATGGGCAACGCGTGCATCACTCTCGGTTTCTCTTTGGTCACTATGTAAACGGGCACTTTTTTGACGTGGTGATGGTGCACGTGGTTAATGCGCTCCGGGACGAATATTTTTATTCTATATTAAACGGACAATGTTTGTATAGTTTTTTGAAAATAAAATGTTATTTTACCCGCAGCAGACGTACCCAGCGTACCGGGTCATCTATTTAAGTGAGTACACTCATTATCTCGGAAAGTATTAACTTTTTCGTAATTTGTTTTCTAAAACATTTAACAAACAAGCTGTTCTACAATTTTATATTTATGTTATTTTTGGGGGGTAAAACCGTTACATACTTATGATTTTCAATAGCAACCGATATTAAAAATTCCATAAATAGACGGAGTGTTATTTAAAATAAATTTAATTGTTGACATTTTTGATTTCTGTCAACCCATTCCACTTTTAAGTTTGGGTTGGAGGAGAGTAAGTTTGTAATGGTGCATTATTAACACTCCGCACTCCCGTACCACTACCCAAATGACACTCCACTACTCTCCTCCAACCCAAACTCCAAACTTAAAAGTGGAATATCTCGTCAACGGATTAACGGAAATAAAATATTGGAATTTTTAATATAGGTTACCATTTGAAAATTAAAAGTAGTTTGTTGTTTTAACCCCCAAAAATAAGGGTGACAAAATACAACGTAAATATAAAATTGTAGAGCAGATTGTTTCTTAAATATTCTAGAATATAAAATTCCGCAAAAAGTTAATACTTAGCATGGTTATTAAATTAATACAATGAGTGTCCTACGAACATGTTTTTAATGCAATTTTTAAATTTTTTTTTACAAAACCCAAGATAGCTATTTTATACATTTATTTTGAAATGCAATTTACAAATTTTACAAATGATAACTTTAACGATAAATTGTTAACTTTCTATAGTTTTCTAAAGTTTACAAAAATGTAATTTTGTTTGCATTACCTACCATAAATAGATGTAATAACTTAAATTTCTTTGGAACAATTAATAATTATGTAATAAATATTATCGTATTAATGTCTGTAATTTTCATGGAAAAAATGGGTAAATTAATTGACTTTATTTAGTAGTTGCAATGAGCATAACATTTACTATAATTTTAAGTAATTAAACAATGGTCATTGTACTTAACGCTCAGTATAGCTTATATAGTTTTTTTTTTCTATTTTAGCACGATTACGTCAATTTGTTAATACAAATTTTTAAAATATACATTATATAATATTACATATTTATAGTCATAAAAAAAATTATGTAAATAATTATAGTTCCTAAAAATTGTCATTACCCCCTTTTCCCCATATTAAAAAGTCATTGGACTGCCACTACTTCCACAAACAAAAACTATAAAAATTATGTAACATAACACTTGTATCAGTTTTATATTTTAATATGTATATGTTTTATACTAGTATTATAGATTTTGTCATAACAAATCGATTTATGGAATAATATCAGTTCTAATAAAAAAAAAAAAATGACAACCTTTATTCATTAATTAAACCATTAAATTCGTTCTTAAGTTGGTAATGTTAGGTTAGAAGGAAAATTTTGTTTAAAAACTCCTAAACGGCGTAAAAACAATAACATTTCTACCGGACGATCCGATAAAACAGCTCGTTGTTCTTTCACTAACAATATTAATATGTCTAACAATTTTGAAAAATTATCATATAAGCGTTCGTGAAAATGTACAAAAACTCGCGAGCATTTATCGAATAGGTACAGTAAATTTCGATTCAAACCATTATTATTGTTCTAAAAAAAAATAATTGTTGAATATTTTGAATCTTGTCCTTTATCAATTATGTATCACCCCTGTTCACGGAATATATACGCAACACATTAAACCGCCGTGCGATGATTGGTTTTATAAAATAATAATAGAAATGACATACGTAAATTACGCCGTATAAATAACAGGCGAAACACGATAGGCCCCCCGACATTGCAACATTTTTTTCACGTACAATGATTATTTTGATTTTGACGATTTATTTTCTTGTACGCTAGCTATTCCAATTCGTAAAAACGGAATACATAAATCCGAACCGAGAAACTAATAATTTAATATTTTTAGACTTATGCATTTTTAAGCGTATTTCTCATACCGATAGTACCAAACTAAAATTATTCAAACTTACCTTTGATTTCTGCACACGATTAAATCAACCATATTGTTCAAAATCAGCATGAATAAAAAAACCGATGCCTGAAAAAAAAAAAAGAAAGGGAAATTAATTAAATGTACAATATCTCAAATTTCATTTTAATTATTAGTAAGTACTAAATATTAATAAAGTGTAACTTATTAATTTACTAATTTAATCGATAAAATTGATTATAAACGATATTAATATCCGAATTAAATAAAGACGAAGAAACGACGATGAAATTATGATTGCGAGGAAAAAAAAAACAAAATAGTATACAATATAATAATATCAGCAAGGCTGAGCATTGACGAGTTAATAAGTTAAAGTTAAGTTAATTTAACTTTTTAACTCGAGGAACACAAAATAATTAACTTTTAATTAACTAGAGTTAATTTTATATTCAAACAGAATAATTTGCACTCAATTTTCACAAATTAAAAAATTAATTTTAACTTTTGGTTAACTTCTAATATAGCTTAATTGATAGATTATTTTGTATTAACTTTATTTAAATTTAAATTTAACTTAACTTATAATTGAGTAGAAAAATATTATTAACTTGCCAGCCTTAAACATCAGTCATGGAATGTAATAGTTTTCTTTTATCTTTTTAATTATTTTAAACTACCAACAGGATATTGGGTTCTAATCGTTATAGACCATATTTTTGAAGATAATGATAATATTGGACCATCAACTCTTCTCATTGAAAGGACTTCACGGTTTAATCTACGGGAAAATATCTTCTTCTGGACTGACGTTTCAGAAGAAGATCTAAGGGATCCGGGAGTGGAAGATCGTCGAAGAGACATGGTTCAAGAGTGCAAGGGTATATGCTGTGGTGTTTTAATGGAAAGAAAACTTAAGAAGTTGAAAAGGCCAAAAGAAGAAGACTGCAGGATTTTGGCAAGTAAAGCAACAAACACTATATACTTAACTTGTTTAAGTACATGTACTTATATGATTTTAATACAAAAACGAATTTAAACAAAACAGTACACTCACCTCGTGTTTGTAGACTAGCATTGCTGTAATTTTATGCTGTTGCTCTCGTCTTCGCCAGAGGACGGAAAAACGTCTGACTTGAAACCATTGTAACCAGTGCTGTTTATATATAACCGCGGAAATAAGAAAACTTAATTGATGAAGATATTAATAATTGTCGCCGTGTATTTTATTTCGGACGAAGTTAGACAGCGAAACGCCTCGTACAATAGTATCGTCACGTAATAATATCATTATTACTAATTATTTTTATCATTAAAATGTTAATTTCCGTCATCGTCGTTTCTCCGGTACTCGCTATGACGATTTCGCGAATGAGAAAATACAATTTTCGTTTGGATCGCGTGTGGATAACCGCTGGACTATACCTACGCGGATAACGATGAAATTTAAACATTTTGGCAGTTAATTTCGGGATTTCGTGTGTGTTAGTGTCACGTTCTTAAGTCAGTAACCGTAATTTCTAAATTATTAAATTACTGAACGGCCTTATCTAAATGCAAATATTCTAAACGGATCAAGCCATATAATTATTGTTTGAGTCATGCCTTCTATATTTTCTATACCAAACAAAAAGTACTATTCTTAATAATTAAGAAGTTTTTATTTTTAGAATAACTTGTGTAAGAATTTAATGTAAACACTAAGGTGATGTAGACCAAAAAATAAAGTGAATATCATTCGCATGGCGGCATGGCGCACGGCATTTTATTAGTGTTCTACTACTTTTCTCCATACATAAATTTAAAAGTGAAATATCTCGTCAATGAGTTGAAGAAAATCAAAAATGTTGACACCAAAATATACTTGAAATAATATTCCGTCTATTTATGCAATTTTATTTTATCTAGGTTCTCTTTTGGAAAACCAAAGTTGGTATCGCCACTGGGTACTACTAAAATGTTGTGAAAAATCTAAGTATTCAAAAATTTCGACTTTAACTACTCTTACAAATTCCAAAAATCAGAATTAGACTACATGCAAAATTTAACTAAAGTAATGAAATAAGCACGCTTAGTAAATTACCCTGTATCCTATACTTATATTTAGTTTAAATTTGATAATTAATTCTTGTATGTACTCTTTACCAGAGCAGGTAAAAAAATACCGAAATATTTTACTAACACATTTCGTACATTTTCCTATTTTTCCTCGGTTTTTTCTGGTTTATTCTCATTTGTTAAGAAAACTCCAGAAAAATCAAAACACGACCTTCTTAAAGTACCGTCTCAATACTATTTCCTTTCAAAAAAGGTACTACACTTAAAAATCGGAGCAATATTTCTGATAGAAAACGTGTCCAAAAAAAAAAAAAACATCATTGTAAAACTATAACCTTCTTCGCTCCACTCAGAATCTAAAATGGTTTGAAACAAATAATAGGTAATTAAATAAATCATAAAATTTATATTTAGTAAAGGTATATACTTTAAAGTTTAAAGTATATACTGTATACATACTGTATAATAATGTATCAGTGCTTGGATTGGGAGGATGGAACTCTTCTACTATTTAATATTTTTGTTCATCGTCCCTTTAATAATTATTTTGATCGGGACTGGGGAGAAATGGGGGGGGGGGAATGTGAATTGGGAAATTTTGGCTACTCCTCTGTTTAGTAACATTCCTGGTATAGCTAACCCATAGGTTAGGTACATTATTATGTTCTCTAATATCTGTAAATTTATGTTGATGACTAGTTGTTGCCGCGAGTTTATATTGAAGCATAATGGTGGAAACTAAAAATCAATTTTGCGGCTCTTCGTGCGATTTAAAAGTAATTATGAAAAATAAATTTACAATTAATCTGCTAAATATTGACGTAGGTTTGAAGTCGATCGAACAATTAGGTGGGGCTAACTTCAAGGACACTCTGCATAGACTCCCCTATTAAGCATAATGTATATGTATCTTTAAGCCACCACCATTTACATGCACCTAATGTTCGTACGGTTCTATATATAGACATGTGATTTTCAACTTTTTTGTATCTACGACTTTTCTGATTTTGAAAACCCAATAAGCAACTCCCCTTACGAATAATGATCATATAATTTAAAAAAATGACGGACGTAGTCTGGACTTAAGTTGGGAAAGTAGGATACGGACGGGAATTTAATGTATATCAGTAAGCAAAGATGAACCATTGTTAACAAAAAAACGATTCTGAGCAGAGTTCAGTTGATAGTGTTACTTTGACAACAATACAATATATGGTAATACCATATATTGTACCTACCATATTATGGTATATATCATATTATGGTAAAATGATTCCAAAAATGTGCGTTTCCATGAAAACAATGATTGTTTAAAAAAGATTAAAATAATAAAAACTTAATAATAATAAAAGTAAATAAAAACGATTGCCAATGACGACCTTATTTTTAATCTTTCAATCTTTTTTAACCTAAATATCGAGGTTTTCATCATTATCACGAATAGCAATGAAAAATTCAAAAAATGACCTCTCTAAAGTATCACATCCAGAGAATATTTCCATTCAGAGAAGATTCTAAACATTCTAAGATCATATATATTACACATGATTCTTGGTCGCAGCGGTTCGTCGTGATGAAGTACGAAATCGAATAAAATATCCTACGGAGGCTCGCTCTGTATTTTTTTTTTTTTTGTATTTTAATACTTATTATACAAACGTGGTGGCCGTTCTATTGCAACGTTTTGCGGTGTGCGTGTCAGCTACCGATTATTATTATTACATCGTATTCGTTTAATTGCGAATTGACAAGCGCGCGCGCTCGCGTTTACTTTCATCATACCTCATAAATATACCTATACTTAAATATCGTTGTTTTTCCGGTCGTTATTGTTTCACTTTTTTTTTTTTTTATCTCGTTCGTATCAAACACTCGCAGCGCGATAGCCGTTGGTCACGGACTCTATGGTCGTTTACACACGTTTATATAGTTCATAGCTGCTGCCGATATTGAGCAGAAAAATAAACAATGCGTAAATAATAACCAATATACTTGATCGGTATGAAATAAACGGGTCACAACATAAATATAATGATACAGTTTTTACAGCATTTATTGCGGTCGATTCAAAACGATCCCCGATAAATGATTGAAATGTTTTTAGGTTTTTTTTTCTACCATCATTTTAGTATTTTTTTTCCGCTTCTTCAAGAATTTTTCAACAAGAGGAAGGGTCGTGTAGCAAATTTTTAATAATTACGAATGAAGACAAATAAATAATCTTACAATTGATAGTATGTAAACTTCTTTTGTTAGAAGAGTATAAAAGTGTACAACCTTAACCTCACCCCCCCAAAAAAAAAATATTTTTTTATAAACGCACCTGTATTTTAATTATAATCAATAATAATACAAGTACATACAAATTTTAGCTTAAACTTATTATTATGTTGGTATGATGCTATTACAGTAATGATTTCGGGATTTTTGGTTTAACTGTTGGTAAATCTGATCTGATAGTTTTTTTTTTTTTTTTTGTTATCAGTTTTAGGAGAACTGCTATGTGCTCATTTGATGAAAGTAAAATTATTAGTGTACACAAAAACGTTATTTAAAAGGAAGAATATAAACTTGAAAAAAGCTCTGGTTATTTCAGTCCTGCACATTCCGTCGTCGTCATAACGTATCCAAAACCGTATCTTTATCTACATTCATCTACATATATACAACATACGATGGCGGATAAATAGGGTAGTTTCCGAAAAATGTTTTTAATATATTCGAAAATTGGCGAACTGTATAATATACTATTGTATATTATACACACAACCTAACCTAACCTAACGCATATATTTCATACATAAATATAATGATGGGATTATGAAGGATTACGAACGCGATTTCACGCGTAAATCGGCTTTACGAGAACATAATATTATTATTACAACATTGATATTATCATATATTTGTACCCACACGGGGCCTTGTAAAAATGTGTACAATAGGTATATAAAGGGAAACCAGACTAACTCGGACTACTCGGAGCAGTACCGCGCCTGTGAACTTTCAGCGAACGAGGATGTATAGTAAATAATAATCATGATTCACAAAAAAATCCTAAAATCTTCTTTTGTTATACGCATAACTCGGCAATAATAATTTAACGGTGATATACGACTGCATCCGATTTCTGTACTTGAGCCTTATAAAAATATTTCGGTTGCGCACAAAAATGAGTGCAACGTTGCCAACATGCACTACTCAGTTTATTTACTACATGAATACAATTGTTATGTGAACGTACAACATACGAATACCCATAGCGACTAGTAATGTATAGAATTTAAATTAACCGTTAAGTAAATATTGTGTGAATTGATAAAAACATATTTTAGGTTCCACTAAATTTGGGTAAGTAAAACGTACGCAATTGCAATAGTATAAAAGCCTCTTTCCTCTTTCCATAAATAGGTTACTCATTACATTTTTTCTTGTTGTAGCTCATCATCGTGTCTCATAGTAGAGTTATCTCCTATCTTTGATTGATCTCAATATTCTTTATGACTCTTTGGATTCACCTATTTCATGAAGTTCGCAGTTATTGGTTCCTAATTCAAGCTAATTCCCGCTTCAGCTAACTGTTGACATACTCCACCGACCGCCAGCACTACATTTCGACTGTATCCCTGACATATACTTAAATCATTGCGAATAGTGAAGAACAAAATAAGAAATATCAATCAGAAAAATCGGTAAAATTGAACCCAGGAAAATTTAGTTGACAACGTTGAATTTCGAAACAAGATCCAACAAAAAAATATTATCAAACTATTTAGTTTTGAAATACATATTTTAATTAGTTTGATAGAATATAGACATCACTAAAATTCGAAAAACATCCTTTTATTCATAAAATCGCTTGCAATTAATCCATGCGTGATTTAAATTTATCGTTTGTAGCGGCGATGATGTTTCGTCGATCACGCGGAAAGCGTTTAAATTACATTAAAAAAATCGCAATTAAACTCAATCTGTATCGGGATTATAATTAATGACTATTTGATTTTTGCCGCAAACACGCTCGTAATCAGAGGATCAAATCGGTCGGCCATGTATAAATATGTAGGTACCTATTTTAGATTCTAAGCGAAGCGAGGAATATATTGGTTTTACAATGATGTTTAATTTTATTTTATTTTTAACTGTGAACTTTTTTACCAACAATTTTGCTCAGATTTTCAAGTACATCACTTTTTCCGAAAAGAAATTAAACGGAGGTGTTACTTTAAGAAGGCAATTTTTTGATTTCCCAAAAAGTTTTCCCAATTAATGGGAAAAATCGGGGGGAAAACGTAAGGGAAAAACCGGAACAAAAACGTAGGGAAAACGGGAAAATTTACGAAATGTATTATTTTAAAATCGTGAATATTACAGCCTTTCAAAACATATAGGTACCATAATGATGGCCCACCCATCGTGTAAAGTATGATTATATTTTTTTTTTATTTTTTAAGTCAAAAATCATTTTGCATCTGACAAATACACGTGAATTTTTTATGTATTTCGGTACCATCAGAAAATTCGAAAGAGTTTCCATCTGTATATTTTAATGTGTTGTGCGATGATTTATTATTATCTGCAATTAAATTACTTATAATATATTACCTATTTGACAACTGATTCATCAAAACCGAACAAGACGTACCTACCTAATATTAACGATTTTTGTTTCAGAATTATTTTAATCTTGTGACGCACATCATAATATATCAAAATTTCGATTTTCAAACAGCGACTTCCGGCCATCTCCTTTTTCAAAACAAATTAGAAAAATCTGAAATTTGAAACTTGATTAAAAATCAAAAATCAATACTCAGTTACGGTATTTATAAGGAGTATTGGTGAAAATTGTAAAATAGCGTTACAATAAAGCTTGAAAAATGACTTAGGTAATGATTGAAAAAAAAAAAACAGCAATCAAATTGATTGATTAAAATCCTCTGGGTCGTGATCATAGGCAATGTATTGGGAGAAAGCAGAGTAATCAGCTGTTTTTCTTGTTCCCCTATAAATTTATGCGTCTTGTAGCCTATAAATCACAGGGCAAAATAAATATCTTCCTCTTCAAAAAAACGCACAGAAATTTACCGGAATTTAATAAAAATTCCAAAATCACTAAGGCGTATTATTATTGATTCTATCGATACTGTAATACAATAACATGCCTATTATTTAACATCGCACTTATTTTGTACTGGGTGTATCATAACAAGCGACGGTATTTTACGTCTTGTGCGGAGAATTGTTATAATAATATACGGTAACTGGTGTAGCAGTGGCGTTGTTATTGTCGTCGTTTCGGGTGCTCGGACCGCCCGGACACGCGTGTCAATAAACAAATATGTCGATTTTTCCCGGGTACCATGTAAAATATTTTGTTGTTTATTTACGGATCGAATTATATTTTAAACAAATACGCGTTCGTTTTATTTTTTTCGCGGCGACACGTTTAATAATATCAAATATATAGGTATACATACATAGGTAGTATTATACCTGTATATTTATTTGTAATAGCCAATAATATATATTGATACACGGCAAAGTGTAATAATATAGACACCCGCGTGTGGTCGAATATTGTATACGATAGTGTACACATAAAACATATTCAGGAAAAAAAAAAAAAAACGAAATTTATTGCCCAACAGTATAGTCGCGCCGTGTGTATAATCCGCTCGCGCCACACACCTAGGTATATAGGTAGAAATGATAAAAAAAAAAAAAATCTGCGCGCGCTCGGTAACGCGTGTGTAACCTAAAAAACGGTTGCTCGGACACCCCGCCTCGATATAATAAAATTATATTATTGTCGTTTACAACGTAATCTTAAAATAATAGCCGTCGTTATACCGACCTACGTATTTATATATCTATATTTTTGTTCGATACACGTCAATACTGCTGGGCTGCGCGGTGTTTGCACTACCTGCATAACGGTATATAATGTAAAAATATATATAAAGAAATTATACCCGTGTGTGTATATAACTGAAACACCTAATACGCACTACTGTCGATACACATATACAAATCGACGTTGTGCAAATTCAATGTGCGCGCCTATAATAGAGTACGATTTTGTATAAATTTTTCTCCGACAAGACCGAAACGGAGCTATACGGTTCCGAAAGACCGGATTCGCGAATAACAGAAAAAAAAAATAAAAATCAGTTTGCTATTTATACGATTTTCCTCCTCCTTGCGCCCATGTGCGGTATTTCTACCGCCGAAAGACTAAGTATAATATAATACATCGTACCCACGATTAAAATACGTTAATTGGGGATGTGAGGGGGAGGTTTTCCTGTGCAAACAATGCTGGATAAAGGGACGAGTCTAAACGGGCAAGAGAATATAATTAATAACAATTTAATTCACACGTACATAAACCAAAACTGAAATCCATTTGGCTTTTGGGGAATTGACAAGTTTTGAGAACGCTAGAGATCAATAAGGGTAAACGAATGGCCATAATTAGCATTAACCGGGCAATCAGTAAGTTACCAAGGAAGTTAGTGAAGAGAGAAAGGTATATGGAAAGAGACAGATGAACAAGAAAGGACTTATCTGGATTATTTTGACTACAAAAAGGAAAACACACGACTAATAATAGTTATCTAACCTTAACAGTTTACCGTGTTCTGTTCACAATCGTTTTTTGATTACAATAGTTATTTGACAATAGTTACATTAGTTTATTTTATTTTCGTATGTTGTAATCCAGATAGAAAATGTTATCATTGACATTAATCTAATCGTTACCACAGACGTAACTAGGGGGAGCTTAGTCTTTCAGTCTTCAATTCAGCCCCCCCCCCTAAAAAAAAGGCTACCTGATGACATTAAAAATCTAGGATATTTTTTATTAACTTCAGTATAATTTAAAAAAAAAAGTATATTTATATAATATATAACATAACTAGTAAATTATAATAAAACTAATTTTTGTTTTTTTATAACATGGTTAAAATGGAGAAAATATATTTTTTGTTTAATATAAAAATAATTATATTCATTCGCCGTTCATCAATGTCGCAGGATAGATATTTAATAATTTATCTATTTTATCTATTAAACGAGATGTATCCAATAAAATCAATGCAGCTAACGTTGTAGAAGTATAATCTGAACCTAAACGATCATAAACTTAAATTATAAAAATATATACTTATTATAATTTATATATTGTTGATTTATTATTCGAAATACGTTATTTTTTGATATTTGCTTACATGGAAAGGGTTTACTCGAAAATATTATAAGATAAAAAAAAACAGCTGGTGCTCTAGCCCCGTCCCTCTAGTTTAAAAATCCAATTACGCCTATGATCATTACCTATAAATTTGGAACAGATTGACAGATTATGTACAATTTAAACGAATGAAAATGGATAGGATCATTATTAGCTAGTTTTATAAGACTGCAGTTTTAACAGTTAACGGTTGGCTGCATGATGTGGAATAAAGAATTGTATTATAATCAATGACCGGTAGCGGATCCAGGGGTCGTTCAACAAGGTTGGAAAATCTCACTAAAAAAATGTACACATATACTTAATATAAACAATAAGTAGAATATAAAAATTGCATATTAAAAACACAGCTAAATGGGGGGGGAGGTGTGATTGCCCTGTAATCCCTGTATCCGCCACTGATCGTGTCATGTATAGCAAGAAGAGACTTTAATAACGTGGAATTAACGTATTTTATTTTTGTTATTTATTTTCGTGATTAGACGGTAGAGAAGAATCGGCATTTTCGAATCCTGTCAGTTAGTATAATAGCGACTAATACGTTGTGCATTTCAAAATGTTCACGATTTATTATTCGATCTATCTGTCACGTGGTGAGCTATAGTAGATCGCGGATTGTGAATTCGTGAAAAGAAAACATTTTATTTATTTTTTTTTCGTTTTCATTCACACCGCGATTCCGTTTCGATTCGCGTCTATTACTTAAAGATGACCTAATACACGTGCCTGATAATACATCGAGTAAATATCAGAATTTCCAACAAATATCCGTGGGGTTGACAAATATTGGACAAGAGACACCTATACGCCTATATTACTTATACGTATACCTACTGCAGCAGTGTATAATATAATAACGCGCGTTAACAGATTTAACGCTTTACGGTCTACACGCAAACTAAAACGGTCAAACGTATTTTTTATTACGCGCCGACATAACAATGGGCCGCAATAAATCGCCACTGTACAAATAACGCGACGCGTAGAAAACCCACACGTCTATGCCTGAGAAAAAATCAAAAAATCCCGCAAAAATAAACCAATACGCCGATTGTACATAATATTATACACACCGTGAAATTATTGCAATAATTCGATCGTCGTCCGACCTTGGGTTACCGTTTTTCAGTACCTATAGGCCGCTGTCTGTTTGTCTAAAATAATATTATTATGTACGCGTTAACGTTGTTATATAGAAAAACATAAATTATATAGAACAGTGTACAACACGTCGTCGTTACGATTACACGGATTTACACGCGATCAGATTATCGTAATTTTTTTTTAACGCCTTAAAACGTGTTTATCGTATTGGCAAACGATATTGTCGAGGGTTCGCCACCGCCGAGACCGTTGTTCTTGAAAGACAAACCCGCGGTAAACATAGCTGTAGCCCATTTGGTTCCCGTTTTTCTAAAACGGCTCCCATTTTACAAATGGGTGATTTCCAATCGTACAAATACGTCAATTCCCAAACGACTCCTGTTTTTGACAACACAAATTCCTTCTCCATTCATACAGATTTAAGACTATCACAAAAGAGGTGTGCTTAAAAATGCGTTGGTGTTTTAGTAAAAGCAGAGTAAACACATCGATGTTTAAAGTTCAATTAAAAAATCATATGTATGTTTTCGTTCAAACATTTCATTGTTGGAGTTCAGGTTAAAGGTAAATTTTTCAAACGCACTTTTTTCTATACATTCCGTTCGAGTTATTTGATTAGATTAAAATCCATCAATGATGACCCTAACGAGTTATTGGTTTTTTTTTTTTTTTTTTTAATTTGGTGCTAAGAGTATATCCATGTCTACGTCTTATTTGCGCCTCGGATGGTATTTCGGTTAGTATGTCGATAATCTTGAAAATGTTGTGATGAGCGATATTGAATTCGCTATTGATTACTTACTTTATTTTGATGTATACATGACATAGTCGATATGACACGGCTGTTGTCTACGTGGTCGTATCATAATACAGCATTACACGGTAATTGCCGACGGTACAAAATGATATTACGAGAAACACCGTAGTACACTGGTACCTAGATAACTTTTTCATTTGGTGCGTTCATTATTTGCGAACCTCAATTAAAATATTGTCACCGCCTTTTTGTTGTTGAACACCGGAGCCATTTGAGAATTTACGTTAATCGTGAAACCTTTTAGACGGCAGCCGGTAAAAATATGACTTCGATAAAAATATTATTCGACGAAAGTTCGACAATAATTGTTTATCAACCGAATAAGTAAAAAACTTGTCCGAAAAAAAAATCCATATTATAGGTAATAGACAAGACTATATACACGTCCTGTAGTGTTTTAGAAAGACACAATTCAAAATATTTAGATAAAAAAGGGATACTTGTTGTTAGTGGCGTACCTAAGATTTTTCAATTTGGCGGGACCTCAAAATATTAAACTAAATTAAATGTACATAATAATTCATGCGAAATATATTATACATTCATACGTAAAAAAGTTTTTTTTTTGAGGTTATTTCGCAAAATGCTGTAATACAATTATTCGTAAATAAGCACTTAATTGTGTAAATAGTACAAATATACAGTTAAAGAGGTGGATTAGATCCGTCCCAGAACTACCCCAGAGATTACCATCCCAGTTAGGTTGACTCCTGTAAATTTTATTAATTTCTAACTACAAAATAAATTAAAATCTTTCGTATACATTTTTTTTTTTTTTTTACGTATTTATCATACATTTGAACTTTAAACGCACATACAAATAAACAGTTACTATAAACTCTTTATTTTTAAGAGGTCGTTATTAGTACGTTGTTAATAATAATAATTCAAATTAAAAATCAATCTTGATATGTTAAAATTTAAATTCTGAGTATAGCGAAGAAGCTATATTATAATTGTATTAAGATGTGTGCTTTATCTTTCTCTCTCTCTCTCTGGGAAACCAGTTCTTCGGTTAGTAAAAACGCTTTGAGTTTTTCATGTCTAGTATGTTAAATCTTCGAGCATTTTCGAGGATCCAAAAGTAATTTATCAACATAAAACTAAAAACATTAAACATTAAAATTCCTAAATAATTTCAATTTATAATAACTCAAAAAACCTCAGAAAGTTTTGAATATCATACCGCGTCTATACCGACTAAGCACAAACGTATACATAAGTATAAATATCAAGTTTCTACGATCGATTATTATTCACAAATTACAATACCAAAAACTAAATCAAGATTTCTTTTGAACGATTTATATAAATAGACGTCTGTGTTTTTCGATGGAAATTAGGCAGGTCTGAACAAGGTTAGGGTCGATACAAATGAATGTTCCATTGTTTTCCTTTCGGTCTATTATGCACACTGTTCTATATTTTCCATTTCATCGCTGCACATTGTATGAACTTGCATCACCCCTTAATAGAAACTAACCTCGTGTAACGAAATGAAAAACTCTGATATTCTTGTGATACGAAAATCAAGTCGAGGCCTTTAATTTTGTGTTAATGTTACCTTGTTTATTAATTCGGTAATTTATTTTATTTTTACTGATTTTTTCGCGTGACACGCATTATTAAAACATTATTTTTACGTATTTTCGGTTATTAACTGTACTTGCTTTGCTTTTAAACGTTATTTTTATACAATTACAAATATACTGCAGTAAACACGTGTATGCATTAAGTCCAGGTGCACACAATGATAATAATATATCGTTTTCGTATGACGACGGCAAACAAAACGGTGCGACGTCGGTATTAAGTGTGACGATCTGCCAAAGTCGCCCTGTATACGGCTGTTTGGCGAGCGTCGCGAAAGGTGGTGATTTTTCACGGTGTTTGCGCAAACGCCGTGCCGTTCCCCGGGGACCGTCCGGACACCGGCGGTATCGGAAAAGTCCTGCAGATGGCGCGCGCGCTCGCGCCGTTCCCCCAGGTTTTCCCCACCGCGCGCAAACGATTCCGATTAAAAGTGAAAACGCCGGCTATTCCGAGTCACATGTAATTTATCCGTTCGATCGAAATAACTATAATCGGTAATAATATCATAATACCGGGGCTCGCCGTCGGTCGTGCAGGACATTCTCGTTACGGACGTTTTTCGCATTGTAATACATTTCATTGGTACGAGTCTGTATTCCGTCTGTATTCCGTTTCCGAATTTCCGTTTACACACGTCTGAATGCGCCCCGTCGACGGGTAAAATGTGTCAATAACCGGCAAAACTCGATCGAAAGGCCATACCGAGTCGCTGCGTACACCGCTGCTGCTGCTCCCGCTGCTCAATAACATACCAGTGGTCGCCGACGTGAAGTTCCTCCAGACGACATAATGGTAAAATACATATTATTGTCGTTTATTTATACGGTGGTATTTGGTAACAGTATTTTCGGCAGTCGGCCTTGCAAAGTTATCGGGGTAGTATAATGTTTAAATAAAAATATCCGAACACATAATATATTCTAAACATACTTTCGTAATATTTTGAACAGGTTCTTTTTCATAACACATTCGAGTGAACCGTATCGCATAATTACTTTACCCTATAGGAAAATATTGTGTATAAAAAAAAAAAAAAACGATTTAAAAATAATTATAATTAATACATTTTATACTAGTCTGACGGCGTTCCGATTTTCGTTAAATTCGTCCGAAGACGACGCGTAATAATTTCCAAAAATAACACGCACGAGCAGGCGTTTTAAAATTATCTTTTATACCTTTTTTTTTTTTTATATTTTTATATCTTTTATATTATATTTTACAAGTCGGAAGATGTGTATTTTGAACTTTTTTGCGTTCGTTCGTCTATCGTGCTCGTTATTTCCATCCTAAGAACATTGAGCACATGAAATTGGACAAAGTGAAGACGATTGTATTCAGATTAGTACTTGTTCGTAAGTTGTTTTAAACAGAATTTTTAACAAACCCCTGGTTTTCGCCTATATAAATATCAGAAAACCACGTTGTATTGCCTTTATCTAACATCATAAAAAATAAAATGATCGATATAAAATCCATAGCACACGCTTAAAACAAATATATATAACGCATAATAATTATATTGATAACCGGTTAACTCAACGAAATTCACGGTGATATCAGTAACAATTTACCGGTTTAGAATATTATTTTCAATTTTTTTTCTCGTTATCGTACAAAGAGTACACGATTTTTTAATAATTTTCGATTATCGAAAATCGATTTTTTTTTTTTTTTATGCATTTGGGTAATTTAATTCGGTGTCCGATATACAATGGAAATTCCATAATGGGCGACATTTTTCGGGGTGGGTTCGCGTTTTACAAAATTTGACTTGGAATGATCATTTCCGTTTCATGCAGCGCAACTTTCGTCTTCGATGGCCTTTGTTTCATTTGTATTCGACAACCGACAAACTTTTTTTTTTTCCGGAACACCGTTCCACAAAGATTGTGTTTGTAATGTTCAACAGATTTCATTTAACTATATTTTAGATGGGTCAGTACGGACGTACGCGTGTTATACCCAAACACTAATTGATATTGATAATTTTTTCTAAAAACGAAAAGTTAATTCCGTATAATCGAGTTTATGAATTTTGACTAACAATTTTGCGAGAAACGGTCCGCAACAGTTATCGGAACACTGGACCAATTATAATCGTTCGATCCACAATTTTATATGGTATAGTTTTTTTAGTATTTTTTTTTTTGTTCCACGCTGCAGTCGTCTCGAGAAACGTGTTAAAACCGTTATTGTAGAGATTCGGGGGAACGTGCATAGAAAACTTGTCACGTGCACAAACTAAAAAAAAAAAGTTGATATCGCTCACACGTAGGTCACTGTTGTACGTGGGTATTTAGTCGGAAAGGTATAGTGTATAATAATTTATACTATATATATATTATGTATAGGCATTGGTTTACATTATAAAGTAATTTAATTTCTATAGTTAGGCTCTGTGTACAACGATAGATAAAAAAACCCTATTGTGAGCGGAGTAGTATTTAATCGTGTTTTTTAGTAACCTCAGAACGAAACAAAAATACCGTGAGGGCGATTTGTGGAAAAAGTCGATACATTTTTCAAATAAAGTATCGCACATCTTGTGCGAACATGAAAATAAATCAGATTTTTTTTACTAACCATTAAAGTGATTTCATAGTGTAAAAAAAAAAAAAAACAAATTTATGAAAAATTAAAAGCTTTTTCGTTATGTGATTTTCAAAATGTTTTGCTCTTTTCGAGTGGTTCGGACTCGTTAAAGATAGTTCGTAAAATAAGTATTTCGCGTGCGAAATACGAATAGTTAGTACCTAGTAAAATTGTTAACACTAATTCGATTACTTAAAACGCCGGGCATATAGTTTACGAGATTTGTTTCACAAATAGCGTAGCGCCGGATGAAAAACCGGCATTTTTTAACGTATACGGTGTGAATGACCCGAACCATTATTACTAGCTGAAAAAGCATAAATCTTGGTAAAACTTGAATAATATAACTTCTTTGATATACTTGGAATTTAAAAGTATTCGAATATCATTTATTGTACTCAATTAATTTTCCTCAAATACTCAACAATAGTGTTTCGAGTAATAATTATAATAACGACAATATAGACTTATACAGTACCTATGTTATTTTAACCAGTTGGGTATTTAAGGTGGGGGAGATTAGGAAGACATATTTTCGGTCTATTTTAATAGGCCCTACGATTAACTGTTTTTAAATTCAAATTTCTTCACTCTTCATTCAGAAAAATAAAATTTCGTTAGCGTCTAGTTATTTTATTAAAAAGACCAGAACGCGAACACATTTTCTTATATAAAACGAAAGCTATCCGAACCATTATGATACGACGGCGTTTAGGTTAGCCATAAGTACTTAAATAGCAATTAAACTATTAATGTAATTATTAATAAAACTTATAGTTATTCGATTCCAATTATAATGTTAGGGCCGATTTAATTATAAATTACTTACAAAAATGTTTTTCAAAAAAAAACAACCTGTGGGTAGCAAAACTCCGTCACTAGAATTAAAACGACTTGTCCCTGTTGCGATGATTCTTTATTTTTTTTTTCACAAAATTCATCTAAAATAGTTATAGTTGTCAGACTTTTATTAAATTTTAAATCCTTGATACTCATACCATCATGCGCATATAAAATCGCACCCACTTGGTTTCTTTTGGTATGTACAAAACTAAAAAACACCCCGCTACTTCTGCAAAAACATGACGAAATTCAACCAAAATGTTAACGCTTAAATCTGCCTATAAAACAACTCTAATTACCGAGTTTTCAGCTCATACGGTTTAGAGGGTGCCATGAAAAGTTTCCGAAAGTTAAGGGGAAAGCATATGTATGCATACCACTATATTGGTATATTATGCATAGGGCTCGGATTTATATGCTCTAAAAACATAAGAAATATGTATTTATGCTCTTATATTGTTGAAGTATACCATTTAAAATAAAATATATGCACAAAAAATAGATTTTCAGGGAAAAAAAATGTTTTTTAATATTTATTATTTCTATCTTTGTTTTTAAAGTAGGTACAAATAATTGATTTGTAATGGTATTTTCGAAATTGATCAATCTGAAAAGCAATACGTAAAATGTTTTTTTTTTCAAATAAAAAATATGCACACAACAAATATGATTTAAAAAAAAAGTTATTTTATTTTTACTATTTCTATTATTATTTTTAAACTAATATAACTATAACCAAAATATTGCATATTATTATGCATTTAAAAACTATTTTTATGCAATGAAAAATCGTAACATATAGGAATATGCACTATGTGTCAAAGAAAAATAAAATATGCAAAAATATGCAAAATAAAACATTGTATTTCAGTTCCATTGACTATAGTTCAAACTTGTAGCGTATCCAGCTACTTTCTGGATCGTCTAAAAAAAAAACATGCTAATGCTTGTATGCATCCGGGCCTGCAACAGGCACAATATACAATGCAAAAGTCTTCTATTTTCAGGGAAAATTCGAGAATTGATAATTAATAATCGATTTTTCTTTTGCTTTTAGCCTAGGTACATGTTATACATTATGCGACACAATTTCCAAATTCAGTGTATCTCTTTGGCAAAATCTTGATAGATACACCTCCGATTTTCGAGGTTTTTTTTTTTTTTGCTTTCGATTTTCGCGAATTTCCCCGTTCATTATTACCTACTTCGTAGACGCGCCGTTATCGGCCATCATCGCCGCCGACACGATTTTCACAGACTACCTATACATTTTTTTTATAATCACTTTTAATGACGATCTTATATAGGCACCTGCGAATTATTATTACACAGCTAGTGGGCCACATCGACGTAGTTGACAGCCGACGAACAATCGATACGGTTACCTCATCAGGAAAAAAAAAATCACCTAAATACGAGCCTTACATAATTAGGTATTATAGGTATTTTATTTTCGTATCGTTATGGAACGTGTTTGATTTATATAAATTTTTGCAAACGACATTGGCTGCGATTGTTCGACGACGGTGGACGTCGTCATCGTTTTCTCGCAGCAGCCCCCTCCCCCCCGCCAAAAAAAAAAAAACAAAACCAAAACAAAACAAAACACTTTACTGCCGCCCGAAAACCTACGCGCGCCGATGTTTAGTCCTTATAATAATATAATATTGTGTATTGTCACACGGACGGACAGACAGACGGACAGCGACAGTTAGACAGACAACACTAATAATAATTCCGGTTTTAATCATACTAGTCGCAGTTTTGGTTCTCGTTCTGCACCGGAACACACCGGTGTAGTGTATTATTACATAGTTAACCGTGACTATAAATAATATAGGTGCCTACGAGCAAAACTCGAAATCGATTATTATAATATCGCAGTGCCATTCACGTCGTTTTTTTTCATAACATCATCGTCTTTATGTTTCGAATATGACGATAGTATAATGATAACGGTAATAGAGGTATGTTAAACGTGTGATTTTTTTTTTGAAATCGTCAATAATATTATATTATTGTACTACCCGGTGTCGTGTTGTCACGTCACCGCGTTTTCGGTTCAACGAGGATTCAAATTGATAGCGGGTAACTGCAACTGCCTACGTGATGAATGGTATTTATTGTCGCGATTCGTCAACGGTACGCGAGCGAAAATTTTCATTTTTGCACATTGCGCGTGATGATTGCGTCCATCGAGATACGTCGAGACGATTTCGGAACATATTGAAATTAGGCTTATGCTGTGTTGCAACAGTGATGTGAGATACATCGATCCGAACGCCGGGTCGGGACCCTGACCACACATGATCGGATAAATATTTCTTTTTAATTCCCCGTTAACGTTAAATATTAATCCTTTAATCGGATTTTCCGAGTTTATTTTTTCCGCTGTAATTAAAAATGTAAAAATATTATTTTCACATAGTATTTCTACTGGTTCAAACAACTTTAATACCTGCCAAAGAAAAACTATTAAAAAAAAAAAACTCGCAAGTGTAAAATACTTAAAAATGGCTCAAAAATCGCCAGAATAAATGAATGTACACAAGACACAACTTTTTGTCATTGTTAAATTTCACTGAACCAGTAATTCGGAAACTTATTGAAAAGAAATCACAGCGTAACTAAAACGTATAAACATCATAAAAAACAACATAAAAATTTTTTTAAGATTCGTCGACAATTGTAATGATAATACAATTAATAAATGTTGATAAACGTGCACGATACGCGTAAAAATCGTTTAAATACTGTACGAATCAATAATATAATAGTTATCGTATATAATTTGAATTTATTAAAATAATTTATAACATTTTTACAATTCAAAAAATATTGTGCGTTTATGTTATACATGCAGATTTCCAGATATTTCTAATAACATTATTGTTTCGCCCGCAGGAAAACTTTTGCCGCGGTCTGTTGATCGGTTGCATCCTTGTGGCGATGGTGCGGTGCGATTCGGAAGACGCAGTCCGGCAACAGCAAACTGCGGCCGCAGCCTCCCCGAGATCCGGCGAATACGAAGACGATATCGCCGCCGCCGAAGATCACGAGTAAGTTTGAACGATATAATTATTACGGAAATCGCCGTTCCTCCAGCTAAAAAAGAAAAAAAAAAATCGAGTTACTCGCCTCGACATTAAATACAGGAGGGTCCATTTATCACGAACCGGAGATTTTCCAGGATTTTAAATTTTAATTGGATTTGATTCAACAGTATTTTAAATTTTAGATTCTGAGCGGAGCGCGAGGAATTTATTTTTTTTACAATTGATGTTTATTATTTTTTTTATATTCTGTGAATAACTTTTTTACCAGCAATTTTACTCCGATTTTCAAGTGTAACGCCTTTTCTAAAAAGAAATTTGACTGGAATGGTACTTTAAGGAGGTCATTTTCTGATGTTCCAATAATAATTTTTCATAATAAATTGGAAAAATCGGAAATAAACAACGTAGGAAAAACGGAAAAATTTACGAAATATATTATTTTCATATCGTACATATGTACGGCCTTCAAAAACATCTATATAACCGAACTACGCTCAGAATCGTTTTTCGTTAGCAACGATTATTCGCTGCGTACAGATACAAATTAAATTTCCGCGCTACCTTGCCAACTTCTCACCAACAACAGAGACCCGCTCATCGTGCGAAATAAGTCCGTTTGTTTTTATCCCTAATCCTTAAATACCTTAAACAAATCGGTGTAAAAGTAAAGCTGAAACGAAATGATAATACACAGGTGGAAAAACAAAAATCGAATTTCCTCTGGAAAACCACTGGCCCGTGTTAAATAGATCGTCCGGTATAATTCAGTTCAAATAATTATGAAAACAAAATACGCCAATATCGCTTTTTTTTTTTTTTCCTCATATACTATAATATTCCTAACCATAACACCACCGTATCGATACAAATACGACCCGTTCTCATCACGATAATACATCGTCACTTTAAATTCAACAGCGCGTATCTCAAAGTTTGATAAAATGAAATTATTGTCGACATTAATAAGACAGTTTTTCCGTACATTTTTTGTTCCGTAGTTTTTGCCGAATTTCCCCCGAAAATGGATATGCCATCACATTGTGTTGTGCCCCGCTGTGTGTATACCTTTGCCCCGGTACTTTTCGGACACTTTTAGCCGCTCTCTTTTGACCAAATGCGCTTTAGATCCGAAATTAGAGTTTTTATATCGGGTTGAAGTGATGATAATATTACGTTGTTTAAATTTCAATATGAATTTCACCATGTCGTTAACGGGAAACGTGTGTTTTAAGCTTTTAGCAACAAACGAAAGATCGTATAACACATGATATGCGTGGTGTAAGTATCAAGGATGTGCCTTTTAGGGTTTCAACTTTCAACCCACACCCCAATCATTTGTACGTTCAGATTTCATGTTTCAGCAGAAAATATTGGGTTTTAATATCGCTACAGACTGAAATTTAATGAAAATGGCAATCATCACTATAATAGATTAATTAAAAAAATTAAAAAAGAAAAAATGGAATATGATAATACCGACAAGTCGGCTGCGGAAAAATTATATTCTGGAGATGGAACCCTGCTGCTTACGGGTTTTTTTTTTTTTTTTTGTCCGTTAAATCAGTTTTGTTGTAAGTTAGTGAAAAGTATTGCCAGTGACTTGAAATCCCTTCTATGAACACTTCTACGATTCTTGATCAACGGGTCTAATGCACCAGTTAGACAAAGTTATCCACCGAAAATCGGGTGTCGAGAAGTCATTAAAAATGTAATTTTATTATTAACACTTTTATTTGTTTATTTTTGTAAAAAAATCTCTCGGGGAAGTCGATGGCCCCTATTGACCGCCCTCAAATGCGTCACTGATTAAATCGGTAACATAATGTTTCGCTAATCGTCCTGTACAACGCGAAAACCTTGAGATACGCACTGTTGCGGTGTTAGCGACGATACGCGAAATTATCCGACGAAAACCGAGAAAAAAAAAAAAAAAATCCCGAAAATGCGCCACGGTTGAAAGATAATATTGTGTGATGATTGTGTACGAATACCAATGTCTTTTAACGCGGTCGCGGTGTACGCGTATTGTTCGCTTTTTGTTTTCCGAGCAGACACCACCGGATCATCATCGTGGTGCCCAAAGAAGTGCCGCACCACGTCAATCACGTGCACACGTACAAGTTGGCCGACAAGGGAATACCGCTGATCCACTCCGGTAAGGTGGTGCACGACCACAAGCATTCCGGCAAGGTGGCGCACGAGCACGGCCACGTGGGCAAATCGACGCACAACCACAAGCACGCGGGCGCGTACGGTCACAACCACAAGCACAACGGGTACCTGGGGCACAAACACTTCGGCAAGGTGGACGCGCACGGCGGCGGCAAGTACTACCAGTCGCCGCAGTACCAGCAGTCGCCGGTCGAACACCAGACGTTGGTGAGACAAGGACACAAGCTGCAACACAATCAGCAGGTGCACGCCACCGACTACCTGTCGCACCAACAGGCCGGCGGCTTCGGGCAACTGAAGTCGGCTCGCCGACCCGTCTCCGGTCAGGTGCACTTCGTGCCGTCGTCGCAGCCGCAGGGCCTGGGCTCGTTTATGCCGTCCGAGATCCAAACTTTCGTGGACGGCCGACACGGCGGCATCGTAGGCGGCGCGATCGTCCAACAGCAGCAGCAGCACCAGTACGTGGCCGCCGAAGATGACGTCGTCCAGACCGCCGGCGGCCCGCCGGCCGAGTACAACGTTATACACCTGCGGGTGCCCGACCAGAACGGGCCCAACGTGATCAAGCACGTGGACATCGACCTGGCCAACAACGTGGCCAAATTGCAGACTGCCGACAAGTTTCAACCCATCCACGCCAACTATAATAAGGTTGGTTACACGCGGTTTAGTAATAAATTAACGCGCCAATAATAATAACGCGACTTCAAAAAGTTAAGTCAAATTAAAACATTTTTTTTTTTTTTTTTTAACTTTTTGACTTCGTTACGTTACTTTTGTCCTAAAAAATCTAAAAAATATATAATCGTTAAATCTTAATTTTTGATGGGAGTTTTAGTTTCTTTCCTCAGAATACTTTTACTGTCTGAAAATGTAAATTTCGGACCAAGGACATTTTGCTTTTAGCCTATACTGTATACAAATATAAACTCGATTTTTTTAACGCACATTTTCATAAAACGTTCAGTCGCGGACGAATGATCGAATTGATAGAAAAAAAAAAAAAGAAAAAAAAAATGTTTTAACATGGTCGCGTTACTTTTTTTTTATTAACTTTTAACCGAACGAATTCGGACTTTGTGTTTTTTGTCGACATCAAGTATTATTTCGAACCGAAAAGCTTTGACGATTAACATTTAGCCGTTTGGATATTTCTGACCGAAAAAACCGATGGAAATATTTGTCGGTCGTTTTCGTCTCGTTATATTGTCGTCTGCTCGTCATATGTTTTACTGCACGCGCGAAAAAAAAAAAAAACAATTCACGAGCGCAGGTTCAAACAGCTACAATCGGGTTTTCATTATTATTATTTTCGCAACGAGCGATAGAAATCTAGGTTCTTTTATTTTCGTTGTGCATTCACAGTTGTGGTTGATCTACGACAGAACGTTCAGCCAAACACCGACTTGGGCGTTTTTAATCGCATACATAATGTGCGTGGCGGCGGGCAGTCCTATCCCGCAAATCTCTGCGCATTTTTCCGACCGTGTTTCATTATATTGTGATTTTCTGACAAATTTCTAGACAGGTTTCCGGAACAAAACATCACTAAACAGCTCAATTACACAACGTATACGCGATCATTGCAAACAAATGTCTGAAATTGCATAATTATGCAACTGCAGATACATTGTACGCGTTAAATTCGTAAACAAATTCTGAAATTTCGAGGAGAGGAGATTAGCACCCCGAAAACTCCTAACGCCTCCTGGTCGCCCCGCTACCTATATTGGTAACTAATTTTTTAGCCCGTTTTCTAAACGTAACCATTATTTTATTTCAAATTTCTAATTCGTGTCCATTTTTGAGAAGTATTCTTTATACATTTTTTTTTTTTTTTTTTTTAAATTTCATAATACTTTTATAATAATTAGTTTTAATAATTCATTGGGATATTAAAAATATCGCATTTTCACATTTTTTTCGAAACATTTTTACATATATTTGTATTAATAGTTTTCACATTTTTCTAACCGCACTACTGAGTGATTCTTTTATCATGAACCACCAATTTTCTCTGAGAATTTTCAGTGCATTTGATTTCGGATTTTATTTATTTATTTTTTTATTATTATTTAACCGTTTAAGCTTTATTTTAACACCATTTTCAACTATTTACCCCTACTTCTTATATCTTAAATAAGTATTTACTTTTGTATTTTCAAATAGCCTCCCCTCTGTTTAACGCAGGCTCGAATAACTCATCCGCTTTATTCCTACTCATCAACCTACTCATCTGCTCTAAACTTTAAACTTTGAATTGTTATAATTCATAAACGGTAAATCTGACACTAGTGTTATGCATTTCAAAATGTTAAGGAAAATATTGTCTACTCGAATCTGTGTTCAAAAAAGGAGATTCCTATTTGAAAAACAAAAGCATATACTAATTTAAGGTATAATATAGAGTGGTGATAAACATTAAAAATGTTTTAAAAATAAAGGTTAAACAATTCCACAATGATTACTGATAGAGCATTAAATTCACTTAAAATCACCCTGTACACTAAAACCGAAATGATTAAGGTTTTTTTAGAAAGAAACAGATTCATAATATTTTCATTTTATACTCAATGGATTGCAGTCGTTATCAACCTTTTTTTTGTGATGACATTTAGATCTATAAAAATGACGACACGCTTAAAACAATTTATGTAATTAAAATGATAAGCAAAAAAAAAAGATAATCAATCTTGAGATCCAGCCCTGTTCGAGTAATGTCGATTTCCTAGTTTTTCTTATCATATATGTCATATATTTATACTTTGAAAACATACAGTATAAACCGTAAATAAACAATTTTTCGCCGACATACATGACAATAGTACGCGACACACCGGTTGACAATCACTACAATAGAATATAAATTGTGTTTTACGATTCAAAATAATGCTTAAGTTTTTTTTATAACCATCTCGAAAAAAACGCAATCAAAAACAGTGCTTGTGCTTAACGCTTGACACGCTAGAAAAAATATATCGATATGTTATTTAAAATAAAAAATTATTAAATAGGTAGAGAAACGTGCGATATTTGCAGTATAAAACCGCTAATTCAAAATAGCGCAGCCATGTTCTATGTCTCAACAATTATTAGTAAATACGTAAATAATAGACGACAATATTAAATATATTATAAGACTACCGAACGATTGAAAACGTTACACCTTTTCGCCGACCAATTGAAAACACTTAAAATTCACAATTTACATTTTCCAAAACGTCTCCTGTTAAATATCAGATAAAAATCCCTTTACCCACTTCTTAGTAAGCGCTCCGAACTCAACCTGTAAAACAAATTGCTGCTATACAAAATCCTCCTGAAGCCAATATGTGTCTACAGAGTTCAATTATGGGGCGTGGCAAAAAAATCGAATACTTACAGAATACAAAAGTTATCGCTACGCTAACACGTCCTTCCTCTACGTATCGAATTATATGCTACACTCAAACCTAGGAATACCTCTTAGACCTCTTCACTTGAGAAGCACTCAAATGTTTGCCCTAAGTACGGTAAACATATCTAGAAATTCTCTGAAAAAGCTTCAGAGGTGTCGGGATTTGGATTAAAGTAAATTTAAATAGTTAAAAAAAATGAAAACCTAATCTTAATATCCTAATATAATATTATAAGCATGAAAAGTTAAGTTTTCACGTTTAAATCAATGAACAAATTTTTATGAATTTATCTATCCCGTAGTATAGAGATAGATGGAAACTTGGAGTAATACATAGAATACTTTTTGTCACGAAAATAAAACTTGAGGGGATGAAAGATTTTTAGGTATTATTGGTATGAAAATTATTTTTGTTGAACTGTGAATTACCTAAGTAACACGGATGAATAATAAATAAAAATGGCATAACTATAACAACTTAAAATAAAGTCTATCTGACTGACTGCCGGTTTATTGGCTTGTATTAAGATGAGCTACCTTGGTAACACGGGTGAGGAAAACAAAAAACTAAGCGCTGTACTGGATGGGCGAATGAAAAATGAAAACGCGTAAAAACGTGAATCTTTGTAGTTTTTGGTCAAATAACAACACTACAGTCCTATTATGTCCTCGTAATATTTTTAAAGTTATTAAGTGGATATTATATAGTTTAATTTCTGTGCTGTGCGGGGATATCTATAGTAACACGAATGAAAAAATGAATGACACACTAGAACACTTTAGTCCGGACTAGCCACTTTTCGCCTATTTTTTTTTCGTTCAATATACTGGTAGGGGCAAAGCAAAATGGGAACAAAGGTAAAAAGAATAGCTAATTGGAACGGTCCAGTCAATGCCGGGCACGGGATAGCTAGTAATAATAAAAAAATTAGAATTCACAAAAAAAAAAAAATATCACGTCGAGTGTTACTTCATTTCAAATTGCATGCCAATACAAATAGTTAAGGCCGTAATATGCTTATTATAACCATAATTACGTTTTGTACATATTCAAATAAGTTAATATAAAAAAAAAAAAAAAGACTTTTATCCATACCCTACAATAATAATATTAGTATTATTATTATATGTTAACTAGACCAGTATCGAATATCGTGTTCAATCGGACGATTAAAAATAATTTGAACTATCTCTCAACCAACATTTTGACGCTCGTTTTCAGTTACGTTATATTATTTTAGTCTGTAATTTGAAATATTGGTTATCTTCCCCAACACTGATTATGTCAAAGCCAATCGGGAAATGTCACGGGACCGACGTTCCCATTTTTTTTGCTCGCTGGTTTTAGTATCGGATTTACTCACTTGATCGACTCCTCCGCGTGACTTGTTGGTAATTTTTTATTTTTTGGAAAGTTTTCTGTCTTCTTTTTTTTTTTTTTTTCTAAATGAATCCGGTTATTTATTTAAATTGTATTTTTACACAGTCTCGGACACGAGTCCTACCTAACCGCAGGTACTTTTGAGTTGCGTTGTGCACATTATGAGTGTAGGTAATAACGGACAAGTTGAGAATACATTTTTTCCAAATTTTTATTCGGTCGTACGCAATAAATAGAATTTGTTGTTTTTTTTTTTAAAGTAAATATAATTTTTTTCCTATTGAGTTTTTTTTTTTTGTTTCCCGGTTGCTTAGTTAATTTTGTTTTTATTTCAGCGTACGCCAAATTCGTTTCGTCCCGAACGTTTTCCAAGTCACTCTACGCACAGCTTTCAGATAATGCATTAGAAAAAATAAAATAAAAAATGCATTCCCTGTGCGATGGAAGCGACCGTGTTTTAGCGAACCGCCGATATCCACACGATAGTCCGTCACACACGATGTTGTTTATCAGTGCGTCAGTATACATTATGTAGTGTAGTACCAATATATATTTTCTAGCTGCCTCTTTAGTTTTTTTAATCAATTTTTTGTTTTTGTTTTTGTTTTTTTTTTTTTTTTAATGCAGTAAACATTATTTTTTACGTCTTATTTGTTTGTTGTTGATGATTTTTTTCTTCCCCTTCCCCTCCCCCCCCTTGTTAGATAGCTTAGTCGATTCGCTTCAACGCGTTTACTACCGCATGCGTCTATACTAATGTGGTTTCGGACGTCCGTAGATTGATAATAATAATAATAATATGTCTGAAGTAATGTCAAGAGTGACGGATTCTATATATTTTACGTACTAGACGAATGTGAATATAATTAAACTACAATACAAACATGTCAACTCAGGAAGGGAAAAATTAAAGAAATGGTGTGCACTGTTGTATGTATTTGAGGGGGAGGGTAATAAGTAAAGATATTTAAAAAATTACGCGTATTATTAATAACCAATGTTGTATAAACATAAGAATTAATTGTGGATAAGATAAGGTACATTAATAGTTAAATTATCTAGACAGAGATAAGTGATTAACAACTTTTATACAGATAAAAAATAAATAACCTATCATGAAATCATGTGCTAAAGGTATTAAAAGTACTGGTGCCCTTTTGGACGCTGTTGGTAAACATTTAGTTTTCAAAAAAGTCATGTCAATGCTGCTTCATAGTACATTAAACTAAATGTATTAAACCATAAGTATACATTTATTATTCAATTATTTATCTCAGATAATGGTCCAGATAACTTATTTTTTATTTATCGTGATCAGACAAAATATACGAATAATACTATCTAAATAATTTATGTATAGCTAAAATAAAACGTTGTATAATAACGTGTTCGTTTTTGAAAAATAGACGAAAATATTTTTATATCTACTATATTATTTTTAATACACATCCTGCATATACATCCTGTATATTTAAAAAAAAAAAAAAACAATTTTTGTTTTTCGTGTATTTCGTAATCGACCGAATTGTGTGTTTTATTCTAATTAATAAATATATATTGAATTTATTTAATAGTTTGAAAAAAATAATTTTGTATAATTCAATAATAAGTGAAGTGTATATTCTTTCTTCGATTTGATTTTAATTAAACAATTTCTATTCGTTTTTTTTTCCGATCGCAATATACCTAAATAAAAAACCTTCAACCTTGATTATATATTTAAAAACAGAAAAATCAAACTATTTTTTTTTTTTTAAGACAACTCACGACTAGATAGTATATAGACTAAACCGAAAATATTATATTTTCCTAAACGTGTTTGAAATTCGAATACTATATACATTATAAATACTTGTAGTGTATACTATCAAAAATGGGAGAAACTATAGATATAGTATAGATACTTAACAGATTATGATAACTTTTTTTTGTCGGATTCCTTTTCGTTGCCGGAAGATTATTGGTTATTGTTTGCCTCATGAATTGCGTCCTGACGGCAATATTTAACCACTACACAAATTGCGTCCCAATGTAAATTAATCATTTTCCTTCCCATTTTATACAGACTTAAGACGGTTAACAGCAACTTATCATTATTGGTGGGTTAAAAATATTGGTTTTAGTCGTTGTTGTTCAATTAAAAGTTCAAATCTTTTACCATGAACATGTCATCCACACAGCAGAATAGTCACCGCAATAAAGGTTTTTTTTATGTTATAGAAATGTAATATACTAATATGTTATCATTATAATAAAAACAAAATTAAAAGATTAGTTAAGTTAGTAACCCTATTAATATAATCCAGACGAGTTAACTGGCTGTTTTCATATTTTGTTTCATAAAAAAAAAAAAAAAAAACTTTTACATTACCTTCAGTTTGTTTTTAATTAAGTACATGGATATTGCGTTGTTTAATACATATTAATTTGTGTACATTTGTTGACACATCAATGAGTTTGAAGATATTCGGGTTTGTTGAGTAAAACATACTGTTATATTTGAAGTGGAAGGCTTCTGAAAATCTCAATTATTTGCAGTTCGAGTAGTAATTGAATAAATGCTTACACAGAAGGCGGGAAGTCACAATTGTTAGGGTTTACGTATGTATTTAATATATAATCTGAAAATTGTAGATTATGTAAATGAGGTTAATTTTCTGGCAGTTTTGGAATTGTAGATGATCAGGCGTGATGTATAGTATCACGGATTAAGGTTAAAAATCGTATGCTGTCAATGTTGTAAAACCGTTTGATAATGAGATCAATTAATAAGTTTCAATGGCTTATTGTAAAGTTCTTCTACGGCCTTTCGTTTTAAAATATTGCTCAGTTTTGGTCTATTAAATAGTTCAATAGAATTTTTAATATAATTATGAACATTTGCACGTTTTATAGTGGCATTTTAGATTCAGAGCGAAGCGAGGAATATATTGGTTTCACAATGATGTTTATTTTTATTTATTTATGCGAACACTTTCTTCCGGAATTTTATCTTGTATGTGTAGTTTAGAGTAATTATTTAAAAGCCTTTTTTTTTTAAACTTTCAACTCGAGTTATTATATTCCTCAAAATTTGTACCTAACTTGTACTAACTTGGTTTTTCGAACTCGTGTTTCTCTAAAATTCACTTTATGATAGATCACTTAACTTAACATGTGATTTGAAAAAAAAAAAAAGCGAGCAAACTCGCCAGGCGTATATAAAATGATTTAGAAACACCGTGCGCGGAAGCGTATAGATGCGGGCATATCATCGTGGGTCCCGAGTTTCTAAAATAATTAAGTTTTAAATAACACGTTTGAAACTATATATTGTGTTGTACGGCCGGGAGAGTTTTCGTGATTTTCTTCTACGCAGGAGGTGTAGGTTGCAATATTTTTGACAATTTCGCGAGGGCGTTCAGGCAACTACATAGGAAATTGTCAAATCCTGCAGATATACACACTATATACACGTGTAGGAGCGAAACGCTTGTCGGAAAATTCAATGTAAAATATAATGACCACAGCCGCTGTGCTGCACAGACTTGGCCGGGTGACAACACGTTTCACGCGTGTGAATCGGACAAAATTGGTCAGTCGATCGTATTTATAGGTGTACCTCGCCTATCGTTTTTGCTGCGGCGATAACAACATACAATTATTATTATATTTTTACGGCGACGGCGATAACCCCGCACGAAAGCAAAAAAAAACCGCAACTCCCGATTTCGATTTCCGTATACCTATAACCGTTTCGCTTGTGGGGAGAGAGAGAAAAAAGAAAAGAAATCGCCCGTAAATTATCCCATACGTCGTCGTAATATAATAACGATAGTAATAATGTAATGGTCGCGGCCGGTAACGTGTAAGTGTGAGGAAGATAACCGCAATGTTTTTGTCTGGATAAAAGATAACAAGCATAATGGATGAATTAATCGGCCGTCCGAGACACAAAATAATGCGCCATTTTCGATAAAACGAGATTATTTATCGTGCACTTCGTTTCTCTGAAGACGGATCATTCACGTGTTCCGCACAGAAACTACGTAAGACACTAGCCTTTAGGGTTGATGGCGCTGAATAAAAATATTATTTGTTTAAGAGGAAAAAATTTAGTCGATTCAAAATATATTATTGTTTAATATTTAGAATAATATGTATAATAGGTAAAAAAAAAAAAAAAATGTTCGAAGATGATAATAAAATTACGAGTTAATTACTAGTTACTATGGGTATTACGCTAATACCTATACTTACAATATACCTATTCCGAGTCCCGTTAAAACAGCTCCGTAAACTGTTGGTTTTATAATCTACCGGTTCTGTGAAATTACAATGATCGAAAAGATTACGTTTCGCGAAATTCTTTTAGTATTAAACATCCGTGAAAATTATGTTAGGTGTTTACGGTTAATGGTTAGCAGTTATAACCATTAGGTGTAAAAAAAAACTTCGCTCAGAATTAATAATATATTCTGAGCGAAGTTTTACTGCCTATGTATTTGTGTGTGTGTGTGTGTGTGTGTTTACATCAGTAAACAACTTTTTTACCAGATAACTTTCTCGGTATTATATTACACGGTTTTTGATGGCGCATTGAGGAAGTAATTTTTTGTTGTTCCTTATAATTGTAATAATACATAGGAAAAACTGTTCATTTCTGGGTCACCTTGGTAACAAAGAAACAAATATGACCGATACTACTCTGTTCAGAAGACTTTCCCCATAAAACAGTAATAAGTATGGGCAGTGTTTTTTAATTTGTATTTATTTTTGAACAAAGATATCAAGAATCCAGCATCTAAACTGTCCGTACCATCCGTTTCTAGTTTTTATAGAATATTATTTATAATATGTTTGTTCCGTTCATGACAAGTATGAATATTAAATGGATATTTTTAAATGCTAAAAAAATAAATATAATTCTATCTAAACAGCGGCGGAAAAATGATCAACTTTACGTGTGGTATTTCTTGACTTTTAAACATTTAGCGAACATATTATTACGTACAGCCGATACCTAATCGGGAAACGAGGACGGGGGGGGGGATGGGAGGAGGAATTTAATATCATAATACAAATATAAACTTTCTTTTTTTTTTTCTCTGTGTATGCGTGTACACCCAGGCGGTAGCGCAATACAACAAGGTGATCGGACACGGGCGCGCGAAGCAACCGACGGCCGAAGACGAACTGTTCGACACGGCGAACGATGACGAAGACGTGGGCGGCGGCGGCGGCGGCGGCGGCGGCGGCGGTGCCGCTGGTGGCGGTGGCGGTAGCGGTGGTTACGGGGTCGGCGACGGCGAGCTATCTCTGGAAGAGGGCGGCGGCTACGGCGGCTATCGGTTCGGCGAGGGCTACAGGCTGGCCATGGGTTCGGCGGCGGACGGCCGCGGATTTTTGCCGTCCCGAGGCCTGGACGACGACGAGGCGGACGAGTTCAGAGAGTCGCCGGACAGTGCCGATTACTCGGTCGAGAGCAGGGCCTACAGCCCTTACTTGAACTTCTGATCCGACGCGACCGCGGTTGACAGGTAAAAATAGTATCTCCGTTCGTCGACGGTTATTAGTAGAACAATGTTATAGTATTGATTATATTAACATTATTTTTTTTATACTTAGTTTTCCGTTCAATTTTTTTTTTTTTTACGCGTATATAAATTATTATTTCTTTCATTGTCATAATATACGTATTGTTGTTTTTTATTTTATACATATATATATATATATTTTTTTTTTTTTTGAAGTAATATATAAAAAGTTTTATAATAACTAAAAGAGCGTTCATAATTGCTTCTCCTCTTATTTGTAAAAAACCAACAGGGTTTCAGACTAAAATGTCAATTTCCACTAATGTTCTATTATATCATTCAAAAATACTTAAAGCCTTTGATAAGGTTCAACATCACCAACTTCTCAAAAAAATATCTACATTTGGAATTCATCGAAATTTTTTAAATTGATTATGGTCCTATTTAGCTTGTCGGACTCGAGCAGTAAAAGTGTCACATTGTATCTCCACCTAGTACTCAGTTAGTTCTGGTGTACTTCAGGGTTCCCATTTAGGTCACCTTTTACCCAATAACTTACCCTTTATATTTGATAACACGGTCGATATTCGTTTTAATTAGATTATTGGATTTTGTATTGATGCAGCCCCATCGACATCGGAATCCGGCAGTCCGGAAGACATAAATAATGACGATAAGTGCTACGAAATATTAGACCGCGTTGATGTTAAAAATGCAATAAACGATAACCGCATCGTACGCCGACCGCTGAAAGCATGGACATGGCATGTACAGATGCGGTTAGGTAGGTAGGTGGGTGGGTGGGTCCCCCCTGGCGGCGTCGGATATGGTGTTGGAAATATAATAAAATTATATTTATTTAAAATTTGCTAAGGATAGTATGGAAAAAAAATACAAACTATAATAATACAATATTGTTCGAAACGATGTTCCAATGAACTAATAAAGAGAAAAAAAAACAACGGATTCAATTTTTTAATATAAGACTTAAGAAACGGTGCGGCTTCCCAACGGTAAGTGCGTAATCGATCGGCGAAAAGACTATCGTTACATATCGATAAATAATTATTCGTTAACATTATAATTGGCGGGCCTTGTAAAGGTTGATCTCCTTTATATTTAACGTGAACCCGTGTGGTATCCCCCCCTAATAACTCCTTCATATTTTCAATGTGGTGTTGTTCGTAATTTGGTTCGTTCCAAATAACCAACCTTTTTCCCGCCCTGGTGGCCCAAGTGAAATTGTTATTTTTATTCGCCGTGCCGAACATACCGTAATTTAAGAAATACGAGGCGACGGCGTCAAAAAAAAAAAAAAAAAAATTCTTCCCCGCAGACGGCGGACTATAGATACACATCGAATTAAATTTAGGAATTTTGTTTTATCGATAATATAATATAAAGTCGTAAGAAAATCAACAATACGATTTGTATTATTTTGAAATCGGTATGACAATAATTCGTTAGCGATATCTACCGATTTTTCTACGGCGAAATATAAATTGGAAAACGATCGTGAATAAGCGTTGAAATACGGTTTTACACCGATACATACGACGTATTGTAATACGTATTAAAATCGAAAATGTCCCGACCGTACACCAGTTTCTTAATTTAATGCGAACGATTTTATCGGCCTCGTCGTATTTATTCAATACGGGGTTTAAATAAAACTCTTTTATATTTACAAATGCCCGATGGTGGGCAATATAGTTGGATAATATTTAAATAGGTCGTCGAATGTCATTGGAAAATCGACGTTGACGTTGTTTCCGTTTTCCGATTTGATTGTTGGCTTACGAGCTCCAATATGCCCCCGGCTACCCGCATCGCTCCGTCGAAACGCGGACTGTGAGACGAGAACGTCCCGAGGGCCCTGGTGGAAGCATGCCTCCCACCAGTCCTTTTTTGGCGCATACTGGATCTCGGTTTTGCTAAAATAATCGTAAGTTTTTTTATTATAAATACAAATAGGACTTAACGTTTTTATGAACACTTACGGAAAGATTTCTAATTTGATTACATAATCCGACATATCGGCACGGTCGCTGTACACTTCTTTTGCGACGTGTCGGTCTGAACGGAAATATCTAACGATGTTGGTCCAGTCATCGGAGTCGAGGTTGCACGCATAAACGCGTCTTCGAAAGCGGCGGCGTTTATATTGTCGGAAATAGCGACTTCGCTGGAGCCAGGCGCAACGACAAGCGTTGCTTGTCTGGCGACAGACGTGGGCGACGTGGACACGATCGCCGTGTTCGCAGACGACGACGAACTCTTTACGGACAACGTATCGGAGATGGGCGCCGAGTTCTTCTGATTCGTCGAACAGTCCACATGTATAACTCCGACGAATCGGACGTCGAACGCGGCGAAAGTAGCAATAAAAAGAAATATTCACCAAGCCCAACAAAATCTGGAATTACGTTGTACGGCTCCGATACCGAAACGGATGAAAAAATCGAAATCGGTTCGCCAGGAATTGTCCGATCCGAAACTAGTGAAGACGAATTTGGATGCTCAGATGACGACAACAAAAACGATGGACAAAGGGGCCCAACGGACCCAGGAGATGTTGACTCACCCTTTTACGCGCTTGGCGCAATGGGTGAAAATGAATCTCTCGCAAAGTTTGCGGGATTCGATGAATTTTTTCGACACGATGGAAATCATATACAATCTGACCCCCAGGACAGCGATACCTGTATCCTGCATGAGTTGGATTCTTAACCCCCCACCATAAATTCATACATTTTGACTCGTGAGAATACCAGCACGTTCACAACAAAATCATTATTCGTCTCACAGTCGTAGCATCAAGTCGTCTAACTCATTTCTCTAAATACAAATTTTTAGCGTTTAAAATATTTTTACAAGTTATTAAATATGTCGTTCAAAAAGTAGGAATGCGTCGCACCGGTATCACCTCCGGATCTCACCGAATGTTCATCGTTCACTATCGACTCGGGGGCCAAAATCTCCGTAATTCCGCCGGGAAACGGCCCGCGCGACGTTTCCGACCTGTTGCTAACCGCCGCGAATGGCACGCGTATCGCGACCTACGGACCACGGGAGTTGCACGTCAACCTCGGCCTCGCCCGCGAATTCGTGTGGACGTTCGAGAGAGCAGACGTTGCTCGTCCGATTATTGGCGCTGATTATCTCCACCATTTTGGTCTGCTGGTCGACGTACGACGTAAACGACTGATCGACCAAGTAACCAGCAAATTCGTCGTCGCCATCAATGCCGTGAAATGCATCCCTTTACCGCTCAAGTGAACGGAGATTCTGAAAGATTTTCTGGACGTCACGCGTGAATTAAACACGGCTAAATTTGAAATTTCATTGTATTAACCAACAAATCAAAAAACAAAAAAAAATAAAAGAGACCTCTACGCCTTGATCGGCATAAAGGTCCAGGGAGAGCAGGAAGAGAGGAGACCATGCTTACAGCGGCCGGCGTATGATCCGCTGAATAACACTTACGGTTTCGGTGTCCCGCGGCCAGGAAAATCGATATCATTAACACTATAATCGTCATCGGATATAATATCGGATCGTCTGACGTGTCCAAATCGTATATTATAGTCAACAGGCCGAAAAGATTGGCTTGATCTTTTATACTCTGGCTCATATTTATNGTAGAGGTCTCTTTTATTTTTTTTTGTTTTTTGATTTGTTGGTTAATACAATGAAATTTCAAATTTAGCCGTGTTTAATTCACGTTCCGTTCTATCCCGACGTTGGCTTGGTTCGTCATTACCGGGATAGACCTCTTTTTTTTTTTTTTTGTCGTTCTTTAGTTCGGCTTCCGTTTTTTCCAAAAAATCGCATAATGCTTGTGTGGGCCGAAAAACCTGACTGCATTCTAAATCCAAGACGCTGTTGTTGAATAAATTACCAGATTCGAAATCACTATCGGTCTGCATAATTAAATTCAAACAAGAAACGAGCCGAGTATTACAAACAGTACGACGAGTGCGTTCACTGTTACAAGTAATTTACGAATGAATAATGGACGTGCTCGCCGTGATATATCCTGGATAAACCACGGAGGCATATAACAAATGATATCATTAATTAGCTCATTACCGGGAATCTTTTAGATTATTGTAAACAATCAATAGCTGGCGACAGCGATGGAGGACATGGTGACCACGGACTACCAGAACCTGAAGACTTGGATTACAAACACTTAATCGGCAATTCGTCGTATGCTTTGCCGCAAGACCGTCAACGTGGTCGTAAATTGAGTTTTCAGGTTCTGGTAGACCGTGGTCACCATGTCCTCCATCGCTGTCGCCAGCTATTGATTGTTTACAATAATCTAAACGATTCCCCGTAATGAGCTAATTAATGATATCATTTGTTATATGTCTCAGTGATTATTCCAGAATATATCACGGCGAGCACGTCCATTATCCATTCGTAAATTACTTGTAACGGTGAACGCACTCGTCGTACTGTTCGTAACACTCGGCTCGTTTCTTGTTTGAATTTAATTATGCAGACCGATAGTGATTTCGAATCTGGTAATTTATTCAACAACAACGACTTGGATTTAGAATGCAGTCAGGTTTTTCAGCCCACACAAGCATTATGCGATTTTTTGGAAAAAACGGAAGCCGAACTACAGAACGACAAACAAGAGAAGAAGTCTATCCCGGTAATGACGAACCAAGCCAACGTCGGGATAAAACGGAACGTGAATTAAACACGGCTAAATTTGAAATTTCATTGTATTAACCAACAAATCAAAAAACAAAAAAAAATAAAAGAGACCTCTACGCCTTGATCGGCATAAAGGTCCAGGGAGAGCAGGAAGAGAGGAGACCATGCTTACAGCGGCCGGCGTATGATCCGCTGAATAACACTTACGGTTTCGGTGTCCCGCGGCCAGGAAAATCGATATCATTAACACTATAATCGTCATCGGATATAATATCGGATCGTCTGACGTGTCCAAATCGTATATTATAGTCAACAGGCCGAAAAGATTGGCTTGATCTTTTATACTCTGGCTCATATTTATTCCGAGAGGACCTCCCGTGTCCTCTTCTCTCCCTGGTCCGTCGGTATTGTCGTCGTCGGAACAGTCAAATTCGTCTTGGTCTTGATCGGCGTGGACATCTATTTTATCGTTTTTTGGTTTTTGAATTGTTGGTTGATCCAAGGAAATTCCAAATTTAGCTGGGTTTAATTCTCGTTCCGTTCTATACCGACTTTGGCTTGGTTCGTCATTACCAGGATAGACCTCTTTTTTTTTTTTTTTTTT